TGGTTCAATATGTTTCCAAGTTCACCCAAATTCTATGCCCTTTGTCTGTTTAATATATTCAGCAAACATTCGACGTATCCCCTTATCATGAGCCCCTCCGGGCAGGACCCTTGATCTCCAGCGCTATCTATAAATTTCAATTTACACCTCCTTACGTCTTGGCTTGGACTCTCGCCCGGCGCACACGTCCTCCCAAGCTCTCCAAACCACCAAGCTGACAATGAGAGACCTCTCAATGTTGTTACCGAGGGAGCTTGTCTCCATCCTGGAGCCCTTGCTGGCCTACCGGGTTGGGGATTACTCCCTCAGGACTTCCTACAAGTCCAACTCATCCACGCTCTCCATCTCCTTCGACCTCGGTCAAAGGAAGAGACCTCTGGTCAAAGCCTCAGATGGCCCGAGCCCCAGCCCCTAAACCTCCTGCTCCCCGCCCGGCGCAGAAGAAGGGGCCCCCTCGGGCAAAGAAGATCCCTCCTCCAGTCCTAGACATGGAGATTGAGACTTCCACCGCGTCCACGCAATGCCAGACGCACACGCCACCCCCACCTTCTCTAGAGGACAGTTCTGCCCAAACAGACAATCCAGAACTGCTCGGCATGAACACCAGCCAAACCCAGACCTCACCATCAGAAGGCCCCACAGGGGCTCAAGGGTTCATAGAAAAGGCAATTCGTAAAGCGGATTCAATCCTCAAGTATTACGAAGACAACGAGGACATCCTAACCTTCGTCAACAACCCAACGGAGAAGGTTTACCCACAGAGTAGACCCCCTCTCGTCATGCACCAGGACATTGACGATGAAGAGTTCGAGCACGACCTCCACTCCATGTCAGACCTTTCGGAGTTTCTCATGGATGGGGACTTCACTGTCACCAAACACCTTGTGTCCCACACAGCAGCCCGGCTCGTCCACGGCCTCTACAAGCCAGAGCCACCCACGGCCAGGGAGATGAGACTCACTTCGAGACTCCTTGCGGGCCACCGCAAGTAAATCCTCCAGCCACCCTCGCCAGCCCCTGGTCGCTACACAAGCTCACCCGCCGACGCCGTGCCTTCCCACGCTTGACCCCCTCCCCTCCACCCCACGCCCAACTTTTACCATATTATTGAGTATTTTATTACCACCCACACACCCCCAGCCAACCCCCCCGTCCCCCGCAGCTTTATTAGATTAGTCCTGTAAAAGTTACATTTTTTGGGGTCGCACTTCTTTATTTATTCATTACGATTTTTTTCTCCCAATAGTATAAAGTGCTTCCCCGTGTGCGAAATACGCTTTTAGTCGGAAAGCGCACGTAAAATCTCCTAGTGTCACTCACTCACTCCTTACGTCGCCGGATCTTACGTATATATATATACGTGGGACAATGACCTTGCCACACGTTACATAATACCTCGATCTACAAAACCCGACTGTCATGGTCAGTCAGGGAGACAGCCAGAAGGTAAGTGACAGAGTGAGTCTCCACCCGGGAACATTGGCCACTCGGTCCCGGTGTGCGTTCTGTCACGTTATTATCAACATGTACCTTTTCGACTTATTCCAAACCATCAACAATAAACATGGCTGCTGTCGTCTTAAACTTCACCCCTGAGTTTTATCATCCGTCTCCACCCTGAGCTACAATCCGAGGGCCGAAACTTACGCCCTTGGACAATTGGTTGCAACTCACTTAAGTATAAGTTTGGGTGTTGTGTGTGTGAGCCGTCATTTGCCTCTACTTCTCCCCCTCATGCAGGTCGTGTGCTCGTTACATGATCACGGGAGATCCTCACCCCTCTTGCTGGAAGTGTAGAGATGTCTTAGGCTCAAAGGAGAAGAGATGTCAGACGTGCTTCTACCTCTCTCCAACGGCCTTCAACAAGTTGACTCCACCAAGAAGGCCAGGCGTAGGAAGCGGCCAGGAAAACTCCCTGGTGTCTCAGCTTGTCATACCTGTCGCTTCTACCTGAGAGTTAAGTCACGACCCTGCATTATCCATGAATTTCCAGGAACAGATGATTAGCAAGCAGAAGTCGGCCATGGACGCCCACTTCGATTCCTGTCTCTCAGCTTTAGCCATGGAAGTGGAACGCTTGAAGTGCTGTCTAGGTGATCAGGCTATAAGGTATTCTCTGGCCACATTGGGGACAGATGCATGAGCCCATCAACATCTCCTGGGCCGCACAGTAGCCAGTTGGGACACACAGCGTCACAACCTACCAGTCATCAGGGCAAGAGCACCCACGCTTTACCTATACAGGTGTCCCGACCATCACCATCACAGTCTTCACACGATAGCCGAGATAGCCAGGATGATGATAGCTCCCATATGGCCAAGCAGAACATGGTTTCCCAGACTGTTACCACTGCTTATGCAGGAGCCTCTCCGAAAACTGCTTCATCGAGATCTTTTACGTCAATCCAAGCCGGACTTATTTCACAACAAGCTATCTATCCTTCAACTAACCACTTAGATTTTATCTCGCAGAACATGCAAGCATCCGGCTTCTCTGAATCTTTCTCTACAGCTGTAACAGAATCTTGGAGATCATCCACCTCCTTCCTCTATGACAATCGATGGGGCAACTTCGTCCAGTGGAGACGATGGCAAGGGCTTGGAGATGGAACAGAAACTATTCCCATGGTGGCAGAATTCTTGTCACATTTGCACCGGAATAACAAGTTGCATTGTGGCATAATACATGAACACAGATCGGTCTAAAACTCTGTATTACATCATGTTTTGGCATTTGGGGATCATCCGACTCTAAACAGACTCATTTCTTATGAAATATGTGCGATCACCTAGGATCTTCCCAAAATGGAACCTGTCCGTGGTACTATCGGCACTCCTAACAGAACAGTTTCAACCTCATGATAAAGCCACATTAATCCACAAAGCAAGAAAAACTTAATTTTTATGACCATTGCTACGGCGAGCAGAGGCTCGCAACTCCGTGCCTTGGGTTTTTCAAGTCTAACTCATATTAGTAGATCAGAGCTTTGGCTACGAGCCATGCCTCCTGAACTTCAGCCTCAAAACAACAAGAGGTATCCAGTTGTCAGTGGGCCGCACACAACACTTTCACCAACTTTAACATGTGTGACGTTCAACCAGACCTAGAAGAGACACCCTCCCTAGATCCTATTGTCACAGCCCAAACCATGACCAGTGAAAAGGATTCCCTCCTATGCGAAAGGGATGAGGGGCAAGATATTCTGACAACAGCATTGAAGGTAGGCAGGCCTTTACTCGTCTTTACTCGTCTTAGCTACTGAGTGTTGGATACATCAAAAACAGTCACCGGAAATGACATCACAGTCTGAAGTGATGATTGGACCGGAAGTGACGTCATAGAATGTCGTCATCAACAGATCGGAAACGAGGTCACAGAGATGAAATTACACCGGGAGTGACGTCACAAACGGTAAAACAGGAAGTGACGTCATAAACGTAAATGGCAGCAATTGTACCAGTAATTTGGTAAAGGTACACTCTAATTGTCTGACTCGTGATAGTAACGTACTTTTATGTCCTCTTAATGTGGTTGGATAGTGAGTTACAGCTTTTAGGTTTTGCAATCAACTAATCATCTGGCGCATTCTTGCAATAATATTATTGTTAATAATTCTTAGAATACTTACCTCCATTACTTCATTGCCAGAATGCACCATGTGGTTAGGAAGAACCTCCCCAATTCATCTGCCTCTAGTGATCAGATGTTTTTTGGAAAGAAGAGAGGACTTGCACACAGAAGAGATGTAAGCTGCTTGTTGCTACCACTTTACAGTCTGACAGTGAAGAGGGCTTTTGTGTAAAATCTGAAGACTTAGTCAAAGTGTGATAGCAGCCAAAATGTAGGATTATGGCCATGATGTAATGGAGGTAAGAAAGTCATAATTATTAACAATGATCCTATTGTTCCTACGATTGTGGGTTCGAATCCCGGGTCTCCCTGATTATGTTTCTAGGTTTTTTAGCACCATACCATGCTCTTGGGTTTCACCAAAATGGTAAACGTCTGAGACCTGCATCACTTCGGGCTTTCCTTCTACATTAAGCTAACACGCCATGATGTAACTGAAATACTATTAAAAGCGACGTTAAACCCACTCACTCACTTTGTCACCTTGACAATACAAATTTGAATCATGTTCTGTCCAAAGATGTTGTAAATCCTTTATGCTGCAACTTGTTAATAAATACATGAACATTGTAATGGACTTGATGATTTACCGACTCATCCTAATGTACTCAGCAAAGATAAATGGATTCACCTTGTCAATAACAAGAAAAGAAATATGGAATCTCTGTATGCTCGATTGGCTTTATCAAGTGAATGACAGCGAGAGAAATATTGATATGCATGAAATAAATTCGAAAACAGATGTTGGATTATTTCAAGGTTTACTGTGTGGTTATGTGGTCGACTGACGATAGGTAACACTCTCCGGTGAATATCGAGCACACCTGTGTCAAGAGACAGGCAGACGTTAGAATCAAATGGCTTACTCAGCCGCATAGCGACATGCTACCTGGTGTCTTTCTATGACGTCATATTGTCTGTGGTTGTCCAGTACCTGTTTTTAAAATACCGCCCTCTATCCATCACTACAACTACTACATCATCAACCTTCACACTACAACTACTGTCTCCCAAGAGCCCCAAGACATGGGCGTGATGGCGCTTTTGTCTGTGGGTTTACCTGTTCCGACAGTTGACAACAGATGTAACTCACAACACATTCTCTTATAACCCTTATAAATCATTCATTCTTCACTCGTCACACACACAGGTTCCATTCTACTTCCATGCTCACAGCCTTTAATAACTTTTAATATTTTTTTTATTCCGGGAGCAGTTAATGACCCGTAAAAGTCAGGTTAATGACCCATATTAGATAGGCTTGAAATGCAAATACAATTGCCAGGCGCATTTAAAATATGTGACGCTCATTTATGGTTTCACCTGCCTTGATATTGCAGTAATATTGCTAAAAACAACACATACTAACTTACAAGTCACACACATTTTTTTCCGTTTCAATGTATTGGGGACGGTTCAGACAGAATCGAATCAATTAATGTCATGACAATTCTTCCTGAAAGTATCACGAAGGCTTTATCATTTAGAAATATATTAAGCATTATATATATATGTTTTTGCGTTTAGCTTGATTTGGAAATCTCAGAATAGCAGCCAGAAATGTTTTATTTTGGTATTTGAATCATCACTTGTACACATTAACTGTACAATGGCCCGCATACTTGAATATGTGTGCAACAGGAAGGGAATTTTCTTGATGTAGGAAATATCTCTACTGAAATGTCTTCCGGTTAAGCAATTCAAAAGTAGCTAGCCAGTTTATGACTTATAAGAGTTTAATCATCTTTACTTCACAAACCATGATATACATGTACCTGCTGAAAGCGTAAACACGACCCATTATATTAACTTTCTTTCAATTTGCCGAAATAAGCTGAAGTCAATAAATTTAATTTTAACTACAAAAGCTGACACAGTTTGTGTAAGGTTGAACACTATGCTAAGGAATGAATGTTTGACAATTTAATCAGTTTTTGTCTTTATTAATGATAATTCTCTCGAATTCCCAATGATACTAATCATTCACATTGATAAACGGCCATTCTGTGAACATGTCAATTGTTATATATGCTCAGCCCTACCATAACTCTGCATTGATTGACATTTAGAAACCTTAAGATGCATACACAATGGTTATCATAGGTAGGCTTGACAGAAAGTAACTTTCAACCATGAATGCGTTACATACTTTACAAATCCTTCATAATCGCACCCACGTACACCCTAAAATCCACACGATCCACGTGGGTTAATCACTGCTCTCTTACACACTGGGGGTCGTACTTTCACCACTCTGTTACCAGCTTTATCCTTGTTCGTAGTTTGCGGATCATCATTAGCTACAGCACAAATATCCAGGTGGGTTCTAGAGTCCCAGGAGAGGTGCTTAGTTCGACATCTTCTAGTTCTGATATTACTCCTCAAAGTGGCTGACATCTTGACATGGTTAAATGTCCCGGCAGAAGGATGTCCTTGAACCAGGTGCCTCTTACCAGCTTCCTCAGGTGTGACAGTAAACGAGGTTTCACCAACCCATTCAGTGTTATTACTCTGCCGAGCATCAAGGTATACACCATCATCAGTCCTAGAGGACGTGTATCTTGGCTGTTCTACGTCTTGCGTTTGTTCAGGCGTCAGATACCCGACAGACGAGTGTCCACTCGCACCGGTCTCTGGTAAGGAACCGGCATGGTCTACGGCACTGGTTACTGCTTCAAGGGGAATGGATAATCTCGGCCTGTCGGGTTGGGGTCTCTGTCCTGTTGGTCTGAGAGACATATTCATATTCAGGTCTTCATCGTGTATTTCGTGGTAAATGTCCCCACATTTCTGGAACACTTCTTCCTCTGATGTCTTTACTTCCAAACAACCATTGTCCATCACTGAAAGTCTTTCCCTGCGGATCTTCCTAAATAAAACAAGGATGTATTAGATATACATGACACCAGACTCCAGTGTTTCTATTATTAATTTTATACACGTAAGACACAGGTAGTTGTTCAACGTGATGATGTTAGAAAGAAAATACATAATGTTTCTGACTTGATACATATATTGAACATCCTGTTGGTAATCCTACGTGTTTCCATTTAGAGATCTCGGATACTTTCGATAACTGCAAATTAGAGCATAGACTCAATTCAATACCGATCACGGCATGGCTGAGGGAAGCGGACGTTTTCTTGTTTGTTCTTACGCATGTTGAAGGATCCATTGAGTCGCCTCTTGTGACGTGTGAGGGGTGTGGTGAGTTGAAGTGAATAAGGCATGATGTATGTTGAAGGATCTATTAAGTCGCCTCTTGTGACGTGTGAGGGGTGTGTGGTGAGTTGAAGTGAATGAGGCATGATGTATGTTGAAGGATCTATTTAGTCGTCTCTTGTGACGTGTGAGGGGTGTGTGGTGAGTTGAAGTGAATGAGGCATGATGTATGTTGAAGGATCTATTTAGTCGCCTCTTGTGACGTGTGAGGGGTTTGGAGAGTTGAAGTGAATGAGGCATGATGCATGTTGAAGGATCTATTTAGTCGCCTCTTGTGACATGTGAGAGGGGTGTGGTGAGTTGAAGTGAATGAGGCATGATGCATGTTGAAGGATCCATTGAGTCGCCTCTTGTGACGTGTGAGGGGTGTGGTGAGTTGAAGTGAATGAGGCATGATGTATGTTGAAGGATCTATTTAGTCGCCTCTTGTGACGTGTGAGGGGTGTGTGGTGAGTTGAAGTGAATGAGGCATGATGTATGTTGAAGGATCCATTGAGTCGCCTCTTGTGACGTGTGAGAGGTGTGGTGAGTTGAAGTGAATGAGGCATGATGTATGTTGAAGGATCTATTTAGTCGCCTCTTGTGACGTGTGAGGGGTGTGTGGTGAGTTGAAGTGAATAAGGCATGATGTATGTTGAAGGATCTATTTAGTCGCCTCTTGTGACGTGTGAGGGGTTTGGAGAGTTGAAGTGAATGATGCATGTTGAAGGATCCATTTAGTCGCCTCTTGTGACGTGTGAGAGGGGTGTGGTGAGTTGGAGTGAATGAGGCATGATGTATGTTGAAGGATCTATTGAGTCGCCTCTTGTGACATGTGTGAGGGGTGTGGTTAGTTGAAATGAATGATGCATGATGTATGTTGAAGGATCTATTTTGGGGATTAATGAACTGATTTTAATCCGCGTCAGTCAGCTTTCAGAAAGTACTTTTTGAGAGACAATACAATCATCTAGCACAGATACCCAAATGAACTCCATTGAAAAGGTCCAACCTACAATACCCTGAATGAAGACTAGCTAGAAATAGATCCCCAGTATCTTATGCTTGTCCACGTAATTTTGGGGCAGACCAATACCAGATGGTAATTGTCTGTGACTTCGCGGAGTGCAGCTCTTGACAAGTCTGTCTGTCACATTCAGATTCCACACTCTGATTATAAATGTTGTATACATAAATGTTTCTGATATTTAATGCAGAATTTGAACACACAGTTAGGTATAAACAACAAACATCCTGAGATAAGGTCGGTGGTTCGATCCCGGCAGCGTCATACCATAAGACGTTAAAAGATGGTACATGTTGTTACCCTGCCTGGCGCTCGGCAATAAGGGATCAAACAAGGACTGGTTAGCTCGAAATCAGTAGACTGTGTGCGGTTGAAAATGACATAAATGTCCTGATAGATTCTAAGCACATTATAATAATTAGTGTTTTAAAAATTTGTTTTCTTAATATTTAATGCATTGTCAGTGTAATGTACAACCACCAGTTACTGACATGATGACGTATATCCTGCTGTGGAATCCATGCAGGTAATATGCAGTTCCCATGATACTCAGGTTGGAGAGCTAGCTCTGTTTAAATGTGTCCTGTGGTCCGATTGTTACGAGTATCCTATTGAAATATTGATCCAGTTGATTGCTTAGCATATTTTAGCATTTGAACTGGTTAATTCTTAAATTTTGCAAATATGTTACTGATCTTTACTGACATTTTTTTTAAAGAAGTATGATTTTGTCTAATCACTATATGTCTGTATGACTTTTAACTCACACAAAAATGGTGTTTGTTTATTGTGTAACGCTGCACTCCAGCAATATATGATGTGTAAGAAATAATCAAGACTGGACCAGACAATCCAGTGATTGGCATAATGAGCATTCGTCTACGCAATTTTGATATTTATGACAGGTGTCAACCAGGTCAGCGAGCCTCACAGTCCAATTTCGTTTGTCGCCTCTTTCGACAAGCATGGGTTGCTGATGACCAATTAATACGGCTCTTCATGAAGGACTAAAACTGAGGAATTACACTATTCCTCATGTGCTAACGAACTCAGCATGTGTTTTGAAGCATGGAAATATCCCACAGATAAGGTACTGGTTTTCGTTAAAACAGTGATCGTTTCAGCTCAATGTGATGGAGTGTGTATTTCGCTGTGTAGTATTATATTCAATAAGTGCGCCCGGCGCAATAAAATGCACACTGACTCCCTTCTTCGTTCAGCTGGATACCCGTGAAGATTCCGGGGTAGAATAGGTCTTCACTAACCCATGCTTGCCGTAAAAGGTGACTATGCTTGCCGTTAAAGGCGACTAACGGGATCGGGTGGTCAGGCTCGGTGACTTGGTTGATGCATGTCATCGATCCCAATTGCGTGGATCGATGCTCATAATATCAATCACTGGATTGTCTGGTCCAGACTCGATTATTTACAGACCGCCGTCATATAGCTGGAATAATGCTGAGTGCGGCGTTCAACAACAAACCAACCAACCAAGTCATTCAGTTGGAATGTTTGAATGGAAATCATCTTAATTTAAAAAAATAGTAATCTTAAAACGCCCTTATATATACAAGGGAGTTCTTAAAGCATAATTTTGTATACAATGAGCATGTTTATACGTTTTGCAAAGATACACAGTCCAAACGAACGTATGTAAAGTGTGTCAAGGCTGTTTGTGGAAGTGCAACGTTACTGATGGTACAGTCTGAGATTGTTTGTGTGTTCTTTAACGCCGCACTCAGCAAGATTCTAGCTGTATGATAGCGGTCTGTAAATAATTGAGCCTGGACCAGATAATCCAGTGATTGACATCATGAGCATCGATCAACGCAATTGGGATACGATGACATGCATCAAACCAAGTCACCGAGCCTGATCACCCGATCCCGTTAGTCGCCTCTTACGACCAGCGTAGTCGCCTTTTACGACAGGCATAGTTCTATCCTTACGGAGAATGGCATAGAAAAAACGTAAATCGAACGTTTAAAGTCGAAAAGAATTCTGGTTTCCTGTTAAAGGGTGAGATAGCCATGACACGTTTACTGTATTTTTTACTTTTCCATTCTTTATATGTTTACCTGCCCAGATTCATATTGAAATAGAATAAAATTTTACTAAAACATGAATTTTTCAGAAATATATTAAAGTTGAGTAAAACTCACCATAAGTAGATAAGATGAAACCTATACTTGTCATAATGACTGCAGAGTTTTCCATCTTGACACCAGCTGAATTTACCAAATTAATAGCCTCAAACATGTGACTGTGATATCAGCTACCGGTCCTGAATTGAAAATAGACATAACCCAGTTTCAACTTCCCTCTTCCTTAATACAACAATGCCAGATACTTGTCATCAAAACTAACTGACAATACTCATGCGATGCTTCAGTGCGCTGTGCAGTGCGAGTCATATGTCAACATTGATACCGCCACCTGGTTTCGTTTTTATGTTCATGTAAGGCGGGAGAACAATGCAACGCCATTTGCCTGATCGGCAGAAACCCGAATCAACGTGACGGTGTGTAATTTGATGTACCCGACCATTTGTACATTTCATACCGTATTAAAACTGTGAGAAGGCACGTTTTGTATTTGTTCACTGAAAGGGTATATTTAACATTGCGCCATGAGGTGATGTGATTTTTAAAACGAAGTATAAAAACAACACCTTATATTTTGTTGCTCATTTGAACATAGGGTCATTTGGCCCACTAATGTCATGCAACGGAATTCGTTGTGCAAAGTTGCGTCACGAATCATCAGGATCCGATGATCATGTGACGTAAGCCAGATTCGCCACGAATACGATGCTTGGTTGATCGTATTTGACCCATGGACGTGGATTGCAACGAGATAAACGCCTATTACCTTCGTCATTCACCTTACGCCGACACGCCGTGATAAACTTTAATACTGTTTAACCTCACTGGTAAATTGGGGCGGTGGGATAGCCTAGTGGTGTCGGTAATTTCCCACGTTATGGTATCAACTTCACAACTTATGTATTGAGAAACAATTATCCACGGTTAAGTTATCTACTGGAATTGTTAAGATATGTTTTCTATAAGAGACAGAATAATTATCAGTCACTGCTTCAAGACCAAGAAGAACAATCGTTTTCCAGGACCAGCTAACAATGTATTAGTAATTGTAAAATCTAAAAATGTTTCTTTCCAGATTACGGGGTTGCAATCTATTCGATAGTGATTCATAAACACATGTTCATGATATAATCGGGATCGTAAAATCGACCCTGCAGAGATCTTAAGTCTATGGAAAGGGTTTTGTGGCTTTTATTTATTATTGAGACAGGTGCCAGCGGTGGGGGAGGTTGCGTCCACCTTTTCGCCAACACTTGGGTTCATCACTATTTTATAGTGATTCATAAACACATGCTTATGAAAAAGTAGGAATCGTGCACTGAGATTTCTTATGGTCGGGTAGCCCAGTGGTTACATCGTTCGCTTGTCACGCCGAAAACCCGGGTTCAATTCCCGACATGTGGGAAGCCCATTTCTGGTGCCCCCTGCCGTGATATTGCTGGAATATTGCTAAACGCGGCGTAAAAATCATACTCACTCACTCACGAAGTAGTGATCCTGATCAAATTACAGTAATGCCATGAAAACAGGTCACGTTAGTATCTGTCTCTTTCCCAGACTAAGTCAGTGCTACGTTTATACGCTTGTCTTCCAATTCATTACATATCCGCTATTATAATGTGTATTTTGCTGTCATTTTGTATCTCATATGCCGAGGATCTCGGCCTGAGCGTAATAAAGTTCTGTTCTGTTCTGAAAAGTGTCTTCGTAAAAGGATTGTGGTGACTAGCTGCGGTTGTGTTTTCTGCCCGTGAATATATGCTGAGCATAACTGTGACCGAGGTTTACATGTAAATATAACACGTCAACGCCAGGAAATAACCAGGCTCGATTAACCGACAAATTATATTCCACTTGCCCGAAAAGGCAAAAGACACCAGGCGTTAGCGACCAGTGCAAGCACGCCACGCTCAACCTAAAGCACCTGAGCTAAGCTAAATGTGAGGCAGATCATGTTTACAATGCAGCTTGTGTAGATCGGGGCTTGTAAATAGAGAATACTACACTCATTCTCGTTAGATACCATTTTTACGAAACGAGTGGACTTTCTATGGTATCTGACCGAGCGAAAGCGAGGTCAGTTACCATAGAAAGTTCACGAGTTTCGTAAAAATGGTATCTAACGAGAATTAGTGTGGTATTTTATTTATTACCCACGTTAAATATATATTTAAGTGTAAATACATAACAACTTTCGTTCGTTGACAGACCAAACTGAAACCGGTTGCAAAATCTGGTTGCGCATGAATATTGATATATGCCCAAATATGGGCATTGTTGACATGTCTATGCATACGCATAAACAACATGCCCCTGCAGTTGTGTTTGCAAACAAAACAGCACCGACGCTCAAGATCCTTTTGGAAGAAATTCTTCAACTTATGGTAATTCAAGCGCCATGTTGTTAGAACGAAGGAAGGACACCTGTATGAAAATTTGAAAAGTCACATTAGCGCCGCGCTCGACTATCGGACTAACAGTCGGTCACTCGCACTGTCGGTGTCCCGTCTGTGCAATCAAAATGGTCCGGTTTCCTTGATCTATCAGCTGAATTTATATCATGTTCGTACCATTTTGGAAGAGGGAAATCAGAGTGTTCGCCAAAGACATTCATGTTAACTGTACCACCCTATACTGAAGACTTGAAAATCAACAAACTCAAGTCTGCTTGCATGTCAGTGACAGCCTCGAACGATCGAAGGGCAAGGTCACCACAGGAATAAGAAAAGACAACCGTGATCTAGGCCTACTCAGAGCGTTTTACGCTAGAGATAGGGAATGTTATTGTTCACATTTGGGATGTTTGGGGCCACAAAATCAGAAGTCAGGCACAATTCCACGGAGTTTTCGAATGATTTGTATCAGAACAGTTCACTTTTGGTGATTTGGTAGTGCAGTTGTGTACGTTCATTCATGAACAACACCTCCCGAAACAGCGCCAAAAAATACGCTTCGAAAGGGACACTGATGGCACAACCGGATCATCCCAAGTAAGTCTAAATATCTGTCCAGATAGTTTCAACATACTTCATTTCACCACGCTTATCCCTTTACGTTAAATCAAATTGAAAGTTGCGAAAGTGGTCGGGTGCGTCACGGTCATGGGGGCCCTCGATCTATTGATCGGTAGTCGTACATTGTAAATGGATATAGCTCGATTATATAATGTCTGTAGAAGCTCTATCCATAACTTATATATAATGCAAACCGAATTTGGTGCGTGTGACTTTTTTATTTGGTTTAATAAAGTGTTTGTAAATATCTCTCGTTCTCATGAATTTCTTCAGTTCTGCCTTGTGGTTGCAAAATGAATGACGTCTCGCGATTTTTTATGAATGAAAAAAGTAGTCCCGGTGAGACAGAGGTCACGGTTATCCAATCAAAACGAATAAAACAAGGTCAACCTTGTACGACACACGTGTGACGTACGGATTTAGTATCTTACCACCTGTATCTTCACCACGTGGGTAATAATGCAGCTTATCGATCGGTGTATGTGCATGACAGCGCTTCCTGTTTGCCAGCGCAAAATGAAATGATATCCTGGTCATCCTTGAGTCTTGAATCAGCAGGGGGACGGACGGGTGTAGTAGAAGCTGAGAGGTAAGTTTGTGAATAGCTTGGGTCGCAACGACGGTAAGGATCATACTTACAATTGTATGATGTTTATGATGATAACAGTCTTTGCCTACGTGTGGTATTCCCACATTATAAACCCGTACATACTCGAGAAAAAGGCAGACATTGTGTCAGGCAACTATGCTTGTCGTAAGAGGTGCCTAACGGGATCGGATGGTTGATCTTGGTTGATGCATGTCGTCGTATCCCAATTGCGTGGATCGATGCTCATTATGTCAGCATGGTATGTGCTATCATCATTTCACACCGTATATATTACCTTGATATCGTCAATGGTTTATTCGAAGGTAAACGATAAACTTTGAGTATTACAATCGCCGCTAGAACAACATGTCTCTCACAGAGTTTGTTCCAACTCACCCACCACAATACGTAATATTTTGTGTGAAAACTGAATATATATTTTCTAAAAGACCCTTTTAATGGACATGTTAACTCCATACATTCTACGATTGTACATTTTGGTGTAGCTACAGTAAGGCCCCAAACCGACTATTTTCTTGAGTTGGCTTCTCGCATGTTCTACAGCGGAAAATCACTTCTGATCGTCACATCCTGTTTGACCAGTTCACAATCACTTGAACGTATCCGGGTACATCCGGGTACATCCGAGTTCAGAGGCTGAGTTATAAGCTTGCATTCGTTATAAGGACAATGTGTTGTGATATATACTACCCAAAAGACGTTAAGGATTCTTTCATGTGACTATTGTTAGTCTGTGGAGGCATGACAGTTTAACTATATACTAGTCAAAGAAGTTATGGACGACCCGATTCTTTCATTATCCCCCGGCATATAATGCGGGGGGATATAGCGATCAGCCAGTCTGTCCGTCCGTCTGCCCGTCTGTCCGTCCGTAATCATTTCCTTTTCCGGGGCAGAACTCGAAAACCATTCAGTGTATTTGATCGAAACTTGGCAAATCTATCAGTCACAGACTGAAGTGGTCCCTTTTGATATTTTGGGATTTTTCGTTTTTTTATTTTTTATTTTTTTTATGGAAAGAAGTTGGACATAGACTCCAATGAGGACGGGGTTCGTTTCCTGGGCGGAATTCGAAAACCATTCAGAATATTTGATCCAAACTTGAAAGATGCATCAGTCACATGCTGAAGTGGTGCCTTTCGCTATTTTGTAATTTTTAAAAATCTTTATTGAAAGAAGTTAGACAAGGACACGATTGCTAGTTTCACAGATGCGACCATGGTGGATCTTTTGTGGGTAAACAATGTATGCTTCTTCAAGAAGATTCAACTCTTGACTCATTACATACAGAATTGCACATTTACTTGTGGTTACTTTACAGACAGCTGCCGGGGGGATAATGTCATCTTTCTGATGACTCTTATATTACTACAGTTAAAATATCATGGCATGACCTATTAACTACATGTATAGCAATATGAAAGATTCAGGTGGTCCTTACCTTCATTTGAGTAGTATATACTGTACTCATAGTGTGCTTTATTCATAAATGATAGTACACAACAACCCATTGAATATTGTACTTTAATATTTAATTACAAAACAAGTAATTTTCAGACAATGAAGGAAAGGATTACTGCCACATTTTGAACACTTACAGCATGAGATAATAAGTGATTACAATTCTGCAAAAGTAATGTACTGATACAGGACGTTGACTATAAAGGCAAGCATTTATATGTATGGAAAGAGGTACAATTCTTGAAAACCATGTACCGCAATTGTATTGACATGACATGTATATATAGATGCTGTACCTGCTGAGATGAATAAAGAGGGAAAAAAAGAAAAAAGATGATAGTACGACACAATTAATTTACTGTTCAAAAAGTAACTGACATTTCTAGATGTCCAAAAACTTGTCCAAACAGGCTGAATGTTGGCTGCAGTATTATTTAGTACATTTCTAAAACATATTTGTTCATATCTGTACTATATCTATGAATAAACATAATTAAAAGACTGTTGACTTTTATTTCTGCCTGCAATTCAGTGCTTGTGTATTAGTCAAAAGGTTTTATATCAGAAAAGTGGAGGACACGTTTTCAAATTTGATGCTTTATGACAAAATGATTCATGATGCAATTCCCTAATTTTATTTGTGCCATATGTTCCCGTATTTCTTCAGGTGAACAATTGACTTGCTTTTGCATGTGTTTGTGACGATTGCAACCGATGGGGCAGGATACGCTCACCTTTTCGCGAACACTTGATATTCTCACTATTTGATAGTGAATCGTACAATCGACTCTGCTTTATGCAGATGTCTTATGGCTATGGAAAGGGGTTTGTCTCCTTTATCTATGATCATAGACAGGGTTTTGTCACCTTTATCTATGATCATAGAAAGGGTTTTGTCTCCTTTATTTATGATCATAGAAAGGGTTTTGTCTCCTTTATCTATGATCATAGACAGGGTTTTGTCTCCTTTATCTATGATCATAGACAGGGTTTTGTCTCCTTTATCTATGATCATAGAAAGGGTTTTGTCTCCTTTTTTTATGATCATAGAAAGGGTTTTGTCTCCTTTATTTATGATCATAGAAAGGGTTTTGTCTCCTTTATCTATGATCATAGAAAGGGTTTTGTCCCCTTTATTTATGATCATAGAAAGGGTTTTGTATCCTATATTTATGATCATATAAAGGGTTTTGCCTCTTTTATTTATGATCATATAAAGGGTTTAGTCTCTTTTATTTATGATCATATAAAGGGTTTTGTCTCCTTTATCTATGATCATAGACAGGGTTTTGTCTCCTTTATCTATGATCATAGACAGGGTTTTGTCTCCTTTATCTATGATCATAAAAAGGGTTTTGCCTCCTTTATCTATGATCATAGAAAGGGTTTTGTCCCCTTTATTTATGATCATAGAAAGGGTTTTGTCTCCTATATTTATGATCATATAAAGGGTTTTGCCTCTTTTATTTATGATCATAGAAAGGGTTTAGTCTCTTTTATTTATGATCATATAAAGGGTTTTCCCTCTTTTATTTATGATCACAGAAAGGGTTTTGTCTCCTTTATTTATGATCATAGAAAGGGTTTTTTCTCTTTTATTTGTGATCAAAGAAAGGGTTTTGTCTCTTTCATTATGATCATAGAAAGGGTTTTTCCTCTTTTATTTATGATCACAGAAAGGGTTTTGTCTCCTTTATTTATGATCATAGAAATGGTTTTGCCTCTTTTATTTGTGATCAAAGAAAGGGTTTGTCTTCTTTTTTTGTGATCATAGAAAGGGATATCCCTCTTTTATTTATGATCATAGAAAGGGTTTTGTCTCCTTTATTTATGATCATAGGAAGGGTTTTGTCTCCTTTATTTATGATCATAGAAATGGTTTTGCCTCTTTTATTTATGATCATAGAAAGGGTTTGTCTCCTTTATTTGTGATCATAGAAAGGGTTTTTCCCTCTTTTATTTATGATCATAGAACGGGTTTTGTCTCTTTTATTTATACAAACAGACGTGATACATACAGTCAGGGACTTGATGTGAACTCAAATGTTTTGTTGTGAGCCGTTAGGGGTCGTGCATATGCAACGTGCAACTTGCATGGTCATTATACCCCTACACACGACAGCGTTTGTGTCAAAAGTTTGGTTGTTGTAAAACTGTTGCACTCAGCCATTGGATTGCGGTTTGTAAAAACTCCAGTGATTGACATCGATCAACGGAACTGGGACACGATGACATGCATCAACCAAGTCAACTTATTAAGATGTTTATACAACTCATACCAGTCGCCTGAATAATGAACTTTTCTCAGAGAAACACTGCTTGTTTATGTTTGTTTCAGTATGATTAGATGACACAGCCACTGAACAGGAATCGCTCCTCATGTTATCTCTACTTTACAGCAAAATGAAGACGACAAAAACAACTCTTCGCTCATGCATTTTTGCTGCACTACTTGTCATTGGTAATGTATTACAAACATTTGCGATTCTTCATAATACCATTCTGTTGACTGATTGTGTTTCATTCAGCTCGATCAACATTTTTAGGCCTGAGAGTGAGTGAGTGAGGATTGTCTTACGCCGCTTTTAGCAATATTACAGCAATATCATGACGGAAGACACCAGAAATTGGCTTTACACATTGTACCCATGTGGGGAATCGAACCGGGGAATCGGCGTGACGATCGGACGCTTGAACCATTAGGCTACTACACCGCCCATAGGTCTTAGAGTGAGTGAGTGAGTACGGTTTAAAGCCGCTTTTACCAATATTCCAGCAATATCACGGCGGGGGACACCATAAATGGGCTTCACACATTGTACCCATGTCGGGAATCGAACCCGGGTCTTCAGCGTGACGAGCGAACGCTTTAACCACTATGCTACCCGACCGCCCCCGTAGGTCTTAGAACTTACACGTGAGTGAATGACTAATGATAAACCACATAAAACCATAATAGAAAAAAATAGTTCACTGGGTAACAAAATTGTAATAGCATTGTATCACACATATGTATAATGAAGTAGTTTATTTAAAAATATAAAACTTGAGTTAAAAACATAACACAGTATGAAGAAGTGACTCAAATCTTACCCGAAACCGTTCACTGTTTCAATGTCTTCTTTGAACCCACTGCAGCTATATGTATGTCATTGTTACTGTAATCAAGTTTGAAGCTGACCATTAATACCTATATCTACTAAGTCATCTTTTCGTCATCAATAGGGGCACTTATGAAACCCTTTCAACATGTATGCCCCCATCCGAATGTACCTTATCGCCTCTGTAACCAATATTTTGTGTTAATAAGTAGTAATATAATATCAGTATTGATCTCAAAGCTTTAACTGTGAGGTTAATAATAAAGTGTGATACCACTGTGGGGATGCTTCATTTGATAGCTCCTTTAAGGGCGCCTTGGAAGCCTCGATTATCCTCTCAGCTGAGGATACGATCCAATGTATACCCCTTGAAACATTTGAAAGTAAAATATCCAAAGCTCTTGGCAAGGAATAATGTATGAACGTTGCATTCTACAAAGATTTCTGGTTGTCGGAACAATGTTCGTTTTTATTCAAAATGACAAACCCCCTTTGGTTATTTCTTGTGTACAGCTTTTGGTTTGCAGACGAATGTTTAGAGTTAGGTCACAAAAACATACTTGTAAATAAGAGTGATGCTTCATGTTAATGAATTAGTTCATATATTTTCACCTCGGAGGTAAGAATGTATGTACAGATTGTGTATATATTTAAAGACTTATTAAACATGTTTAAACGTTTCTAATCTGTAAGTAATTCTAAATCTAATGTATTTCTGTGTTTCCCTAGGACTTACCGCATCACCAAATTGTTACCAGCACCCGAATAACCTTGGTGAGTGTGATGAAGGCTGTCTTGGAGGTTTCTTTGGAGACTATTGTAACAAAACCTGCCCGCAACATTGTGCAGGACGAAGGGGAGACAAGCACGCAGCTTGCAGTCAGGACATTGGACAATGTTTAAGTGGCTGTGTGCGCGGATGGTATGGTAACAACTGTTCCAAACGTTGCAGTAAGCATTGTTCCACAGGGGTATGCAATATGCTGAACGGTGACTGTATTGATGGGTGCAAGGGTGGTTTCTTCGGGTTGGATTGTAAATACAAATGCAACGCGAGATGTCAAGGCGGTGTGTGTAACGGAGATGGTACGTGTGATTGTAAAGCCGGCTTTGCAGGAAGATACTGTGATTTTACATGCAGCACAGACTGCAGTGGTAGTGAGTGTAGTGTTGGAGAAGGTGCACCTGTATGTAGCAAAGGATGTGTCCCAGGATTTACTGGACGTTACTGTCAGCAGCTGTGCCCGGAGGATTGTCAACGAAACTTGTGTCATCAAAATGGTTCGTGTGTGTCAGATACAGAACCACGCGCATTACCTCTCGTGGATGCAGGTAGGTACATTTTGATAACATTTGTCATGTATATTTTATATATATCTCAGCTCTCAATATCACATAGTTTTTCCCCATTATGAACATAAGTAGTTCTTATCTTGTCCTAGACGGACGAAAATCCCTAATTTCCCAATGATAAAACCAGATGTGTCAGACTTTTAGAACATCAGAAAGAATTCTTTCGATATGATCATTATTGTTCACATCTATCGCCTAACACAGGTGTCAATGCCTCTGTTATATCATTTAGTTTAGAAATTATATTTTTCAAACTTAATAGGGAAAATTAACATTTTGAAAACATGTTTTTCTTAAAATAAACCCTTTCAAAATATTATTTGTCGTAGCAAATGAAGAAAATATACAGTGAGCGACAAGAGTTTGGGAATAAAACATCAATACCTTTTTGTGGATCTCTTCCATCGGCTCTCTTTGACGTTGTTGTCGTTGTTTCTTTCATTACTACATTTGGTTTGAAGACTCAATGAGAAGAAACTATTTTTTATTCGACATGAAATATCGCGATTATTAATTACCGACGATAGCTGCAAGCGTGTTAATACTTAAAGAGTGAAAACAAGCCATTCGGGCGATTTACGTAAGTAGTGACAAAACAATTGAAAGTGCGCTTTTCAAGAAATGATTATTTTGCATGCGATAAACATCATCGTTGAGTTTTGATCACATGTTGACAAAACGGTTAAGGATCGCCAGGTAACTGCGAGCGGTTGTATTTAGCATCAATAACGCACCTTTGGTGCTCTGGCCGTTACGCTCTCCCTAAAACATCTCTGCGATCATCTTGGGCGACAGATAACACAAAAGCGCCGGACAACGTACAGCAGTTATAACGAGCGTTGTTGGAGGAATGGGGACGTCATGAGAGGGCATACGTAATCTATGAAGTGTCGTGATAAGGGCTGTCTGGACGTCCGAATAGGTCACACAATATATATATGCTATTGCTGACAGACAGATATTTTTATCCAGTATAAGGCCACTGGCTCAAAATACATTAGCATAGCAGAGATATAACCATCTGCACAATAAAGTTATAATATATAAAGAAGCACATGTAGATGTGTATTTATATCAAGAATAATTTATGGAACAGTATGTCTTTTTTGATTTACCGTTAGGAGGGATACGCATATTATTACGGGTGGTTAAATATTTACCCATTAAGTTATTTCTTGGGAGATTATAAAGTTCACACACTAACAAAATATGCAATTCATCTTCAATAAAATATTTTCCCTTACTGAGACAATATGAACAGAGTCTTTCTTCATATGGTGTTGGGGGCACGGGTGGCCTAGTCGTCTAAGTCGCAGCGATTCGCTGTGCAGAGTTGCGTCTCATGGACACGCCAGAAACCTATGATTGTTGGTTCGAATCCCGGTTCGTCCCAATTATGTTTCTAGGTTTGTCAGCACCATAACCGTGCTCGTGGGTTTCACCGAAGTGGTAAAACGGTGCATTACTTCGGGCTTTCCTCCCACATTAAGCTGACACGCCGCGATATAACTGGAATACTGTTAAAAGCGGCGTTAAACCAAACTCACTCACTCACTCACTCATATGGTGTTAAATGGTGTCTTGCTGAGGTTACTTCAATGTTACATGTTAAAAAGTTTGATGGCAGAGGAATATGTTAGTAGTTTTCAATATGTTTATAAAAGTTAAACTGTTTATAAACTTCAGCCCCATAACACAGGATAGGGGTTATCATAGCATCAAATATTTTGACTAAATCCTTGCATTTTATATCACCAACTTTCCTCTGATATCTGTTTATGGCCATCACAGCTTTAGTACTCTGGGTTTGAGCCTATGTCCAAATCAATTTAGGTGTAAACATTATTCCCAGATATCTGTAAAATGAAACAGCTTCAATATTTTCACCAACAAAACATTTCTAAAGCATTTTTTTTTTTTTTTATAATTGTAAGGGGGAATCTGCCACAGAAGAAACATCGACATCAAAACATGATGGCATATATATCTTTACAATCCTTTGAAATAAAAACCCCTTTACCTCCAAAATTATCCAGTAGTTGTAAATGCTTGTTTATGAATATAATAAATATTTGTGGGATCATAACGCATCCGTGACGGGTGCCAACATTTGCAATCAAAATAGCTTGTTAGTCCATCTGAACTCCTCACTTAAGCACATAGATTTGAGAACATTGATTAAAGTATGTTATCAAATTTACCACTTATTCCAATACCCTTGAGACTTGTCATCAAAATACCATGTCTCACAGTGTCAAACGCCTTCAAAAAGTCAACAAATCTCCCCTTCTTTTTCCATGCCTATTTGCGTTTCATTGCTTGTAGTGTAAAAAGATTGTCAGCAGTTGAATAGTTTGGTCTTAATCTAGCCTGTGCTTCATCAATTACCTGATTTTCTTCGCAATATTTTTGAAGTCTGGAATAAAGTAGAGATGTGAAAAATTCACACATAGTATCAATCAGTGAAATGCTTCTGTATTTGTTGACCTCCTTCCTGTGTACAAATTATACACCTGCTCCACAGCTGCGGAAACAAATCGCTTTCAAATATTTGATTAAAGAGTCAAGCAGAATATGGATACTGAGATGTTTAGTGTTTTTAAAGTACTCAGAAGCAATGCCATCATTTCCAAATGATTTGTAGTTTGCAAGTTTTGTTTTGTGTTTCTCAACTTCCAGACAACTGATACTGCATGACCAAGCTTAATTATATGGAAGTTAAAAGCGTAGTTGGAATCTAGTACCCACACCGATGTTAAATATTAATGAATTAAGAGAAGAGGAAGCTATCATTTAATTCACTACACATATGCTTTTACCGAGGTGCAATGAAAGCATTCAGAAGCTTTGTTATCAGAGGGCCATCTCCTGTTTCTTTGTGAAAAATGACAGTTATGACCCAATGTGTGTTTAGCTGCTTTTGGTTAATTCATCCCAAGTCCCAAGAATTTTTTTATTTGTTGTGCGATCCATGATTGAAAATTAATTTTGGACATTTTTCCGTTTTCGTTTTATAAGCAGTTCAAATCGATGTAAACTTTCTATTGATCAGTATTGTATATCAAGCTATTTGGTACAGATAGATCAAAAGTTGTTATTGAAATACATTACTTTTTTTACAGAAATACCTTGCATGGCAGGGCATGTTCAACGTTATTGACAAAAGAATGTATTTTTTCTGGAGTGAAATAACAAAACTGTACACGATTCCTTGCTCGTGTGAATAATTTTACAACAGTTCATTCTTAAAAAACAACTCGGTGACAAAATGCGTTTCTATCTTCCAGCAGAAGACAATATATGTCTTCATCACAACCCAAACACAGGACTTTGCGATTGTTGTAGAACTGGGTGGACGGGAAACAACTGCAACACCAAGTGTGACAATTGCGGCCATCGTTCTGTACAGAACAACGGTACACACGAATGTAAAGATTCGTGCACAAAGGGTACCTATGGTGTGATGTGTAATGAGACTTGTTCAAAGACATGCGCCGATGGTAGTTGTCATACAAAGTCGGGAAACTGTCCTGGATGCGTACTTGGATACTATGGCGAAAGATGTGACAAGAAATGCGACAGACGATGCCTTCAAGGAGGGTGCTATCAACACTCATCCCACTGTAAACTATGTCCATATGAACGATATGGTTCCTTTTGTGAAGATAAATGTAGTTTTGGTTGTGCTGGGGAACGCTGTAATAAAAGAACCGGAGAATGTCTACACGGCTGTAAACAGGGGTATCTGGGGAAAAAATGCATTGAGAGGTCCAGCAAGGGATGTTCAACTTCCGAGTATCGTCTACCAGGGCGTGGCCATTATCGCTGCGTTGGACGGAGTTGTGAGGTTGGGTTTACAGGAGAAGACTGCCGATCTCACTGTTCCAAGTGTGGGTATGGATGCTACAAACAGAATGCAACATGTACATCGCTATCGGACCAAGGATTTCACGATGGTAAGTTGAAGCCAAGGAATTGGACAGCACTGTTAACTTCTGCCACACGGATTACAAACAGATACGTGACACATGTAGGCAGTCTTGTGAGTGTGTGAGTGTGTGTGTGTGCGTGCGTGCACGTGCGTGCACGTGCGCGTGGGTAGTTGTATACATATACATGTATGTGTGTGTGCATGGGTAGGTGTGTATATATTATATATATATTTCCAGACGAAAAGCTTGAACAAGAGATTTTGTCTAGTGATCCCTGTATAAACTTAGATGAGCTGATCTGGGTAGAAAATATAGTTGTTGGTGTTGAACACAATCTTTTAAAAATCCAATTGCATGTACGCAAATAGGTGATATTTCTAGCAATACATTTTGCCCTATGTTTGGCAAAGAAAACATGGTGACGTTTAAGTAAAATGAAACCTTATTATTCAAACGTGTTATTTTCAAAACCCTTTAACAATTAACCATGAAGCTAGAACCATGAGGCTAAACCGGTTTTCTATCACATTAACACCATCATGTATGAGTTACTTTCGGTTGAAATCGTATTTGCGTGATTATACGACGTATGACACGCAACTATCACATGGCCGGAATACGGACATTGAATCTTGAATGACTACAGAGTCAGTTTCAAATATATTGAATATGACAAAGTGAGTATCATCTGATGTAACCAAATGACGATCTCTTTCAAGGAGCTATGCCAGGTATATCTAAAACAGTAAAATATGTTGTGTTATATTGAGATTGAACCAGATCATTCGACTCTAAAGTCCAACTTACTATTTGCAATATGAGTTATATGACGTAAGTTTCATCAACACCATTCAAACAAAATAAAGCCCAAGTCTTATTCAAAACTATTGACTTAGTCATCTTCCATATATATACAGATGATTTCCGTATTTTGGAAACAGGCAATCTTAAAACGTTTCTGACTGGTCCTGGTCCTTGATCAGTTGACTTACGTTGTCTCATTTCCTAACTTGAAGAGTGGAGCTATTCTTTATCATGTTTTAGTCATTTTCACAGCATGTTCTATTTGAATGTTTCGAGTACAAGAACTTAAATATGTTAATGCTAATGTTTCCGATCAAGGCACTTATAAATAAAAACACGCTAATGACACAAGATGAATACGCATGGACAAGAAGGTCTTTAATCTAATCAGAACCTTTGAATTCCACATCAAATACTATTGAAAATCCCACAGAACTTCCACGGAATGGATTATTGGATCTTTCTACATTAGCACAGCTACATCAGTTTGCATCCAGATGAGTCTGATTAACATATATTGAAGAAAATAAGGATTATGAATATCTGTGGATACTATTTTGCAGTGAAGACTGGGCACACAATTTCATAAAAATATCCCCAAAAATATATATGATCCCTCAATATTTTGTTTGGTTTAGAAGTATGAATCGTACGACGGACTCTGTTTTAGCAGATATTTCTTATGATCATGGAAATGTTTATGTCACTTTTATTGTATCACTCTTAAATGTGTCTGTAATGCAATATATCTGATATTGAAAATAGTAGGCAAAACTAGTTTGTATATCTCTCAGTTTGGTATTTATAGTTTAAACATGGACATAATTAACTAGCCGTTTTATATAAGCAGTCCCATGTATACGGGGATGCTTGAAGCATTTAGCAGAAATGCATTAATACTGTTTCAGATCCAAAGACAGTGCTAATGAGCGTCGGTGTGTCAATGCTGGTTCTGATAGCTGTGGTACATCTCATCGTCATGATCGTCAAAATCTTGAAAAATTGGAAATATAAAGATTATCATCACCTATCCAAAACGGAGAACTCATTTGCAGGACAGCAAGAAACTACCACAGAACAAAAATGTTCTAAACAGGCATGTATTGAGTAAGATTCCATGACGAAACAGTAGCAATATTACAATGTCACAAACTACACAATATATGCACAATCAGTGCAATTAGAACACACATGTAAATTCAACTTCCAATGTGGTACATTACAACAATTTTATTCGAAAATCAGTGTATTATAACGATATGGAAACATTATGAGAATTGAGCAAAACTATGGTAATGTTGTATATACAAGGAATTTGTTCATAATTGTTGATATGATAACAGATCTTGGAAGTTGTTTCTGGATGACTGTTGGTAAAAAATTTAGGAACTGTTCCTTATTCTTTATCATGATTGAGGATTATTTGTGATTCTCTTTCTTGGTTGTATTTTATACAAGAGACATCACAGATACGTTGTTCCAATAGGGTTGGTGTTTTTGCATATCTACCAGTATCAATTTTTAGTTTGTGATTACTTAAGCAAAGTTGTTAGAAATGTGACCTATGAGCTTTGTTTTTACAATATGTGACATAATTCTCAATATTTATAGATGACTTTGCCAACCTGTATGTTCTTAACTTGCTGTTAGATAGCTGGGAATCCCTTAATGAATACGTGAACATATTTCTACATTTGAATTGAAGTTTATTTACAGTGCATTCATACATTTATTTGTGTTAATAATTTCAAAAAATTGTTTTATTTAACTCTGCTAAGATTTTGAACAGAAATATTGATCTTTGCTGTCAAAGCATGTTTAAGAATGGCATTTGTTGTGTTATCTATATATCGATTATTTTTAATATTATTAGTACTAATAGTGGGTATGTATCAAGTTCTGCCTGACAGGCCCAGTTATGTGTTTTCTTGCCTTGCTTTTCCTTATGCTGACCATTCAAAGACAATGTTTCTTTTATTGTGCTTTCCGAAGATAACGACATTAATAACAACCAACTTGTTCTTTACACCAATCTTCTCCTCCCATTGATTACATTTCCTTCCTCTGCATATTACATTATATGTCGGGGAACAATTGATGCACTGCAGCAATCTCTACTTTTATTCCTGTACCAAACAGTAGATAATCCAATGAACAAAAACAAAGTGAAAGTCAAGTCTAGTAAATTTTTATATCACTATTTCTTTACCTCGAATGGTGGAGGTCTAGATCTACACACAATTTTATTCAGTACGTGTGACTTCATGTTTACACTGAAAGCCATACAACAACCAGCTGTAACGCAGGGCTCCCTCAAGGAAAGTGTAAGTTGTTCGTCAGTGTTGACGTCATTTTAAGTGTAAGGTCTCGTGAAAAACGTATGAACGTCAAACTGTCGTTCATACTCTTATGAACGTCAATTTCGCGGTCATGTGACCGACCTCTAGTCCAATGGAAAAGCCGTATATCGTGTAAAGATCACATCATTAAAAAATCTGATAAAAACAATTGCAGTGGCTGCTTATGTTATTATATATACAAGTGAATACAAGAGCGGATCATGACCGTTTGACTTTTGATAGAAACTTCCCATTTTGAAAATGAAGCTTTAAATGTTTATATCATGAACCTGCCTTTTAAATTCCAGGATTGAAATTAATATTTTTGTTGATTTATTACTTGAAATCTCGAGTAATCATATTATTGAGTTCTTTATTTCGTCACAACCTGGTTCTTCGAAGACATTGTATAATTCTTTATCCAGTCTGCGTTACAGCTGGTTCTATTGTAAAGATACACGTATTCATGTTTTATGAGTGAATAAGGTTTGTTTAACCCGGCTTTAAACCATAGTTCAGTGACATGTATACATCCATCAGCTTAATGTTTGAGGAAAGCAAAATACGATGGATGTCATTGTTTAGTGAAACAGTTACAGTTGTAGTAATGAAGATGAATACTTTGTTTGTACATTCTACTATAAGGGTAACGCCATTTACAGGACATTATCATTTGCAGAAGGCCGAGGTCTTCCATAAACTGCCCGACGAAGGATTGCAGTTGAAAAGACCGAGGACTTCTGCAAATGATAATGCCCTGAAATATAGCGTTACCGTTATTATAGCTAAAATGGATGGAATTTGTTATCAAATAAAAAGAAACAACAATATCGGTTTTCAAACATTTACTGCAATCAACACGAATGTCACTGACCCACTTTCACAAATATGGAAACGTCATAGAACAAACCAGATGACGTCACTATTTAACGTGACGTCGCCAATCCCTATCCTATGACGTCACCTAACAACGGACGTGATAATGGCCCGTCGTCAAGAAATATGAGGGCATTATCAAGTAACAGTGGCCCGCTCATTTTTGATTACATGCGGGCGGCTTAATGATAATTCTATCCATTTTAACTATAATTGTCTATGTTAACGAAAGAGATGGATAGTTACCAATAAATGCGTAAGTCAAAATATATGTCGTGATATATACATAATGGCTATATAATCCTGTGTTCTGTATGCCATAAATCTGTGGTATTTTTAATACAACGAATGACTTTACAAAGGCATCATACATTTGTTCCAATCGCAATTCTGTGTGTTCAACTACAATCAAACAAATCAAAATAAAACAAGCGTTATTTTTTTATAGTTTTGATAAACATATCCTACATAATGGCAAAGCATATTGTGTAAATCAGAAAATAGTTCAGTTTATACCTATACAAAAGGCAAATATTTATTTTAAGAAAGTGAAAAAACCCATAAGAGATCATAGTAAATGAAGCGTGGAGCAAATGGAATCCGCGAAACATATCAAAGAAAATATGTCAATTACTTGTAAACATAAGCGACAAGATAGTATTTAATGTATTTTGACAAATACAGCCAATTTTCCTTTGGTTATAAACGATGTTTTTTTCCACAGAGTTATTTCATCAAAGAAAACAAGCCTGACAAGATACTATTTTATTCTGGTGTGTATATTGTCTTGTGGAGAGAGGTTAAGGAAACTTTCAAGGTCTACAATTCGTCATTTTATAAGTATATATACAAGCAACATTTCTGTAAGGTTACTAAGCACCTGCATGATAATTCACTATCAACGTAATTGCTTTTGCATTTGTGCATTAGTCTATGAATCATATTCAACACATAGTATTTTTTAAATTGCTTAAAAATTGAGACTTGCAGTCGTGCAAACTGTTACACTATTTACTTTTTACAATTACAGTTCATAACTAATAGATGGATATTTTGTACCCATTACCTAGAACGAGAGAAACGAGAACAAAATAACATTTATTGGCAGTGTGTTTGCACATCTGACATACATTGTGAGACTAGGGCGTTCCCTGCATTGTCAGTCATACTGTACTGTTTGACAAATGACTGCCTACTACTACTCCTTTGTGTATGAGGTTTGTGAAAGATATCCTTTAACGCCAAATTGTCAAACCAGCTTGTAACTCAACATAACCAATGAAATACAATATACATGTATATATAACAGACAACTATGTGATATCCTTTGTTTAAGGTTAACTTGAACTGTTTTCTGCATTATGGTGTCCTATGTGTCTACAGTGTCATGTTGATATAACCAAGCGCACATAACAGCATAAACCAATTTGTATTCATCATAATTACAATCCTTTGCCCTTGCAGCTTGTGTACATCGGTACTAGCGAAGGGTATTGTCGTCTTTGTTGGCCTCACTATTTCTGTAAAGGAAAGGAAAACTGAAAATAAAGTAAACGTCACAACACCACTCAATGTCTGTTATCTGCCGTACCTAACTTTATTACTTTCGGCATTGTCATGCTATCTGTTATCAGTCGTACCTAACTTAAATACTTTCGGCATTGTCATGCTATCTGTTATCAGTCGTACCTAACTTAAATTTTTCGGGATTGTCATGCTATCTGTTATCTGTCGTACCTAACTTTATTACTTTCGGGATTGACATGCTATCTGTTATCAGTCGTACCTAACTTCATTACTTTCGACATTGTCATGCTATCTGTTATCAGTCGTACCTAACTTAAATACTTTCGGGATTGTCATGCTATCTGTTATCTGTCGTACCTAACTTTATTACTTTCGGGATTGACATGCTATCTGTTATCAGTCGTACCTAACTTCATTACTTTCGGCATTGTCATGCTATCTGTTATTACAGGTTATTGAATATCTTACTTCATTGCAGACGCTTCGTTCCCGTTCTTTTTCTTCAACTTGCAGCTTACGAAACTTCTCAATATACTCCTTGGGGATAGATGTGTTTCCTGAAACCCATTCATCACAAGGTTGAGAAGCAGACATCTTCAGACATGTAATTTGAATTGTATATATTCGAAAAAAGAGAGAGCTAAGATTGGAGCTAAGAAGTAATAATTACACACATTCTTTTTTGGAGAACACGTAAGTCACAAATGTCAGAAGAAATCTTCTTTTAGGACTTTCTCCAATCAGTAAAGTCGAGGAGGTCAAGGCCCTGGTACAAAGAGATCATGGTGTGTCATAAAACTCACTGCACATCAACTATGGACCAGTGAAATATATACGTGTTACATACATAGTAAATACTGTAAATGACTTGTAAATATCGTAACCACTTGTAGCTTGACGTTTCTCTGTTCATCACATGTGAATAGTTAAAGCATGCACAAACTTATTTTTTGTTGAATCAATGTCAAATTCAAAATTACTATCAAGATCAAACACGCAGGCTTAAAACATAATCGGAAAACATATTTGCAAGAGCCATTTTCTAAGGTCATATAGAAGAAATGAAGTCATCAGACAAAAAGTGAAAATGCCATTCATGTGATGTTAACTATATAAAAAGACTTAAGGCAAATGCTTTCCAAAAGTAGAATTGACACGCCAGGCGCAACCGTTGTGTAATGTTTTGAGCCTTGAACTAAAGGGATAAGTCTTACACAAGCTTGAGATTTTCACCCCTACCCAGCCAAATCAAGAAGGTGTAAGTGATAACTTACACGCGTCAGGAAACAATGCATGGTGTACAGATCCAGTGTCAGGATACATTCAGAGCAATAATACAGATCTCCAAACGAAAACGTGTAGTTGACTGACACGTATCATAGCGTAGTAAGTCTTACCTTTGTTCATGTTTAAAATATACACAAATATGTCGTCCATTTTTGCAAGCTGGGATGCATGAACAACCTTTAATAAGGCATCCATTTCTGAAGCTGTTTTTAGAGGAAGTGAGTTCTTCAGCAAACCAAGACATACTTCTTCTGTACAGTCCTTAGGAACATTTTCGGCATCATACCCTATGTTGCTGAAGAAATTCACTCTGGTATCCTGGTCATACCCCATAAGCATGGAACTTATGTTTTCCAAAGTGTCATCAGGAAGACCTGCAACATGCCCATCGTACTGTATTATATCTTACAAAGGCGACTGCAACTTCTATGAATACAGTTTCTATAGCTTTTCAATCTATGAATGTGTGGGGATTCCGAGCCGGAAAAGATCCCCGGTGCCTTGTATATTTCGTGGGGATCGGTTTTCAGGTACCACTGTTCAGACAAACTGTAGCTAGTAACACAAAGGTAATACACAGCTTGTTTGTGTTGTTTAATGAACGTTTATTTAAAGTGTAACTCCAGGCCTGTTGGGCCAAATTCATTATACCGATTTGACTCATAACTTGTGTAAGATTCGTTTTACTTTTGTAACATTGCAATAATTTGCATCTAAATTAATAACGACAAGAATAATTTTTCAAATCCTGACGATTTGTATCAAATTATGCTCTTCTCACTTTGCTGCAAAATTCCATGTGTTACTTTAATAAATGACATTTCCAATGTCTGCTTACGTATCTAACTATATTTTTATTATTTTCAATTGCATCTGTTACGTAATTAGGGGTACTCATAGTTACCCGTACTAAGTGAAATATAACAATCAAAACACCTCCACAAATGTTTCAGTGATGGTGGATGTTCTCGGGCAAAGGTGATCCTGTCTTGTCTTACCAATAGTGAACGTTGTGAATGAATGTCAAGATCACAATAGAAATTTTCCTTTCTATACCTTGTTACTTTTTGAAAGAAAAGATTTAAACATTTGACGAAATTTGAATTTTCAAACATGGTCTTCTAAAAAACTACATGCATGTAAAATCAGTTTCAGAACAGAACTCGCACAACTTTCATAAAAAGAGGTAAGTGTTTGTTTGTTGCCCCACGCCACACCCAGTGATACTGTAAGCTAGATTCGTCTTTCCATGAAATTTAAATAATATGTACAGACTCTAAGTGCCCAAGAGCCTAAAAATCGAATGGTAGAATAATGGTACTATCACCAGCTCGAAAAACTGCAGTATCGTCTTGACAAACTTACGTATTTCTTAAAACAAATGAAAACTATAAAACACCTGAAATGTTCTCAGCTCTGACACCGTGATGGCTTGATAATGTGGCAGGATCTACAAATACAAAATGATTGAGAGTTGAATTTGCAGATTTAAATAACGTAAAAGGTATACCTATTTTTCTTGTGGCACGTAACATGTTCACTGCTCACCAATTCAAAACGTTTTATGCTAGTAATGAGGAAGACATTTCCAAATGTGACGCATGAATGTCTGATGCAATTGCCTTTAAGACCTACAATATGTTCTCATGTATTTTCAGGTGAACACTTGGCCTGCATTTGGCCTGCATTTTTGGGTCCAACATGAATGATAAGTCATACATATCTTCTAATTGCGCCCCTTCCATATTCCGGGTTAGAATAGGTCCCCATGCCAGCAACTGATGCCGCCCATAAGAGATGACTATCAGTCTCGGTGACTGATTAATAACTGGTTTGTCTCTTCTAGTCTCAATTTTGTTCTGGACGTCATAGTACAGTTGAAATGTTGCTGATACTGGCGTTAAACAAGAAATAAAAAACACACAATATCTTCCAATTTCCAGTTTGTTGAACATATTGCTAAACACTCTTACCTCCAGAATCCTCCTTTTTCGGCATAAGGGGCACTACTTCTGGTTCGAGATGACGAGTCTGACAAATGCATGTTATTGAGAAACCTTCAACACAATATTAATGGGATTTTCGGTAAAAATAGACATTAGGCCATCTTAAATGTTGAAAGCCGTTATTAATATATGTACAAAGTTCCCTGGTTAATATCTTGCCGTCGGACGAACAGGCCGAATAATGTTGGCAGTTATAGGTTGACATTAAATCATTCTCTGACTGTGGTACATCGATTGAACTATCACAAACACTTCTTAAAGTATGACTAAACTGTTCATTACCGATGCGTCCTGTTGTCTTTCCGATGCGCTATTCCCTGTAAGCAAAATATTAGTTGTTGTAAAAGACTATTAGTCTAAACAATTCACTGAGTTCTTTATAAACAATACATTTTTAACATCATTTATGGTAAACTGTTTGCAACTGCAAATTCATAGACATCAAAACTGCCATAATTAAACTATTACGAATATACGCAAAAGGGTGAGTGAGTTTGGTTTAACGCCGCTTTTAACAATATTCCAGTTCTATCACTGCGTGTCAGCTTAATGTTGGAGGAAAACCCGAAGTGATGCAGGTCTCAGGCGTTTACCACTTCGGTGAAATACGCGAGCACGGGTGTGGTGCTGACAAACCTAGAAACATAATCGGGGAGAACTGGGATTCGAACCCACAATCATAGGTTTCTGGTGTGCCCAAGGGACGCAACTCTGCACAACAAATCGCCTTAGACGACTGGGCCACCCGTGCGCCCTTATCACAAAAAGAATGTTGGTTCTAAAAGTCAAGGTAAGTATCAACCTGAGGTGTTCGATGATGTGGCAGGATCCATAAATACAAAATGATTGAGAATTGTATTCTATAATTAAATTGACCATATTAGCAGAATTAATAAAGTCGAAGTCATGCCTATTTTAATGTTCCACGTATGATACATAATGTTCACCAAAAATATGATTTATGAAAAGTTGGGAAAAGATTTTACATGCACAATTTGCTCTCCTTGTTGATCGGTTTCTTTATGCGTGCGAATCAGAAATGCTGCATTGATTGGCAAAATCTGAACTTGGGGATTTGGACTGGCAAAATCAAAACTTGGGGATTTTGCCAAGATGTTTAATTTAAGCTTCAGGTAGGTCGATATTCCAGCAGCTACAGTCGTTGAGTGACAATTATTTGTACGCTACTTCAACCGCCATGGAGGGGAAATATATTTGAGGATAACCCAGAGCCTGTAAGGCTAAATTCATTTTACCGATTTGACTCATAATTTAAAAAAGATTCGTTTTACTTTTGTAATATTGTATTAATTTGCATCTAAATTAATGACAAGAATAGTTTGTCAAATCCTGACGATTTCTATCAAATTATGCTCTTCTAACTTTGCTGCAGAATTCCATGTGTTACTTAAAAGAATCACACATCTAATGTCTCCTTATATATCAAACTATATTTTTATTGTAGGCAATTACATCTGTTATGTAATTAGAGGTATTCGTAGTTACCCGTACTAAGTGAAATAAAACAATCAAAACACCGCCACAAATGTTTCAGTGATGGTGGATGTTCTCGGAAAAGGTGATCCTGTCTTGTCTTATCAATAGCGCACGTTGTCAATGAACGTCAAGATCACAATAGAACTTAAGCTTTCTATACCTTGTAACTTTTTGAAAGAAAAGATTAAAACATTTGACGAAATTTGAATTTTCAAACATGGTCTTCTAATAAAACTAGCGACAAAAACTTACTGGTTTCACTTTGGTCTCCTCATTGGAAGACACATGCATGTAAAATCAGTTCCAGAACAGAACTCACATGGTCGTCGTTAATGGTAATATAAACGTTGCATGTACGCTGTCAGTGGATTCTCCAAACCCGTTGTGTTGGCATTTATCAAAGGAGTGTAGTTCAGTAGTTTCAGAATTTGAAGAAAACCATAGGTCTCCAAATGCATTTTAAGAGATTTTCGGGCATGTTCAAAGTGCATTGGTCATATGAAGGCCATAATTAAAAATAGAGCAAGCAAAGGACAAATGTGGTGAACCCCACTACTGATTACATTATTGAAACTTCAATGCCAGAGAACAATCGGCATCGATGATATGCCGAAACAGGTACCATAGGGTATAAAAGGAAAAATGGTGATGAAAATTATATGAATGAATCATAGAAAATCATTGATGACATCAATTGTTCACGAAAAGATCAGCATGTCACGCTGTACACGTAGCACGCGAATCACACAACTTTCATAAAAAAGAGGTAAGTGTTTCTTTGTTGCCTCACGCCGCACCCAGTAATGCCCCTGCCATACGGCAACGTGTAAACAATCAAACCTGGAACAGACAATCATCCAGAACGAGATATCATGAGCGATGATCTACGTCGCCGGGGTGCGACGCCACACTATCAACCAAGTCATCAGGCCTGATCGGTCACCCGATCCATTAAAGTAAGTGCCAGCGAGTAGAGTGTGAAGGCATCGTCTGTCATGTTGATCTAGCGTCATGTCATATTTAGTCAATTTTCCTCTCAATGCGTACTACATATTTCTGGAAAGATTTTACTAGGCCTGAAATGGTGGAACCATAAATGCAAAGCTTAGCTGTATGCAAGATGCGTCTTTCCATGAAATTTAAATGATATGTAATACTCTAAGTGCCCAAGAGCCTAAAAATCAGAACACGGGAACTTGGCCATGAAGTTTACCTCAAGCTTTAGGTATATCGATAAGATCGTTCAGTGATGGTTGAATAAAGGTACTATCACCAGCTTGAAAAACTACTGTATCGTCTTGACAAACTAACGTATTTCTTAAAACAAATGTAAACTATACAACACCTGAAATGTCCTCAGCTATGACACCGCGATGGCTTGATGATGTGGCAGTATCTACAAACACAAAATGACTGGAGTTGAATATCATATTTACTGTTCACCAATTCAAAACGTTTTGTGGTAGTATTGTGGAAGACATTTCCTAATGTGACGCATGAATGTCTGATGCAATTGCCTTTATGACCTACCATATGTTCTCATGTATTTTCAGGTGAACACTTGGCCTGTATTTGCGAGCGTTCGTGACATGTGCCACAGGTCGATCAGGAAATGCTCACCTTTTACGGACACCTAGTTTCATCACAATATGCTCATGTTCTGCTCGAAATCGTACAATGGACTCTGTTTTCAGCAGAGGAAACTTATGATAATGGAAACGGTTTTGTCGCCTTTATTTACTTTTTGGGTCCAACATGAATGATAAGTCATGCATATCTTCTAATTGCGCCCCTTCCATATTCCGGGTTAGAATAGGTCCCCAGCAACTGATGCCGATAGTAAGAGATGTCACTCAGTCTCGGTGACTTCGTTGATTGCGTGTCATCAAGCTCCAACTGCGTGGCACGTTGCTCATAATAATAATAACTGGTTTGTCTCTTCCAGTCTCAATTATGTTCTGGACATCATAATACAGCTGGCGTTAAACAAGAAATTAAAAACACACAATATCTTCCAATTTCTAGTTTGTTGAACATATTGCTAAACACTCTTACCTCCAGAATCCTCCGTTTGCGGCAGAAGGGGCTCATCTTCTGATTCGAGATGACGAGCCTGACAAATACATGTTATTGAGAAACCTTCAACACAACATAAATAGAATTCTCGGTAAAAATAGATATTAGGCCTTCTTCAACGTTGAAAGCCGATATAAATATATGTGCGAAGTTCCATGGCAAATATCTTTCTTGAAAGGTTTTAAGCCATTGTACTGCGTCAAATGTCTATCGTGCCGTCGGACGAACAGGCAGAATAAAGATAGCAGTGATAGTTTGACATTAAATCATTCTCTGACTGGTACATGGATCGAACTATCACAAACTTTTATTAAAGGATGAATAAACCGTTCATTACCGATGCATCCTCTTGTGTAGCCGATGCGCTATTCACTGTAAGCAAAACATTAGTTGTTGTAAACGATTATTATTCCAAACAACCAAAGAGTTCTTCATGAACAATACATTTTAAACATAACTTCCAGTGAACTGTTTGCATATGTCAATTCATAACATGGACATCACAACTGCCATAATTCAACTATTACGAATATACGAAAAGAGAAAACCCACATAAAACTACATGTGTATTTTAAGAAAATGTTAAGAATCCGTATATATTATTACACAGGGTTAAAAAAGGCATCACGCCGTTCTTGTGAAACCCTTTCGGAAGTCAAGCTAAATTTATGGTAAAGTTCGTATATGCATCTACGTCTTCATACATTTCGCCTGCATTTGCCCCTTTTTGTAAGACATCCATTTCTGAAATTGTTATTCAGCATTTTGTAAAATATTATAACATTTTAACTGTGTGAAAAGTCGTGTGAATGCATGACAAATCGTGTATTTTTCTTATTACATATTGAGGGTGGACCAAATAATCCTACCTCCTGATATATATCAACTTGTTCTCGTCGCTACATGGCTGGAATAATGCTGATGCGACCTTAAATGTTTACTCACTCACTCACTCACTCACCTTCTGAATCGCCCGCCTGTGTCCCAGTGGCCCGTGTCACAATTTGGGGAAGAATGATCTGTTAAATACGTGACAAACGTATCAAACATTTTACGTGGTATGATGTTTGAGTACATTTTAACAACAGAATATTAGTAGATTTATCAGCACACATAAATTTTATATATTCCTATATGACAGAGGACTTCGTAACTACATCTAAAAAGTTTCATGGTAAATATCTTTCTTGAAAGAGTTTTAGTGATGCAATGTATATCATCGTGTCTTTCGCGCTTCAGGAGAACGGGCAGATAGATGAGAGCGGGGAGTCATTTGTTGTTGTTTTTTAAAATTTATTGAAATTTCAAGATACTAAGTTGAAATTTCAAGATATTAAGTTGAAATTTCAAGATAATCATCTTGAAATTTCAAGATCAATTTCAACTTAGTATCTTGAATTTTCCACTAAGTATCTTCAAATGTTATTTGAAGTTTCTTCAAATTTCAATATAGTATCTCGAAATTTCAATATAGTACCTTGAAATTTCAACTTTGTATCTTGAAATGTTAACTTAGTATCTTGAAATTTCAACTTAGCATCTTGAAATTTCAACTTTGTATCTTGAAATTTCAAGATGCTGAGTTGAAATTTCAAGACAGTATAGAAAAAAGTACAAATACAAATGACCCTAAAAGGCTTCCGTAGCTTACCGACACACCAGGCTCTGTTTCCGGTGAGGCATTCGCTGGAGGCGTCACAGCTTCTGTTAAAAAGTCTCATTGGCAATTACTAAGTCGTATACATTATTCACATAATTAAAAGCTAACTGTTTATATACAAAATATATATTCAACACAAGAATTTCTTACATTATGTATTCTTAACTGATGGTATGTGTGTGGCATCTGACAATCAAAGTTCTCACCAACTGAACAACCTATTGAATTTGACACATCTTTTCGTATGATAGCTCCACTAATTTATATCGGTTACAACCTGAAATTGTTTGGAATCATCACAAATTGTTGAAATTTTAGTTCCGAAATTAGGTACAGGCTATTTCAGTCATTTGTATCTCACATGTGAATTTGATGATATTGTCCAGTCTGGCTTTACTTAAACTTGCTCGAAACTTAAAATTACAACATGTCCTTTCTGTATTTGATATATAAGTTTTGTCTATATTGAAAAATGGGTGTGAAATACGTTTTGATGTTGTGCATAGGTTTCAAATCCTGGTATACAAATTTGTGCGCATATCTTGTCAGATTATGAGTAGAATTCAGGATGTGACGACGGGAACCTGTTAAATCGGAGAGCCATACATGTAAATGTTTCTTTGCTGCTGAACGCCCAGCTCATCAATAAATCCAGGTATATGACGACAGTCTGTAAATAATCGATTCTGATCAGATAATCCAGTAATTGTTATTATGTGCAACCATCAACACCTTTGGACACGATGACACACAATCAACCAAGTCATCAGCCTGACCACACGATCCACGATCTTCATCATCGGCAGTTTGGGACCTATTCTAATCCGGAATCCCCACGGATAATAGTGATCATCCGTGGGAATGAGCGGCCAATGTTCCCGGTGTGGAGATCCGTTCTGCCATTTACATACAGGCAGGAAGACGGACAGGTATTCTTCGTCGACCTAGTCGTTGGTGAGGCGGCGGCCGCAGCCGACCGCATGACTAGCAGTGTAATCCGTCCCCTTCTGTCGATGATGACTGGGACCGTCTCTCTGACTGACATGTCAGTCAGGTTTTGTAAATAGAAGTCATCTGAACGATATCTGTCATTATAACGTCAGAAAGTAAGCCTTGTTCGATTTATCCACAGCAACATTTATAAGAAGATGTCATCTTCATGAGAATGAGTGAGTTTGGTATACTGTCGGTTTGAGCCGTTTAGACGTTTACCAATATTGTGGAACCGAATGCATATGGGTATGGTGCTGACAAACTTAAACATATAATCAGAGTGAATCCAAAATTTGTACCCACGAGCATAGACTTAGGGTTGCAACTTAACGATTCACAGAGCGTTTTGGTGATATGCTACATGTATACCACCTCAATCAATGAATACTTTCAAATTAGATCGTTTATGAGTGAGTGAGTGAGTTGGGTTTAACGCCGCTTTTAATAGTATTCCAGATATATCACGGTGTGTTTGCTTAATGTTGGAGGAAAGCCCGAAGGGATGCAGGTCTCAGGCGTTTACCACTTCAGTCAAACCCACGAGCACGGGTATGGTGCTGACAAACCTAGAAACATAATCGGGGCGAACCGGGATTCGAACCCACAGTCATAGGTTTCTGGCCTGCCCAGGGGACGCAACTCTGCACAGCAAATCGTGGCGCCTTAGACAACTGGGCCACCTGTGTCCACAGATCTTTTATGTCAATTTGTCTTGTTCTTCCCGGAAAATACTTAACATATATAAATTCATGTGAAACGCTCAAAAGATTACGTTACAAATGTCACTGCCAGCTTTCTATGAAAAAAAGTTACAAAAGTTATTGAGAATTAATACATACCAGATGAGATGCACGGCAAATGCTTACGTTTCCTGAAAACGAAATGATTTACACATTAAACATAACTTATAATATGACAGGAAAAAGAAAACGTGAAAATCATACAATAAAAACAATCATTAGAGAAACAACTTAGATGAAACTTTGAAGAAATACAGCTCCAGGGTCTTTTAGTCATCAAATGCGAAAAACAACATACCATATCAATACTGCAGCTATAACTATAACTATAACTATAGCTGCAACTATTCCAACCGCTAGCTCTGTCTTCCAAGCTAAAACATGCAATATGATTAACAGAATGTTATAATGTTATCATGATTTATGGGGTTATATAATTTTGAAATATATGTCTAATGCAGCACCTTAATAATGAAACACAATATAATAGATAAATACAACATGACTATATGTTTCTGAAAAGAGCAATGCCCTTGTTATCAAAAGAAAAGACGTTCGAATGTATGACAAGTCGTGTATGTTTTCTAATTACACATTGAGGGTCGACCAAATAATGTCACCTCCTGATATATATCAACTTGTTCTCGTCGCTACATGGCTGGAAAAATCCTGATGCGACGTTAAATGTTTACTCACCTCCTGAATCGCCCGCCTCTGTCCCAGTGGCCTGTGTCACATTTTGGGGAAGACTGATCTGTTAGGTACGTAACAAACGCATCAAACATATGACGTGGTATGATGTTTGAGTACATTTTAACAGCAGAATATTAGTAGTTTTATCAGCACACATAAATATTATATATTTCTATATGACAGAGGACTTCGTAACTACATCTAAAAAGTTTCATGGTAAACATCTTTCTTGAAAGAGTTTTAGTGATGCAATGCATATCATCGTGTGTTTCGCGCTTCAGGAGAACGGGCAGATAGATGAGAGCGGGGGATAAGGTTGAAGTTTAAGCATCGACATTACATATCAGAACTAAGAAAGATTCTCCAAAAGCCACGAATAGACTGCTTACTATGGAAGCCTTTGAGAGCCATTTGAGGTGGGTTTTTTTATATTATTATAATAATCTTGAAATTTCAACTTAGTATCTTGGAATTTCAACTTAGTATCTTGAAATTTCAACTTTGTATCTCGAAATTACAACTTTGTGTCTTTAAATTTCAAGATAGTATCGAAAAAAATACAAATACAAATGGCCCTTAAAGGCTTCCGTAGCTTACCGACACACCAGTCTGTGTTTCCGGTGAGGCAGTCGCTGGAGGCGTCACAGCTTCTGTTAAAAAGTCTCATTGGCAATAACTAAGCCGTATACATTATTCACATAATTAAAAGATAACTGTTCATGCAGGTTAATATACAAAATATATATTCAACACAAGATTTTCTTACATATGTATTATTAATTGATGGTATGTGTGTGGCATCTGACAATCAAAGTTCTCACAACTGAACAACCTATTGAATGTGACACATCTTTTCGTAAGATAGCTCCACTAATTTATTTCGGTTACAACCCGAAATTGTTTGGAATCATCACAAATTGTTGAAATTTTAGTTCCGAAATCAGGTACAGGCTATTTCAGTCATTTGTATCTCACATGTGCATTTGATGATATTGACCAGTCTGGCTTTACTTAAACGTGCTCGAAACTTAAAATTACAACATGTCCTTTCTGCATTTGATATCTAAGTTTTGTCTATATTGTAAAATGGGTGTGAAATACGATTTTTGTTTAGAAAAAGACGAGACGTAGTGCAGTTTCAAATCCTGGTATACAAGATTACAATTTTGTGCGCAGTAGAATTGAGCATGTGACGACGGGAACCTGTTAAATCAGTTAGCTATATATGTTAATGATTCTTTGTTGCTGAACGCCCAACTCATCAATATTCCAGGCATATGACGACAGTCTGTAAATAATCGATTCTGATCAGATAATCCAGTAATTGTTAATATGTGCAACCATCAACACCGTTTGGACACGATGACACACGATCAACCAAGTGATCGAGCCTGACCACACGATCCACGATCTGAACGCAAATCAGAAATTGTTAAAATAAAGTACCAAAATAACATCTCATTTTCAGATGCAAAGAAACTATCTCAACCAGACAAAAGCTCCCTCCACTGTAACTTACTCTGCTGTGGTCAGTCGATCTGTCTCAACTACATCTATCACGTGTCAGACTGATTTAACATGGGTAAATTCAGATCTGCCTGTTAAAATCATTTCATTTATTAAGCCCTCATCAGCATATTCAGAAACCCAAACTATGAATCTTACTGTGGAGCAGAATGAATCAGCTACTGTGGTTCAGGCTGAGCCAATTACTGTCACAATAGAAGATGCTCACATGTCAAAGAAACAAAGGAAAAAACTCACTAGACAAATTAAAACTAGGACACTTTCTCCTTCGGACCTTACTGTACATAACTCGTTTGGTTCTTTAGACATGGAGGTTACTCCATCACAGGACAGAGGAAGGAGTGTTTCTTCTTCTCGTTCACGCGGTAGGTCTCCAATTGAACCACCATAACTCGCCAGATGAATTTGATCCAATGGAATTGCAGACGACTAATGAGATACACTTATTAGTTCAAGATTATAAAATCGTCTGCATCATGTCTCCAAGAGACATATCTTAAACATACAGATACATTTGACCTGAGGTGGTATAATTGTCATCATTCATTTTCTCCTCCGGGTGACAAAGAGACTGGAGGCTCTATTTTAGTCAGACAGGACGTCATACATAGCGCTGTTCATCTGAATACTAACCTTCAAGCTGTTGCTATCCGCCTTACCTTGAACGTTGCATCTACTTTGTGCTCTTTATATATACCACCTTCATATGCACTTCTAAAATCTGATCTTCAGAATCTACATGATCAGCTCCCTAAGCCCTGCATCATCATGGGCGATTTAAATGGGCATAACCCTCTATGGGGAAGTACAATTACAAACATTATACACCTCAGGTGTTTTCAGTGGTACCTTATCCTGACTGTAAGACCCTTAGTTAGTCCATCATTCTGAAAGCCAGGGGCGGCTTTGAATTTACTCAGGGAAATGTGGGGTTAAACGGGCTAACATACAGACATCGGGTCTGTTTTACCATAAAGACCCCGACTGGGTCTGTTTTCAATATAGACCTACAAGTTTTCTTTAAGGCAAACAAAATGCCACTGATAATGCAAAAAGAATAAAAAACGGCACATAGCTTTTTATTTGTCACAATTTTACAGCATGTTTACACACTGATATTGAAAACGAGAGAGATTTGTTTTCCGCGCGTCTCTGCAGCTTCCTTATTCCCGATTGCTGGATTTGAGACCACTTCAGCGCCATCGGTACCGGTCTGTTCGTTTTTTTCCGCCGTTCCTTGACCAACCTTATTGGGAGCAATGGAGACTGTCGCAGCACTGTTCGTACCAGTCTCTGCTTTCCACGCCTTCGCCAATGGTTCATCATTTGAACTCCCGTAAATAATATCAGAAACTGCAGGCTGCATTGCCGTGTTAGTCCTCTTATACAGGCGCACAGCTGAACTGCGGTGACCTGCAAAAATCATTAAAACTGCAGCGTGAAATATTTTCGGCAACAGTTAAATTAATAATATCACACTTTTCAATTTTATTCTAAAAGAGAAGTATATTTCTCCAACTCAGAAAAAAACGGAGTAAATTGCTATCTAGAGACGGGGTGATGGAAGTCTGTTTTAACTCCGTTTTCAACAGTCCTTCAATCACTTCACAACGGCCAGTTTCCGGCATCTGCAACACTGATGTTGGTATGTAATGCCGCAAATCCTGCAGGCAACAGTTTGAACTGACAATCCAATGTTTGTACTGCAGGATTTGAACCTAGCTACCTCAATGCATTAGTTAGATATACTGTACACAGTACCAAACGTGTTATGACTATTCTTTACAGATTAACGCTACATCTGTATACATTGCTTGCTTAACTTATAGATATAGGCTTGTTAGGTTTTTTTCGAATACTTACCAGTTTGTTCACATGTAATCTGTTTATCTACTCCTGCGTCATAAAGCCTCGTGGCAGTGGATACCCTCAGCGAGTGGTTCGTTCTCTTGCCGGAGAATCCTGCTTCTTCGCATATCTTCTTCACGGTGGTTTTCAGCGTGTTGTGCCCAATGGGTGATGTAGTAAACCAACAGTCTGGGGTGGGAGCTTTGGACGGGGCCAGGTAGAAAGCGTCCGTCTTTCGGGTTCTTGGGACTGAAATGGGAATGAAACAAGGTTTCAGAACAACAGTAAAGTTTACCGCCAAGTATTTCAACGAGCTCGTTTTGGTATATCGTTACATAGAAGGTATCTTATGTACTTTAAGAATTTACTCACCCCATGACGTGTATTTCTCCTATAGCTTGACGTAGCAGCGGGCAGGATCGATATTTTCAAACACTTTGACAGTCTTCGGTTCAACTTTTCGATGTTTCAAACATCTTGGGTTAGTTTTTGAAACATCCTCGCAGTACTGCATGTAGCGTTTCTTGGTAACTGGATCGATGAATGGTCTAGTTATTTGGGGCTTCTCGCGCAAACGTAGACTTCTATGTTCAGCACCTCCACGGGGAGCAAAATGTCTTTTGCAACTGAGCCGGATTCGTATCCCCGAGAATCCCCCGTTCCCACAAAATATTTTCTTCTGCTGCGGTTATTGGTTCTGCTGGATTTCAGTTGCAGGACCCATAGCTGGCGGCGGATAACTTTTTCATTACTGCGTCTAGTGCGGCTGTGTCCTGAGAAAAAGCCTCACTCGTAAACAAATCGACTTGTCGCGCATTCATTCTAAAAAAACTCTGAATCCCACAAAAAGCTGCATAAACACTCAGGGACTGATAGTTTTAACCATTTTCTTTGCGAATTTCAAAAAACAAACCTTTGGAAAGCCTGGTTTAGGTAAAAGTCTGACATGTCAAGCAGCGCACTTCTTAAACACTGTTTTGGAAGATCTACATTTTCAACAATGAGACGTTGCAATCGTTCTCTCTGCCATTTAACACACAGTGATGCGGCCCACGCATTCCTGTACTTATTTTTGAGGGGTACAGAGTCTTTCAACTCGCCTTGCAGCTCCTCAAAGCTAATTGGTGGTAGAAAACGAAAATTATTGTCTTTCGCGTCCAGATCATGGGAAAGCTTACTTTGCGTAAGAAAAATGTCATCACCCGAGTCCATTCTCATGAGTCTGAGAGGCAACCTCACACTGCAAACAACAGCGACCATGTGCAAGGGACTCTCCCCACGGTCTTTATTTCCACCCCGACCCCCCCTCAGGTCTGAATCCAGGCACAAAGACCTCACCTCGTACCTAATCCTTTAGATAAGGGGAAAGTCATTGAAGATTTTGCATCTGATATAACGTATGTATATTTAATGACGACTCAAGCACTTATTTAGATCCAGGAACTTATTCTGCACTTGATCTGTCCCTCACAGATTCAGATATTTACAATGAATTTGAATGGTCCGTACATGACGACCTTTGTGGAAGTGATCACTTCCCTACCATGCCTACTGTTCTAAGAGCTGTAAAAACCGGATGATGACCCACCTTCATCGGGGTGGAATTTTACAAAGGCAAATTGGTCTTTGTTTGAATTATTATGTACGAACAAATAAAGCCTGACAATTTCAGAAATGTACCAGATCCCATACAATTGTTTTTGGCTCCACTTAATAATATTGCTGACCAAACAGTTCCTAAGTCCTTTGCAAATCCTCATATTCGTAAACTATGGTTTCATAGCGACTGCAAACAAGCAAGAAAGTATAGGAAGAAAGCGGAAAAGCATTTCTGCAAACACTCTACTGTTCATAATTTGAATAATGTTAAAATTACAAGTGCCAAAGCAGGACGTGCTTATACGCAAAATAAGCGCCAGTCTTGGATGAACTATGTCTCCAATAATAATTCACGGACACCCATACCCAGGTATGGAACATGGTTAAAAAGGCAAAGGTTCCAAATCGTCTGTACACCATCTTATACACGGTGACAAATTTATAACTGATTAAATTAATATTGCAAATAAACTTGGCGAAACTCTTGCCAAAAATTCTTCATCATCAAATTATGTTCCTGAATTTCAGAGATATCAGAAACATCAGGAAAAGAAAAAAGTTATTTTTGATTCTGATAACGGTGAAGATAATAAGAGGTATTTTCCATACATGAACTACATACTGCACTTGAGCAAGCTCATGATACTGCCGCAGGGGATGATAATATCCACTATCAGTTGTTGAAGCATTTGCCTGAATCGTGTCGTGAGGCACTTTTTGATATTTTTGACGAAATATGGACGTCGGGAAATTTTCCTCCTCCTTAGCATAATGCCTTTGTAGTCCCCATATCAAAACCTGGCCGGTATCATATAGATCCCTCTAATTACCGCTCTATATCTTTAACCAGTTGCGTTTACAAAACCATTGAACGAATGGTGTACAATAGATTAGTTTGGTATTTGGAAACCAATAATCTAATTACAAATATTCAATGTGGTTTCTGCAAAAATCGAAGTACTATAGATCATTTAGTACGACTAGAATCCTTTGTCAAGAATGCTATTATAAGCAAGCAACATGTAGTGTCAGTTTTCTTTGATCTTGAGAAGGCCTACGATAATACCTGGAAGCATGGCATTCTAAAGGATTTACATGATTTTGGCTTGAGAGGTCGTTAACCCCATTTTATATCACAATTTGTATCAGACAGACAATTTCAAGTCCGAGCAGGTTCCACCCTGTCTGACCATTTTGTCTGTTACATTATTCAGTATAAAAAAAAATGACTTTCAAAGGTTTTAAGTGATTCAGTAGATGGATCACTTTTCGTGGATGACTTTAATGTTTCTTGTCGTGGAAAAAATATGCATACAATAGAGAGGCAGTTACAAATCTATCTCAATAAAATTCTAAAATGGTCCCTTGAAAATGGGTTTAAATTTTCTACTTCAAAAACTAATTGCATACATTTCTGCAGAAAATATAAGCCGCATAAGGACCCTGAACTGTATTTAAATGGTACCCCTATCAAAGTTGTGAAAGAGGCTTAGCTCTTGGGACTTATTTTCGATAGCCATTTAACTTTTTTACCACATATTAAATACCTTAAAGCTAAATGCCCGAAGGCACTTGATTTGTTGTTTCTAATTCTAGTGGGGAGGAGATCAGACAACACTCTTGCTCTTGTACAGGTCCCTGATCCGTTCAAAACTTGATTACAGCTCAATCGTCTATGATGGAGCCTGTGAAAGTAGACTACAAAAATTAGATACTATCCATCACCAAGGCCTGAGGCTTTGCCTTGGAGCTTTCAGAACATCTCCTATTCACAACCATCCCTCAAGCAACGCCGTCTAAAATTATCATTACAATATATCACAAACTTATCTTCTAATAAATCAAATCCAGCTTTAGACTGTGTTTTTCATCCTCTTTATGAAGAATTCTACAAAAAGTCATGACTTTTTCCACCATTTGGAATAAGCTCATATTTCTGCTGTTAAAAGATAACTGTTCATTTTTTACGGCCAAAGCATTTGAATATATAAATAAACAATCAAAACATAAATTATTATATTTTCAGACTCACTTTCATGCCTTCAGGCAATTAAAAATCTATCTTGTGAACATCCACTTTTAATCAAAATTGTTAAATTTTTTAATGAAGTTGCTACTGGCCAATACGACATCATTTTTTGCTGGTTACCGAGCCATTGTGGAATCACTGCTAACACAATGGCTGATGCAGCAGCTAAAGCAGCACTCAACAAATCTGTGACACCACATCTGCTTCCATACAGCGATTATAAAGCTGTAATAAAATATTACATCAGAGATCTAATGCAGAAGAAGTGGGACACCCAAGTAGGTATTAATAAATTACATGTTATAAAACCAACTATCGGTTACACCTACTTGGGTTGTCAGTCCAGATTTGAAGAGGTCATTTTACGACGATGTCGTATTGGCCACAGCAGATATACGAATGAATATTTACTTAAAGGTGAGGATCCACCGTTTCGTGATAAGTCTAGTTATTTTACTGTCCCTTGTTGATCGGTTTTTATAGTTTGCATGTATTATGTATATAACCTTTGAAAGTCACGATATGGCCGAAATATTGCCGATGTGACTTAACATCTTAACTCACTCACTCACTCCAATTATCCATAGGCAGCATGACATGATTAGAAAATTACTTGTTAGAGATTTGGATTGGTTATTTGTTTTTATCTTGAAGGTAAAGGCACCTGATATTTAGCCCACGTGCCTTGCAGACGTAACCAAATAGCCTGCCCCTTTACTAATTACAGAATAGTGTTTAAGTGCTCAAGTACCATGTGTTCTGCATAACAGGCAGCCATACCCCATTTCTTTCTGTGTCCAATCATGGTTATACGTTTGTACTAGTTAAAACCGGGTTTATACAGCACATATTTCAAATTCGCTGGGTATTAAAATTCCCTCATTTTGGGTTTAAATGTGTACTTTATATTTTCCTGTTTACCCGACTTTCAGCACACCTCAGGTAGGATATTATATGTTTCCGGTGGTAGAAAGGATGTGATAATTCGCTTTGGTTATACAATTTATGATCATTAAGGTAAATACTTGCTGGTGTTGTGTGCTTACTTATGCACCTGTGCATCAACTGTAGCATCAATAATGTGTACATATTCTTTAATAAATTGCTTTCTATAAGTATTATCATCACAATTCACATAGCGCTTGGATTATTGTTAATTCGTGTAAATATGTTTTACAAGCCAGCCTCTTTCTGCCTGCAGTGTCAAGGTGACAATATATCGATGCATATATATTAGGATTGTGTTATAGGTGTCTGCTAGACCGTGCAATCAGGATTTACAACCTGAAACCAAGAACTTCATTGCAATATTATATTATTACTATTGTGTCATCTTTGACTGGAGTATTTTGCGCAGGTTGCAAACTTGCCCATTCGTTTCCATGAGACAAAATCTTATCGTGACAGTGGTCATTTAACAGGTCTTAAACACGTATGTAGAATTCAGAACTGGCTATAACTTCATGTGTGAGATCTTTCAAATATTAACTTCCTCGAGTATATTGGACGCTTCTACAGTCTGGCGAAAATCAAATGAACTTGTCTCTAAAAACATGTATCCAAAGTCTTTCATCTTAGTCCAGAGAGCCTAACAATCATGTTTGAATAAATTGGTATAGTGTGCGTATGTTTGAACGAAAACGAGTACTAAATACATTATGAATGAAACGCTTTACTTACGTTCGGGTCCAGGTTTTTCAACTATGCATTCTCCGTCAGCCTGATGACACGTAGTGCAATTAACGAGGCATCTTTCTTCACAACTGCTTCCTGTAAATCCATCCTTACAGCCGGTACAGAGCACGTTTCCATGTATGGATATTGAACAGTGTGATTTGTAACAGTTTGTTGGACAGTCATGAGAACACATTACTCCATACTTTCCCAAAGTACATCCTGTCATGCACGTACCATTCCAACGGTGACAAAACTTATCAAGGCAGAATTCACTGCAGTCTTTACAGTGGTTACCGAAGGTAACGTTACTGCAAAGAAAACAGTATCCACTGTTAATATAGCAGATTTTGCTCTGGCAATGATCACTGCATGTATACTCACATTTAGGACCACGATATCCATGTCTACAGCTATGGCAACCTCCATCAGTAGGATCACAGTAAGTTTTGTTAACTGTACCAGTCCCACAATTGTCTCCACATGTCTTATTACATTGTCCGTTTGGCCCATTGTAGTAGCCCTGCTCACAAAAACGGTTGCATTTTGAGTCAATATATATGCCTCTACACTTTGGACAGTTTATTTCACACCGTTTGCCTGTATTCCGTCGGCAGCAGGGACACTTGCCATCCACCTCCTTGACGTCACAGTCAGATAAATCTGCAATGAAAGAAGGGTGAAATAAGAATTCCACTTTTAATACTCTAATGAATTTTCAAGCTCCAAAACGTAAAGCAATGTGCAATAAACAACTAAAATGATGGTAAATCGGGTGTTTGTTTGATACAGAGCTTTTAAAATTACGGTGTTAGTGATGATATATATTTTTATATCCGGGCGCTGAGGTTAAGCTAGATGTATAGTCATCATGTTATAATAACCAAACCTACACTAATTGATATATTGTTTCCTTTGGGTTTTTTAAAATATATTGCTTACAACATTTTGGTTTATGTACATAATAAAAATTAGTCAAATATATATGCAGCCTTAAGGTAGGTAGATACATACATCTTTTCAATTGAACCTTTTTTTTGTCTTTGCGCATCATTGACAATTTAATAAATCTAAGAATAACTTTTAGTGATGTTATGATTTGTTGTGTATGCCTGTAGTAGCATATGATGATTCCGATACTCAGTGTGTACTTAGTTGTTTTAATGCTAATACGTTTCCATTCTCCATTTTCTGATTCTTCTAGAACAGAGTTCAGTTATTTCAATCTGACGTGTATTGATGAAATAAAGAGCTAGAGGTTTAGTGCTGAAATATTGTTAAAGACGGCGTAAAACCATACTCACTCATTTACTCACTTTATTTCTATTTTAAAGATCTTTAATTTATTAAGCACCTTTTGGAGGCATTTGAGGTAAAAGATTGTTAGTCATTTTGGAATTATTCTTTAGCCACTATAGAAATGTCACACTACATTTAAGACTACTATTCTACTAGAACCTTATTTATTAGTGTAAATTTACATAAGTTTAGAACAGCTCTTTCTCGATTTTGTTGTGGCTCACATGATCTATTTATTGAAACAGGCAGATATGAAGGTATTGCAAGAGAACATAGACTTTGTATGATTTGTAAAACTGATTGTATTGAAGATGAATACTAGTTTCACTTTTTATGTGTATGTCCAGTGTATAAAGATTTAAATATCTAATTAAAACAACTATTTCTATCGCAACCCAAACGGTAACAAATTTTCTAAATTAATGACTTGTGATTTTACAGAAACTATTAGAAAATTATCAATGTTCATTTATCATGCTATGAAACTAAGAAAAGGTATGAATTTGTAACACGCCCCAGACAATGTACTATAGGTCTTTGGCCCCATAAGTACCATGAATAAAGATTGATTAAATAGATATATACGGTAAAGATGTTTACATACGCCAATGGCATCAATAATGACGCATTACCGGCGCATTACTGATAAGCAGGCCATAACATTATATTGATTTATTATACCATGTAAGATCTTTAGGTCATTTACGAATTAACAGTTTGTTATTATCACAGTAATGGGTAAATGGAGGTTCACTAAATATCAACTATCGGTGTTACCTCTTTTTCTTCTTGTGTCAGAATGTGCCATCTCCTCTAAACTTGGTTCCTCACAGCCAGCACCTTTCCATCCTTTCTGACAGCCAATTGAGCACTCGAAACTGCCATCTTGTGACATCGCACAAGTGTTGTTGAGACAATGTTGACCGCAATTGTTCTCACAGAACAATCCCCAGTAGCCTGTTTCACATGATTGGCACAGTCCATTGCGGTCACAGGTTGAGTTATAACATGTGGTGTTGCACTTTGCAGTACAATCGGGGCCATGCCAATGCTCCTTACATCCAAGTCTACAATATCCATCCATCTGGTTGCAGACCTTGTTCACACATGTTGAAGGACATTGCTGATCACATGGTTCACTAAAAAAGCCTCCTCGGCAACCACTGAAACAACTGGATGTGTTTCGGGAACAAGCCGGCTTCTTGAAGACTCCATTGCGGCAATTGGTCGGACACGGCAGTGAACAGTTGTCGCCGTGATATCCTGCTTGGCAGCCATAGTCGTCACACAATCCAACCTCGTTGCACGTGTTGAAACAGTTCAGGCAACTTCCCGCTATATCTGCTAATACAGTGATTTTTAGCGTTATGTTTAAAATTGTTTGAAAGAGATACCAAAACACGGATCGGTGATGAAAAGGAGTTTTATTTCTACAATGACTAGAGAATACCAGTACTCGATTCATTTAAATCAATGAAAAATATACCAATTACTCTAACATATCTATTTGTTTATGGGAAACATCTCTACACAGAAATGTATGATTTATAAATTGTGCACTATTTATCCTCTGTTGACGTAAAAATATGCCATATATGCCATAAACGCATTGGCCACAATATACTGCGTTAGTGGTTTCAATTTTCAAATCAAATTGCAAGAGAATACTCGATGTGCATATGGTTCAAAGAAAACTATTATGAAGGACCCTCACATATCTAATTGGTATCTAGAAATGTATGTCGTTAAATATGAAATTTAGCAATATTCTGCAGACGTACCAACATGCTTTTAAAATGCCTAAATGTTCTAACAAATAACCACATAGGCCACAGTTTACAGCGTTAGTACACGTTCACATTCACATCAGACCCGTGAATATCCGGGATAGAATAGGTCTTCAGCAACCCATGCTTGCCGTAAAAGGCGACTAGCTTGTTGTAAGAGGCTGCTAACGGGATCGGGTGGTCAGGCTCGCTGACTTGGTTGATGCATGTCATCGTTTCATAATTGTGAAGATCAATGCTCATGATGCCAATCACTGGGTTGTCACGATTTGCAATTAATTCATGAAACCAAATATACACTATTAAATCAAATTATAGCAAAGTGTAGTAGTTCTGTAGTGACTTAATTACTTTTACTCATATTACCTATTCTGTCGTGGTCGCTGACGCACTTTGTTTCAGGTTCAGTAGAACAATATTCAATATGTGATAACAAATCCACAACCCTAAACCACTGACGGTAAATCCACTGCTTAGAACATGTCTGCATGTGGAGCAATCTCATCTTTATGAACATGATAAAACTATACGCGTGTCAGCTGTTACTTGGGGGACGTGTCGCTTTTGTGACTATGTGTTAAACTAAATATAATCGGTTGTACTCACAGGAAACAGTGCTCAATCCAACAACAATAACAAGAAGTGCATGATGTGCCATGGCGTCACAATTCTGAAACATATGCAAACCATGGCGTCACAATTCTGAAACATATGCAAACATGTTCACAAACGAAGTATTAGTGTATCAATATTATCATGTCAGTGACACTTGGAACCAGGACGAGATATCGAGGAGGCGTGCGTAAAATAACCCTCAAAGAGGTAAGCAGTGTGAACTGAAACAACACACGCTATAACCTCACCCCTGATACGTGACGAAATATCCAGGAGCATATTGTCACGTCGAAAAACAATAACGATGCGTATAACATTTACCTTTGCAAGAGCCGATTTGACTCTCATATGATCTTCCCTTGATGATATGGCCACACAGTATTATGTAATCCTATTCAGGGGATTCTGGTAATCCTATTCTTGAGTAATCAGTTACATTCTTCTCAGCGCACTTCTACAAGCCCTAAATAACCGCGCAACAACTGATCATCCCTTCTTTGGAAAGGCTTTACGCCCACTATCATACGACGAGTTATGAACACTTCTTTGTCAAAGTGAAATATTTCCTTGTGGTGCAAAGTATGCCTTGGATTGGGCTGTCACATGCACATTGCAATAGACCGATCCAGCATGTTGGCGCATGCGTCAGTTTGAGTCGATCAGAAGGCCGGGCGCGCTTTGTGGATTTGTCAGACTTACTTTCGGGTCAAACGATACCCGACAAGCGACGTGGCTACGGTTTGTGCTATTTTCACTCGTGATATTCATTACGTGTCGCTGGGATTAGATGTGTACCTTTACCCAAACCTACAGGGTCGGGAGAAAAATGTTTGAGGCTGATCAAGATGTGTAGTAGGCCTCACCATCAGTTAAATGTCGCCACCATCTTCCACGGGACCCACGTCTGCTCGAAGGTGAGAATTTGCACGAATTTTCGCACTTTTGCACTTATGCACGAAATCGAAATCCGGTTCGATTATCGATCAGATCGTCCTGACTGGGCGCCACCATTTTGTGTGAAGCAAACGCAAGTGATACGAGAGGTGGAATCTGATTGGTCCATAGGAGGGGCTTAGAACACTCTCCTACCCAGAGTTCCATGCGGCCGGTAGCCAGCTAGCATAGTACCTCTGCCACAGGCCAGCGCCATGTGACGATTCGTCACATCTTTCACAGCCCATTCAAGATATTGCATATGCTTTTCATCCGTTTCATGTTTGACAAGTCTACACATTTTCATAAACAAATGTCAAAGAATGGTTAACTTTCATTGAGAAAGTATGCAAATACTTAAAAATCTACTTGTTTTTGCGTAGTTATCCTATGTTTGCATTGGTTGTACGGCTCCACGTGCTGTCATCGAAGCCCAACGGAGAGCTAGCGACACGGTCACTTTGATGCATAAATATATATTGTCATACAACTCACTGTCGCAGTTGTAGTAGCATATCTATATAGTTATGCAAAACAATATGTAAAGCGCCCCCAAATACTTGCATTAGTCGGTTCTATACTGATTTCTGAAAAAGCGCGTTTGTTTACAAACAAGAGAAAAGTCTGGTCACGTGATATGCAAATTAGCCTGTGGCAGTGGTGTTATGCTGAGTCACCACTGCGACGGAGTGTGGGCTTAGAAGAGACATAACTGGTAATAGCCATTGGTGGCGCTACGATCGAGCCCAGTAAATCGAGCCTAGTTTGGCAAGGGGGGGGGGGGGGGGGGGGGCTGGACTTTGAAAGTTAGTTAACTCTATTGCCTCGGGAAGATGAGAAATATAATCTTTGTCAATGGTTTTCGTTCCACAAAATCTTTCAATTTAATTCATATAAGGTCCCTATTAAATCATGCTTTGACTATTTCACCATTTCTATGAAGAGACAGGACCCATACAGTAATGACTTACCTGATCCTATTCCTGTGACATGGAATAATCCCTTCAAGGTTGGAAAGAAAAGGAAACTTTCGTGAGAAGGAAGTTAATTACTGAAATATTTTGACAGATTGAAATTAACAAAATTAGTTGATATAAGAAAATTATTGGTTTAGAATTGTTTGCAACATAAGTTATTCACTGGTGGAATCTAGTGGAAGCTAACTGGTATACATTTTAGTGAAACTATATAAGTGTTAAAAACGATTATAATTGTCCAGTTATTTTAATTAATTGTCTGGAAATAATAGCAAGTTTTTTTATGAACTCAGAGCAACATGGTCAACTAATGTAATAAATTATGATCTAAACAAGTTATTAATAATTATTCCAACCAGTTGTTTAATGTGATGCCGTATATAAGTAAGATAAATATGATTTAATTGCACTAACTAACAAACACTAAATGTTTGATGGTACAACATCCACCTGGTATATAACCTAACTTGTTGGCTCTTTCTATAGGACATAATATTATTTAAAAATTCTTTTTAAGTAATATCATTTAAAAAAAATATTTTTAAATAATATAGTTTTAAAAAGATAGTGTTGAAAGTGATTACCAGTATCATAACGCATGATACTTATTTCAAGATACAAAGAATTTGTAAAAACAAAGGCACTATCTTGTCACACCCTGATCAGGCATTATCCAGAGTGCCTGATCAATTCTGATACAGAATAAATTATATAATTCTTAATACATTTCATATATAACTGTGAATATTGAAATGTATTTAACCACAAATGTAATTCTTTACTTTGACCTGAGGAGATTGTCAAAATTTGATATTTGAGCAAGAGCTAGTGTTTATTAAGGATGTTGGTTATTTACCTATTGTTCAAGTTTTGGTTATGATTATGTTGAGAATGAGCTTTATATCTACTTCACAGTGATTTTGCTTGCTTCAGGACATTTTTAAGTGGGGTTTTTATCTTTTGATATGACTTTACTAAATTTTAAAAGAATTTGAGGACATTATAGATGACAATCAGTCTGTATCTCAGAAAAGGAACTGGTCTGAATCCCTGTTTGTGTGTATTTTTATTATTTAAGAAAAAAATCATGTTCACACCAGTATTTGTGAAGCATACTTGGGATGTATGTTTAAATATCTAATGAACTCCAGGTGACCAGATACCTGATATTTGCATCTAAATGTATGTTGTTTCATGCATAAGTAGTACTTGTCACTTCACATGTGATTTGTAAAATGAAATATATATTATTTAGTGTTATGTCCTATAGGCATGTGGTTTCTGGAGCAATAAAAGAATTATTTCTTCTTACTAAGTAACAGTCATGATGTCGACAGGTAATTTTGTTGATCAAAGCTTTGAACTTATGACATATTTAAGTCTTTGGATGGCATTAAGAAGTGATTAAGGAAGAGAATTTAAGGAGGGTGGTGTTCCTCATAGTTAAGAAGTTGACATCCATAAATTCTCTTCCTTATGAGATATTTGTTGTACTTAATTTACATGTTTAGTTGTTAACAGTAATAATTCTTGGATTCATGACAAGTCTTTAGATTAAAAAAGATCATATATGAATTTTAATTTGTGTTGTATATTTTATCAATGCAAGTTAATTGATGGGAAGTACTGCGGACCCTTTTACAGATACTTTTACCATCGCAGGTTTCCTTTTTCTGGAACATCTCCTCTTTGGTCTAGTGGTAGAGCGTCCGCCCGGAGAGCGGAAGGTCTTGGGTTCGATCCCCGGCCGCGTCATACCAAAAGACGTTAAAAGATGGTACTTGTTGTTACCTGTCTGGCGCTCGGCATTAAGAGGCTAAAACAAGCTCGGCTTGTCAGTATACTGTGTCTGAGGGGGTATTCATGTTAAACTGCGGCATTGTATCTCAGTGGGCTAGCACTATAAATCGGCATCAGTCCGGGCTAGTACAAGCAGCCACACACACACACACACACACACACACACACACACACACACACGTACATGCACGTTGCTATATAATTGCAATAATCTTGGACGCGACGTTAAACCCACATGCACCTCACCTCACCTTTTCTGGAACATGGATCCGATTGATTTGCCATAACCATGGCAGTTAAAGGTGCTCATTTTATCTTGGATCCTCTCAATGTTTTCAACTGTAACAGTTCTAACATCCACGTACCTAAATACTGGCAGTTTATTGAGACCCACTAACTCTATGCCTTTCAGGTTATATTGGTTTTCCTAAGAGCACCAGACAAAAAACGCGAGCAATGTAACTGTTGACAATCTATTTATAGATATCCACATGATTTGTAACATGTTCTTGTGTTTACGGTTTCCAGTACTTTCGAAGTACTTAAATTACGATGTAAAGTAAAAACAAATTATAGTTACCACGCCCTTGGATTAATAATACATTATTGAAATGCTGTAAATTGACAATATAATATGTTCTGCTTCACATGAGTGCTTCGAAGTCGTGCACGCTTCTAACTTTCAGCCATGGTGACGTCCTCATTGACCGATACACCATTACATCGGACTTGTGACTCATTCTCAATTCCCATATGCGATTTGACAACTAAAATAGAACCCAAAACAGATCATATATAACTCTCTTTAGATATTGTTGACACACGACTGGTAACAAAGCATTCTAAGCCAAATTCATCGCCCGCGTGTTCAAGTTTCGCCGGCTGTGACGCCATAGCAAAAAAGCCAGCGGTTGTCCCGCCTAACGCCTAAGACGACGACGGCAGCTTGTGGGCGGGGCTTATCGGTCGGGACTGGATCGGTCTATTGCTGTCTATCAGACCGTGTCTTGTACAGTTTCATGAATATGTGTTACGTGGACCTCATCTGAGTGCGTCATATTTAGATAAAATTCTGTCTTGTGTTTCCTTGTTCCTGAATCTGACACTCGTGAATAGTGTGCGGGCTCGTGTGCAGGATTGCACGTAGAACATTTTAGATCCCTGTTAAAAAACCTCCTACCTCAAATATGATATGTTATCTCAGTGGGCTGGCAATGTGAAAACCGGCATTAGTCCGGAGGGATACAAGCAGGCACACACACGTGCATGCATGCATGTCGCTATGTTAGTGCAATAATCTTGAAAGCGACATTAAACACGATTTCACCTCACCTCACCTAACCCTACCCCACCCCACCCCACCCCACCCCACCTCACTTCACCTCACCCCCTCCTCAACTCACTCCACCCCACCCCACCCCACCCCACCCCACCCAACCCCACCCAATCTCACCTCACCCCACCTCACCTCACCTCACCTCACCTCCCTCACCTCACCTCACCTCACCTCACACCACCTCACCTCACACCACCTCACCTCACCACCTCACACCACACCACCCCACACCGCCCATCCCACCCCAACTCACCAAGTAACCATGAAGTGTTATCTATTCCTATAACATGTGACCACAGAACATGCTTGATATAGAGCTGACAGCTATTTTTAAATTGCATTACTATCAGTATGTACAGATCTTTTGGAATGACATCAGCGATGAGCGTGTGTTCATAAATAGTCCGCATTGACCAAATCTTCATAGTCACCATTAACAGATCAAAATTATACGTACCCACGTGTAGTTGGTGCAGGACTAATCTCATGTGCATAACATGGTCACAGTGATACTACTCCTTGTACCGTTACTCGCAGGTAGGTCATACTTTCATTATCTAGAGGTATCAATCCAACCTACTTGTTACACAATTGTTAACCCGTGATCAGTTGAAATATGTTTCTGTTGTATGTCATGTCATGCTACATTTCTAGGCGATCAGGTAGGTCATGCGTCCATTGTCTTCGCCATTTCTGAGTGATACCTGAGTGATTGAGTGAGTGAGTGACTAGGCGATACCTGAGTGAGGAGTGTTTGTTTGTCTGTTTGTTGTTTAACGCCGCACTCAGCAATATTTCAGCTATATGACTGCGGTCTGTAAATAATCCAGTCTGGACCAGACACTTCAGTGACTGACATCATGAGCATCGATCCACGCAATTGGGATTGATGACATGCATCAACCGAGCCAGCGAGCCTGACCACACGATCCCGTTAGTAGCCTCTTACGACGAGCGTAGTCACTTTTTACGGCATGCATGGGTTGCTGAAGACCTGTTCTACCCCGAATCTTCACGGGAAGTGAGTGACTGGGTGAGTGAGTGAGTGAGTGAGGAGTGTAGCTATATTCCATCAATATCAAAACTAGGACATCAAGAATTGGCTTCAGACATTGTAAACATTTAGGATTTTAAACCTGGACCCCAGAAGCCCAGGTGAGGTAACTTCTATCATATAACACGAGAAATGAGTTATTGTCTATAAGCCTCATGCCTTACAGTTTATACAGCTGTGGTTTCCACGTGGACATCCCCTTATGTTAACACCAGGTGTTGATAGGAAATGAAATTGTTTGTATAAATAAGAGTACCTCTATCGTTTTAAGTTCAGGTTATGATTGCTTATCCTTATTTATCGTTTTAAACATTTTCCTCCAGATGGTATTCGTCCCCCATCACTCTGATCTTGCAGTCCATTATCGTACTAAATATTCCAGGTTTTATATGCCATATCAGTCTCAGACAGGTTTTATCACCATATCGACCTCAGAAAGGGTTTATCCAACATATCAACCTCAGTCAGGTTTTATCCACTATATCAACCTCAGACAGGTTTTATCAAACTCATAAATCCTAGACAGGGTTTCTCCAACATCAACATCAGACAGGGTTTATCAACACTATCAACATCAGACAAGTTTTATCCACTATATCAACCTCAGACAGGTTTTATCAAACATATCAATCTCAGACAGGGTTTATCTGCCATATTAATCTCAGACAGGTTTTATCCACCATTTCAACCTCAGACAGGATTTAACCACCATATCAACCTCAGACAGGGTTTATCCAACATATCAATCTCAGACAGGTTTTATCCAACATATCAACCTCAGACAGGGTTTATCAAACATATCAACCTCAGACAGGGTTCATCTGCCATATCAATCTCAGACAGGTTTTATCCAACATATCAACCTCAGACAGGATTTAACCACCATATCAACCTCAGACAGGGTTTATCCAACATATCAATCTCAGATACATGTAGGTTTTATCCAACATATCAACTTCAGACAGGTTTATCAAACATATCAACCTCAGACAGGATTTAACCACCATATCAACCTCAGACAGGGTTTATCCAACATATCAACCTCAGACAGGGTTTATCCAACATATCAATCTCAGATACATGTAGGTTTTATCCAACATATCAACTTCAGACAGGTTTATCAAACATATCAACCTCAGACAGGATTTAACCACCATATCAACCTCAGACAGGGTTTATCCAACATATCAACCTCAGACAGGGTTTATCAAACATATCAATCTCAGATACATGTAGGTTTTATCCACCATTTCAACCTCAGACAGGATTTAACCACCATATCAACCTCAGACAGGGTTTATCCAACATATCAATCTCAGACAGGTTTTATCCAACATATCAACTTCAGACAGGTTTATCAAACATATCAACCTCAGACAGGATTTAACCACCATATCAACCTCAGACAGGGTTTATCCAACATATCAACCTCAGACAGGGTTTATCCACCATGCCAACCTCAGACAGGATTTAACCACCATATAAACCTCAGACAGGGTTAATCCAACATATCAATCTAAGACAGGTTTTATCCAACATATCAACCTCAGACAGGGTTTATCAAACATATCAACCTCAGACAGGGTTTATCCAACATATTAATCTCAGACAGGTTTTATCCAACATATCAACCTCAGACAGGATTTAACCACCATATCAACCTCAGACAGTGTTTATCCAACATATCAACCTCAGACAGGGTTTATCCAACATATCAACCTCAGAGAGATATAACCACTATATCAACCTCAGACAGGGTTTATCCAACATATCAACCCCAAACAAGGTTTTATTCAACATATCAACCGCAGACAGGTTTTATTCTTCATAACTCTTTTAACCCGTGTCAAAGCATATGATCGCCCGATAAGTCACCATACACACACATTCTTATCATTCAATTTTTCACAACTGTGATCGCACAGGCACACAGCCATAAATCTCCGATACAACTGTGTGCACAATGCTTCGTCCGTATACCTGAGATGGCAGGTAGCTCTCCGGTCACAGTCATAGTCATTGTATTACCTTTCCTCACAGGTAAGTCATAGTTTCCACATCCGTTGTATTAATACAGGACTCATTTCAAGTGTGTTAATGAGCGTGACCATCGGTGGATATACACGACACAACAGGTGACAGGTATATGACTGCACCAGTTAGCTGTTATTGACTATGTAAGCTTAGAACATGTTACAGCATGCGACGTAATTTATCTTGTAGTGTAAATAATGACTTTGTCACCTGCAAGAAATAAGTTTCATACACCGAGGCGATGCAATGAACGTTTCCAATAAGTTAGTGTTTCATGTAGGCGTTTCTGTAAATAATCATGGTAGTCCTACTAGAAAAGAAGGTGACCTTGACCTTTAGTATCATATTCATACCTGCAGTGGTGTCTAAAGTTACTTCGGTGAAAATACAAAATAAACTTAATTAAACGAAAGTATTTCTCTTGTTTATTTCCGTATTGTATTCATATTTTCTGAAAAAGAATGTACAGTCGGACCACGGTATCTCGAACCTAGCGGGACAGTGAGGGGAACTTCGAGATATCCGGACATTCGAAATTTCGAGGCTGGGACAGCGAGATGGATCAAGTAACAGTACTGTAGGTCCACAACAATTCGATTACATAAACGAGAAATTAAGAACATAAATCGTGTAGGCGATGACAAGTTGAAATGTATTTCACAGTCAATTATCGTGGGGGAACGGGTGGCCCTGTCGTCTAAGGCGCCGCAATTCGCTGTGCAGAGTTGCATCCCTTGGACACGCCGGAAACCTATGATTGTGGGTTCGAATCCCGGTTCGCCCCGATTATCTTTCCAGGTTTGTCAGCACCATACCCGTGCTCGTGGGTTTCACCGAAGTGGCAAAAGTCTCAGACCTGCAACACCGGCTTTCCTCCCACATTAAGCCGTGATATAACTGGAATACTGTTAAAAGCAGCGTTTAACCCAACACACTCACTCACTCACTCAAAGACAATGATCAATAACAATAACAAAGAAATATATAGGAGAAACGCTCACCGCTATGTGAAATTATTATTATTGCGCTTGTCAAACCTATTAATGTGGCAAATATAAAGGTATAAAACAATTTTTGTAAGCCAAAATTGGGACCGAGTTCGAGATAGCGCTGTGTATGTCACATTTATATGTATATATGTCCATAGTGAGATGGTGGGGACCGGAGAATAGGTTCGAGATATCGCTACATTCGAGATAACGGGATTCGACTGTACATTGAAAGCAGTTTAATACATATTGTTTATAATATTGTTTATTATTACTGTTTATTACAATAATATATATATTCACTACCCGGATTCACACTCGGCTAATTATCTCTATACAGTAAACTACGGTTATAACGAATTCTGTGGATCGATGCTCATGATGTCAATCACAGGATTGTCTGGTTCAAACACAATTATTTATAGACCGCCATCATATAGATGTATTGCTGAGTGCGGCTTTAAGAAACAAACAAACAAACAAACAAACAAACAAACTCTAAGGACTTGACGTTTTCCCACAGGAACCGTTCTTGGATCAGCCTGTGGGCCACACTGTTACTTTTGTAAACCAACCGGGTCCTGCACGCTCTGTAACAGCGGCTGGTACGGATCTGGATGCAAGACCCGGTGTCCACTAACCTGCCCCGGGAGCTGTCACAAAACCACCGGCTTCTGCAAGTCCTGCCTGGAAGGAACTTACGGGAACCTCTGTCAAGAGAAATGCTCTCCGAACTGCAGTGGCGGCAGACTGTGCAACCGCAGGGATGGGGACTGTACTGAAGGATGCCAGCAGGGTTTCCATGGTAGCAGATGCACTGTGAAGTGTGGACACTGTGTAGATGGTGATTGTGAAAGACTTTCAGGCAGCTGTGCCGCAGGATGTACTGATGGATGGACAGGACACAAATGCAGTGTAGAGTGCATGCCAAGGTGTATCAAATGCACTACGCCCAATGCTTGTGTGTTGTGTGAGGGAGACCTCCTTGGACCATTTTGTGATATAACGAGGAACATGACGGCTATAGAAACTACGATACTACCTTCTCCACCTGCTAACAGACAACCTTTGAATAATTCAGACATTGCTCAAAGTAAGTGTGAATCTCCATACCAGTATTAATTGGCGCATCATTTTTAAAGTTTGTATGTTGACAAATTATTTCAGAAGCATTAGATATAAATTGTACGTTCGCGAACACCTGGTGTCATGACTGATTTTCAGTGGTCCATTCTCAGATATTTCACTCTTTAAACCAAACGGAATCTGTTTCCGCGGATAATGTGGACTTGTTATTCTCTCGCATTGACGTTATATATTTATAGGGTAACAAAGTTTAACTTTAACGCAGTATATTTATTATATTTCTTTTTCATTTACAGCTGAGGACAAGTCTGGAGCAGTTGTTGGCATTTCTTTGGGAATAATATTTACAATTCTCATAGTGCTCCTTATTGTATGCATATTGGTGTACACGGACGGAATTAGAAAAATGTAAGTCTTTAAATTAAAGAGAACTTATGAAAAGACAACATAAATGTGTAATACAGTAAACTACGGTTATAACGAACACGCTTATAACGAACTGACGAATATAACGAACTTACTTTTTTGGTCCCGACGACTTGCTGTAGTTATGTTGTATATGTGCTTATAACGAACTACGTTTATAACGAACTAAAATTAGTAGTCCCTTTAAGTTCGTTAAAACCGTAGTTTACTGTACTTGAAATGTTGTAATGCCGACATATGCCACCATAAGAAATCATTAGGGGTGCGATACATTTAAATTCCAATATCATATTCTTTCTTCAGTCGTCGAGTATTTGATCCCGTTCATAAGGCTCACCGGCACCCCCAACACGAGCCTCTGTATCACCACGATGCACTAGGCAGTCCAACTATCAGTAGAAGCCATCTAAAACGTAAGTGCTTGAGTTGATTTGCCTTTGCATGTGTTTGTGACGGGTGTCATTGGTAGAGAAGGATACGCTCACACGAACTCCTGGTATCATTCCTATTTGAAATTAAGTCGTAATCGTACAGTGGACTAAGCTTTTAGCAGATTTTGGAAAGGTTTTTGTCGGTTTTATTTAAACAGTAAGGACAAATATATCCCTTACATTAGTCAATGTACTCTTTGTTATCCAGTAATCTCACATAATGCTCTCTGTAATGAATTAATTATGAATATTCATCACTTGCACGCTTTCCTTGAAATTACACCTGGTAATAATAACTGACATTGCATGTTCTTATAACAAGATACTTGTTGAAGATGAACCATAACAGATATGTAATAAATTTTGTACAATAGCCTTGTTTGCAAGTGTATATTTTTACTGTTGACAGTAAACGAACATACAAACAGAAAATAGTGCTGAGGGCATTTGAAGAGAAAGGACGGGTCTGGTGAGATGTACAACAAAAGGCTTGACCAAGAAGACGGGTCTCCAAAGGAAGACATTGTGTGAGAGGCAGGTGCTAGCGGCACAGCAAGACATGCTCACCCTCTTCGCTAACACCTGGTGTCATCACTGATTTTCACTGATCATTCATGTAACTTTCACCTCTATTTTGCCATCTATGCCCAGTGGAATCTGTTTCGGCAGATACTCGGGTCTGACTATTCTAGTTCCTTCAACAGAGAATGGTTGTACTTTGACAACGCTGACTAAAAGGGCACCCATGGGGCATACTAGGGGTATACTAGGGGCGTACTAGGGGCATACAAGGGACATACTAGGGGCATACAAGGGGCACACGAGGGGCACACAAGGGGCATACAAGGGGCACACAAGGGGCATACTAGGGGCACACAAGGGGCATACTAGGGAAACACAAGGGGCACACAAGGGGCAGACGAGGGGCACACAAGGGGCATACTAGGGGCACACAAGGGGCATACTAGGGAAACACGAGGGGCACACAAGGGACACACAAGGGGCAGACAAGGAGCACACGAGGGGCATACGAGGGGCACACAAGGGGCAGACGAGGGGCACACAAGGGGCATACGAGGGGCACACAAGGGGCATACATGGGGCACACAAGGGGCATACATGGGGCACACAAGGGGCATACTAGGGAAACACAAGGGGCACACAAGGGGCATACAAGGGGCACACAAGGGGCATACTAGGGGCATACAAGGGGCACTCAAGGGGCATATTTAGGACACACAAGGGGCATACAAGGGGCGGGCACACAAGGGACACACAAGGGGCATACTAGGGGCATACTATTGCTCCTCGAAACTGCTTGGATTGTCTTTATACAAGTGTATTATTACGTTTTTAAATAAATGACATAATACAAAATTCATTTGTGACGTTTTGTCCCCAACATCATTCTGGCACATTGAATCCTAAGATCAATCATTGTGGTCAGGAATGACTCGATGGATCAACCTGACTTACATAGAAGTTTGTTTCTAAATATTCAGCATGGAGTACTTCAACGTTTAAAGTGCACGACTTGAACGTGAATTCGTCATTGTCACAGTTCAGAAATGAGTGTCCCAGTGAACATCCAGAGTAATAACTATTTTAGCAGTGCCAGTAGCGGATGGCCAGAGAAACCATCTTCGCCTAGGGTTTACGATGACACACAATCAGGCATATTCTGACCAAGCGATCTAAACTTCAATTACGACAAGGAAGGGAGCTTTTAAAGGCAAAATAATATATCGTGTTGTTCAAAAGAAAATCTCTCTGCTCGTGAACATTAATCTTTGATCCGCTTCGTCTTGAATGTTCGTATAAATAAATAGGAATAGTATATATTAGTATTTGGATCTAAAACGACATCAAGCTGCAATTGATAAGGGATTATAATAGCACTCTGCAGCTTTGTATGGTTTTATGCTGACTATATAACACAATAATGGTTTTCACTGGTATCATGAGGCCCGTGAAGATCCGAGATAGAATAGGTCTTCAGCAACTCACGCTTGTCGTAACAAGCGACTACGCTTGTAAGAGGCGACTAACGGGATTGGGTGGTCAGGCTCGCTGACTTGGTTGATACATGTCATCGTATCCTAGTTACGTAGATCGATGCTCATAATGTCAATCACTTGATTGCCTGGTCCAGATTCGATTATTTACAGATCGCCGTTATGTAGCTCAAATATTTCTGAGTCCGGCGTTAAAAAACAAACAAACAAACTGCTATCAGGGACACAATGTTTCATTATACTCCCAGTGTAGTCATCATACCAGGGAAAAGATGCTGTGCTGCTCTCAACGATATAGGTGTCTTTGTATTCACCTGATACATAAATAACATACACCGGGTGAGCGCTCGTATTCTTCATCTTACTCCGACAAAATGTCAACATCCACCGTCACAAAGACGGGTAGTCGAAGCAATATTAAGTTAGGCAGCATTCACAACCAACGACTAAAATACTAACACGTAGAACCATACATGTGTCTAACATCTCGTCGTGGCGGATTTTATAAGTTTGTATGCTATGCGTAGCTTTTGTCTGCCTTGTTTGAATGAATGGCACATAATGTCAACGACCGATTCAGTAATGCCCATGAATACGCCCCAACAGGCTTTCCGCTATCGGAACATGAACTTAAAAACATCCATTCACACCATACTTAATGTATACCTGAATATGCAGGCGTAGTCTCCTGCTCGATAGGGCAATGTGTGTTGGCGTCATGACTGGTATTACCTTTACTTCTATTAATGTTAGTTTGTTGTTTAACGCCGCACTCAGCAACATTCCAGCTAAATGACGGCGGTATGTAAATACTGGAACAGTCTGGAACAGACAATCCAGTGATTAATTTCATGAACATCGATCCACGCAATTGGGATCGATGACATGCAACAACCAAGTCAGCGAGCCTGACCACCCGATCCCGTTAGTCGCCTTTCACGAGAAGCATAGTCATCTTTTACGGCAAGCATGGGTTGCTGAAAACCTATTCTACCCCGGATCTTCTAACTTTCTATGGTGAGGCGTGGAGGTGTGAGGTGTGGACACTGTTTTAGATGGTGCTCGTGAACGACGTTCTGGGAACATGGCAGATATGTCAGGCTGATTGTATTCTGAGGTTTACCAAATGTGTGACGGGGTTTGAGCACTTGTACCATACCCGGTTTTTTTAGGTGAACAATTGACTTCCCTTTGCATGTGTTTGTTACGGGTGCCACCGGTGGTACAGAATAGGCTCACCTTTTCGCGAACACCTGGTATCATCACTATTTGTTAGTGATCCATAAACACATGCTCATGCTGTGGTCGGAATCGTACAATCTGCTTTATGCAGAGATTTGGTTGGTTGGTTATGGTTGGTTCTGGTTGGATGGTTGGTTTGTTGGTTAACGCTGCTCTCAGCAATATTCCAGCTATATGACGGCGGTCTGTAAATAACCGAGACTGGACCAGACAATCAGGTGATTTATTTTGTCTCTTTATGTAAACCACCTTACTGTAACTATACAGAGAGCGCTGCGTCTGATAGAGGTACACAAGATTATAAAATGTAGTCCAAAGCCATTATAAATACATTATGAACAATACGGCACATACCCGTTTAGAATGATATCTATGGTATCTAACGAGTGTGGTATTTTATTTATTGCCCATGTTAAGTATGTATTTGGGTTTTAAAAAATAACGTTATTGTTCACTTTTGGGATGTTTTGGGCCACAAAATGAGAAGCCAGACACAATTCAACGAAGTGTGCGTATTTGTGTATTTATGTTCAGTTTGAGGGATCTGATTGAGCACTTGTGTACGTTCATTTATAAACAAGTACTTTCGGAAAAAAATGTCACAAACTACGTGACCCGTGAAGATCCGGGGTAAAATATGTCTTCAGCAAGCCATGTTTGCCCATGATTTCAATCACTGGATTGTCTGGTCCAGTCTCGATTATTTACAGACCGCCGACACATAGCTGGAATATTGCTGAGTGCGGCGTTAAGCAACAAACAAGCAAAAAAAAAAACACAAACCACGTTTTGAATTGAACACCGAAGGTACAGCTATCGAATCTCCATTCCGACCCGCTCAACTGTTTACATAAAATCAAATTGAAAGACACGAAATCGGTCGCTCATTGGGACCCCGATTTATCTGTAGTCGTACATGACAATTAAATATAGGTCGATTATATTATGCCTGTAATGGACCCATGCATAACTAATATAGAATGAAAAGCGAATTTGATGCATGTCACGAGTGAGTGAGTATGGTTTTACGCCGCTTTTAGCAATATTCTAGCAATATCACGGCGGGATACACCAGAAATGGGCTTCACAAATTGTACACATGTCGGGAATCGAACCCGGCTCTTCGGCGTGACGAGCCAACGCTTCAACCACTAGGCTACCCGACCGCCCGATGCATGGCACGAACTTGTTGGAATAATTAAGTGTTAATTTCGAAAAATCTCGTTATTGTTTATGAATTCCAGCGTGACCTTAGCGAGGTCCCGGTTGTCTAATCAAAACGACTTAAACGTCAACCTTGTATGATCCTCGTGTAATGTCTCTTCACCTCGTGAGTAATAATTTTTTTATCAATTATTTTATTGTATCGCATCTGATAATGTGCGTGTATTTTGAAATTCTTCTTGAGTTACTTATGGAAAAAAACACTGAGGAAGTTCTACGATGATGGTTTTACGCCGCTTTTAACAATATTCCAGCAATATCGCGGCGGGTGACACCAGAAATAGGCTTAACACATTGTACCCATGTCGGGAATCGAACCCAGATCTTCGGCGTGACGAGCGAACGCTTTAACCACTAGGCTACCCGACCGCCCCTTTTCGGGAAAAGATCCATTGAATGACTAATACAGGGTGGATAATTTAGGTACCCGTTTTAATATTTACACATGGCCTTTCGTCTATCAGTATATCTGGCAAAGGCAAATGTCGAACAAACAGTGAATGGTTGATCAAATACCAGTTATAGACAAGTATAGTGACATGCTACGCACAATAATGTAGTTATCAATGTTAACAGGTGGGGACATATGTTTGCTTAGCTGTTGACTTTTCTTTCGTTGCCACGTCACGTTCTGATACGCTGGGTCACAGTGACCTTAAACAAGCTTGCTGCAAAATGGGTCACACCTTGAAACACTTCCCGTATATACCTGTATGTGTGTATGTGGAAATCTCTAACTGGGACGTATTAGCTACACTTACGTTATATACAATGTTCAGATTTTCGAATGTGTGGCTATTACCGGCATAAGGCGTTTTCAAACACGAATGTACCTTCCAGAGTATGTTTTACCTATGCATGTGTCCGTCTATTGTTAGGGATCGATTCGAACACAAACTGTCTAGAGGACAAAATTGCTAACCCTGTATTCAACAAGCAAGTACATATCTCCGCTTGATGCATTACCGCTCACCTGGGGCGAAACTTCCGTTTAACATAAATGTTTTATAGACCAATGTTTTACTGTCTGATTATCCTGTTATATAATTATCAAGTATACACAGGTCATTTTAACATTCATACACGAACTGGGGCGGTGGGGAAAACATGTTGTTAAAACTTGGCTCTTTGTATTGATTCCCAACACGGGAACAATGTGCGAAGCGTTTTGCTGGTGTTCCCTGTCGTGATAGTGCAGTAATATTGCTTTAAAAAACGGCGTAAAACTATATTCACTCACTCACGAAGCCACAGATTCAGTAATTCATTAAGGGACGTAGTGATGACATAAAGCAATATCAACATTGTTTAACCTCCAGGATGAACCTCATTTATGTGGTATACCTCACAATGCACTGCCCCGAAACAGGATTGATTGATTGATTGTGTTGTTGTTGTTGTTTTACGCCGCGCTCAGCAATATTCCAGCTATATGACGGCGGTCTGTAAATAATCGAGTCTGGACCAGGCAATCCAGCGATTGATGTCATGAGCATCGACCAACGCAATTGGGATACGATGACATGCATCAACCAAGTCAGCAAGCCTGGCCACCCGATCCCGTTAGTCGCCTCATACGACAAGCAAAGTCGCCCTTTACGGCAAACATGTGTTGCTGAAGACCTATTCTTACCCGGATCTTCACGACGTGCGCGTATGACTGCTACCTGCTCACGAAACACATTACAACAACGTGATTTTTGAACAGCTACCCGCCATGAGTAGCAACAGCTTAATGTGTGTATTCAGCGTCTTTCACCTGTGCAAGGTACAACACAGGGCACTCTATACTAACAGGTACGCACTCGGCCTCACTTTTATGACTGTCGCTCTGAATAAACCGCTTCGTGTTTATGCAGGTTTCAAAAATAGTTCAGATATATATGTGTGGGTGAGGCGATAAGGGAGGGGCAGGGTTGTGTCAACGTCATGGTAACTAGATTCGTTTAACGGAAATACACGTTTGAAATTCAGTGACATAAAAACAGCATTATGTGAAATTTCGTTGTGTGTGTTGCCTACAGGCATATGCTGGGACACGCGTTCAACCTACAGGGACGTGCACACTGCCATGATGCGGTCCAGGGGCCTATCACAAGTGATGGTGTTGCTGTTGACGCTTGTATCACAAGGTAATATATGTGTCTTGTCTCCATAGTATACGCTGCATGCATTATTTAACTTGTGTTGTCCTCGGGAGGGCGTTTAGTCAATAGATTTAGTTACACTGGCATCACGAAGAGACTTGTGCATGGTGTAAGCGTGTGTAACGCGGACATTTGTATGGAGCTATGCGTACAGTGACACGCTACGAATTCCTCAGTACTGCTCTGCATGGGTTCGGCGTTGAACCCAAAGTACAGTCACATCAGTTATCGATGTTGAATGACCGATTTGATAAGAGCCCTAGCCCATATGATCACTGATTTAACTACCACCCGCATTCAGGAAGTCGTTACGGGAATATATAGTTTTGTATAAGATACCTATCGTGCTACCGTAGTAACCGTTAATAATGCTACCACTTTCCCGTACACCGCATATTTGATGTGAAGTACCCTGTGGGCATGCAGGGACGTCGGTACAGACCGACTGACATGGCTGGAATATTGCTAACCGTGGCGTAAAAAACCATTAACTCCATTGTTAGATCTCATTTCAGCATCACAGATGATGACAAACCGTATATGTATTGTCAGGTTCAATACACTTTATACAACTCAGCTGTCGACCACTAAGCATATATATAATGTCATGTCAACACACTTGATACAACTCAGCTGTGATCACTAAGCATATATATAATGTCATGTCAATACACTTTATACAACTCAGCTGTGATCACTAAGCATATATATAATGTCATGTCAATACACTTGATACAACTTAGCTGTGATCACTAAGCATATATATAATGTCATGTCAACACACTTGATACAACTCAGCTGTGATCACTAAGCATATATATAATGTCATGTCAATACACTTTATACAACTCAGCTGTGATCACTAAGCATATATATAATGTCATGTCAATACACTTGATACAACTCAGCTGTGATCACTAGGCATATATATAATGTCATGTCAATACACTTTATACAACTCAGCTGTGATCACTAGGCATATATATAATGCCATGTCATTACACTTTATACAACTTAGCTGTGATCACTAAGCATATATATATTGCCTTGTCAATACACTTGATACAACTCACCTGTTGATCACTAGGCACATATATAAAGTTGAACTGTCACTATCCTTAAGGACATAGAAACTATGTATGTCATGTGTCCCTTCAGGTCGGTTAACCCAATCCGCTGACTGTCCTACGAACTGTTTCGACTGTGATGGCAAGGGCATCTGCATCAACTGCAACAGTGGCTGGTATGGCGAGGACTGTTCAAAGCAATGTCGAAACACGTGTCCGGGGGGATGTGACAAAATTGGACATTGCAACACATGTCAAACAGGAAAATATGGCGACTATTGTACAGAAGAATGTCCATCCAACTGTAAAGTTAGTCAATGTCATATTAAAACTGGACATTGTGAAGGTGGATGTAAGGCTGGGTTCCATGGAGATTCCTGTAACCTGACCTGTGGTAACTGCAGCACCAGAGCCTGCTCACAGCAGACCGGCCTCTGTGACGACTGTCCATGTGGGTGGACGGGGGACAGGTGCCATATAGTATGTGACCAAGCATCAGCTTCATGTAAAGTGTGTGGAGGCGATGGCAGGACGACATCTACATCTACATCTACATCTACATCTACAACATCTAGGATGTGGACTACAACTGCCACAACTGCAAGTGTAACATCATCTTCAGGTAGATAAACCCGAATACATTCAAATGCTGTATCAGATATTAAGTTCCCATGAACGTTAATCAGATATTATTATCATATGCCACTCGGTAGAGGACATATTTTCAATATTTGTTCAATTATGGGAACACTCTCAATGCTCTTCTAAAGAGGGACCTGGGGGACCAAATGCCCTACAAAATATATCCCCAATGCGCTATGTAAATCTTCGCCCTTAGCTAGGATCTGATTTAGGTTTGAATCAAGATATTTGTAATTTCCATTTATGGTCACTTGTTAGCGCTGTACCCATGCCATCCGGTTACATCAGAGTGGTATAGGTCTCGAGACTTTCCTCCAACATTAAGCTTACTTAAGTTAACTCGAATATTGTCCACTTACTCTTTTTTGCAGGGGTAACGTCAGGCTATAATTCGGTTGCTGCCATTTCAATCGGAGTCTTTCTTTTGCTGGTGATTTTACTAACGGCTACAGGATGCATCATTGCATATTGGAAACATTGGTTTTGGTAAGTAACTTCACAACATCAATAATTTCATTTTATTCAACCCTCAAACTTCCATTATTCACGCCATTCTGGAGAACCGAAATTGCATATGGACGATCACATTGTTCTCCCTAAAGTATCTGATGCAGTTATCACTGATGACCCACTCATGGGCTCACAAAAGTAAATCCCTAATGTTGTCCTCGAAGATTTTGAGTTTAAGCTTCCGACCCATCTGCTGTCGATCATCTTTCTGATGATCCCTTGTATATTTTGTTTATGTCATTTTATAATGAAATCTGTGATTTACCGATTGAGAAACGGAGGCAAATAAAACAAATTAACCAATCATTTCCAAAGAATCAACTTGATGAATTAAATGACATGATCTCTGTTACTCTCAATGCGGACAGTTCTTTGCATGACCTTTGAACTCCATACAGTTTCCAAAGGCAATGAACAACAAAAGGGTAATAAACAAAATCATCCAAAGAAATACCGGTTATTGATTAAATTAAACCAAACAAAAAAAAGACATTTCATGGATAGAACTTTGCTTAAAATTAAATACAATGTTGAAAACTTTAAAAACAAAATACAAGACAACAAAAGAGAAAATTTGTGATCAAATTCTTGATTCTCTGAAAGCAAAGTTAAAGGTTTAGCTGAAAGAAAAAGAATGTGGGACAGGAAAAATAATTTCATAAAACAAAATAAATTGTTCAAATCCAATGGAAAACAATTTTACAGGCAACTAAATGCAACCAATGGTAGAGATGAGAAAATATCCACCATGCATTCCAGTGAAAGATTTTGGAAACATTTTTGGTCTGAACCCGGCAACTGTTACCTCGAGGAACCATGGACAGGGAAATATAATGACTGTTTACACTAAAAAATAAGATCACCATTGTTGTGTTTCAACACGCCTTATTGCCTGAAAAATATAATTAAAAAGGGATGTTGCGCAAAGGCCGAACAATACTTCTCCCAAAGAAAGGTAATTTGACTGATCCCAAGAACTTCCGCCCTGTTACTTGCTGAATCTTGTCAATCACATCAGTGAAATAAACAACATACAATCCAATGATATAAATGATAACATTGGATTTACCTACAAGGACAAGATCAGGTTTGTCAGCCTAGATACGTCTGAGGCTGTAAACCATCTATTCAATAGAATTTTATAACATTATTATTATTATTATTATTATTATTATTATTATTATTATTATTATCATCATCATTATTATTAATATCATCATCAATATTATTATAAAACAGATGGAAATATTTTGATACTGAGTCATCAGTAATGTTTCTGTCGCAACAGCTTCAAGGAGAAGAGGAAGCCGGAGCCGGCAGTGGAACCAATGTATAATTCAGATCCTTTTGGCAGTCCAACAATCTCCAGAGCTCACTCTAGCTGTACGTTCTACCTTCTATTGTTTGGTGGTAATTTGTCATTATTAGAGGTCTTTCAACCCCCCACGACGCACCCTTCATACACTCAGTCAGTGACTTAAAGGGTTTCCTCTGTTACATTTATCAGCGGTATGATTTTGAACATTTCCAATTGCTTCAAGTAATGTTTATCTAAATTTCATTTTCTGATGAATGGTCATCCAAGGTGCATTAGCGTGTTATTTAAACTCTAGTGAGTGAGAGCATATTGTTAAACGCCGAAGACAGCCACATCACATGGTCTGTAAATAGTCGAGTCCGGATCCAGTGACTAAAAAGAAACAGTGGATTGCAGGGGAACGTATCTTACCCGGTACCGGAACGAGTTCATGCGAGAAAGTAAAACAGTATGTTAAATGTATAGCAACTTATTGATTATCATAATTTTACTTTCCTCAGTTATCAGACAAGACCCCATGGCGATGGAAAATGAGGATGAATAGAACAAGATGTCTGTTGAAGATGGCAGTATTAATGATGTGTAGGAACAAAGGGATGCGCGATGAAATGCAAGAAAGATTCATCTGTGGAGAGTCCTCGACCCAAAACCTTCACAATCATCATTATGTGGGATCAAGGTTTATGATTTCTTGATAGAGTGAGTCCAGTCCTATCCACCATGTTAACAGCTGTCAAGGAAGGAGCTTCAAAGGAAAACACGCAAGATTCGAGCTTCTTTGTATCCCGTTGAATGATCTCAAATGTACTGATTGGTGCTGACTTTATTTGCGAGAATCCTAAGACATCAATATCCACCTGTATCTGATGAATGCTTGTCATTAGGTAGGAGTCTGTATTTGAATATAATGCAACACAGTCTATACTTGATAGTCCTATTGTTCATCAGGAATTGTTAGATGCTAGTAATAGTGAAACTTAATAAATCAGCAGGCAGTGACAACGTTTAAGCGTAGATGTGTATAAGTGCTTGTAGTTTATTTGTGCCATTTAATGCTATGTTTGAGTTAGTCTGTTTTCCTATATGCTGGTCAGTTGGTTCTATTGTCCCTCCACATAAGACATAAGAAGGATAATGTTAATTCGTCATGTAACTACAGAGGTATTACTTTACTGAGTGTGTTTAGTACGTGTATGTCACAGTTTTAAATAGAAGGTTGCAGTTCTCGACAGAGGCGTATGAGAAACGTGTGGTGTCCAAGCTGGCTTTCGCCATGGTTACTCAGCTACGTATAACGTGTCTATTTTGCAGTACAAATAGTGTAAAGCCTCGCTTGCCTGAAAAAGTTCCTCCAGCTGTTAGGTGTAGAAAGTAAACAATATGGGACCGAGCACTGATCCTTGCGGAACTCCTTAATCCAAATTGAATTGACCAGAATTGCAATATCTGATGACCGATTGGTGTCCATCCGATGTATAGGAATCAAACCATGACACGTTTTTTTCAAACTCACATTCTAGTCGTGTCAAAAGCTTTCACTGGTCAATCGTGTTAAACGTCGCGGAGAGGTTGAGGAGCACAATGCTATTCTTCAAGTTCAGCATATGTTATTTAGTATATTAGCTTCACTACAAAATGTTAAGCCCCTACTTATAACGTTATTCTTTAACACGTTTGACACTAAAGTTGTTCCAATCTTTATGTATGGCAGTGAAATGTTGGGGTCTTCGTATTGTGAGTACACTGCACCAAAACATCACCCTCTAACAATGTACCTTGAGACTGAGGGGCATACGCTATTAACGTTTAGCGATGGATGGTAAAATTAACTGAGTATAAAACTCAAGATCCCTTTTACATAATAATCGTTTTCATGATGTGTGAGAGGAGTAGATTACAGTATATCGTTTGAACAGGACTGTAACGTTTCGTAAACAAATAGTCCAAAGTGTGCTATTTACACCCTCTAAAAGAATATTATTTTAAATTGAATTATATCTTTCAGGAATAACAATAAATACGTTTCAGGTTGCACAAGTTTAGTTTCGTTGTAGTTCCCACTCTCTCAGTATTGTGTTTGTTTGTTGTTTAACACGCACTCAGCAATATGCCAGCTATATGGCGGCGGTCTGTAAATAATCAAGTCTGGACTAGACAATCCAGTGATTGACATCATGAGCATGACCACTCGATCCCGTTAGTCCCACCTGGCATGGGTTGCTGAAAATCAATTCTAACCCAGAGCTTCACTCATGGATTTTGAAGATTATCACAAAAACCTTGGGATAAAATATTTATTATATGTAAAACGGGTTATATTTAGAATGAATACCTTTTTCTGTTGTTTATCTGAGGCATATGACGATCTTCGTCGACGATATCCCTATTAATTATTTTATGTATACGGCTCTAGTTAAATACAATATTCTTATGTATGTAAACAGATATTTAGCATGCTTCACATATTTAGGCAATGAAGCTACGTCAGAAATTGTTTGTTTTTGTAACTACACAATTACAAACTGCAATTTAGACTATATATTGTTGTCACTTTGCATCATTCCTGTAATCATGCTAGATCAAATAGCGTGTGGTGGACCAAGGATGTTGGCCACTCAAGTACCGAAATATAGAAAAAGTACAAAAGTACAGAAAAGGATGAAGCCAATACTAATATATACTATTAGACGTTTAACACATTTGGCAAACTTTATAGACGTATCCTTGTTTCCTTAAACACTAAATGAACACGTAACGTCATCTACATTATTCAACATATTACAGCACCGCCTTCCATTAGCACCTTATAAACAATGTACATTATTTACCTATAAACTACCTGACATGTCGCGTAACAGTGTACAGTACTGTGATTGTATGCTGCATATGCACTGTGATTGTCATACCATATGAAATTATTGTCTTAAACTTCAGAGAAACACAGTATATGTGTTATACCATACCATATACTTATTTACATTGTATTTTACATAATATACACATTAATATTTTTACATACCATGTTAACAGTTTACACTGTCTTGAAAACACATGGAAACACTGTGCACTGTCTTTACATGCCTTGAAAACACTGTGCATTGTCTTGACACACCATGAAAACACTGTGCAATGTCTTAACATGCCAGAAAAAACAGTGTGCAATGTCCTTACACACCATGAAAACACTGTTCAATGTCTTAACACACCATGAACACACTTTGCAATGTCTTAACACACGATGAAAACACTGTTCAATGTCTTAACACACCATGAAAACACTGTTCAATGTCTTAACTCACCATGAACACACTGTGCAATGTCTTAACACACCATGAAAACACTATACAATGTCAGGATATGTCACATAAACACTGTGTAATGTCATTACGTATAATATACCAATATACATTGTCTTAACATAGTGAAAACATTTAAGAATTGACTTCTTCATTGAGTTCAATGGAGTATGAACCTTCAAAGGGTGAGGGCTAAACAGTATGAACGTCGAAGGTTGCTTCTGTATGTATTCGTGGTTACACCAGTCTGTCACTCACTCGCTCACCCACCCACCCACTCACTCACTCACTCATTCACTCACTCACAAATCCGGACCACTGTCTAAAGCGGACTGAACTTTCGGTCCCGCACAAGTCTCGTTTAGACAGATTCCACTGTATACGGTTCCGTTTTCAACTGTAATCTCTCATGACACTCGGGAATTTCATCATAAATATGTGCTTCAATATGAGAAATGTCATGTGTGGCTGTTAAATAACTTTGGGCATCGCGGCCGCCCCCATGTTGTGATGAGGCGTGGTTTGTGTTTCCAGAAGTGATTGTTCTAACATGGTGAGTAGTCCTTCTGCTTTCCTTTGTGTGCCACAAGCTGAAAATATAACAGACAGTTACAGTGTGCTCACGTAGTTTATGAATAGTCAGTCATACAGTGTTTAAGTAGAGACAAACCAGTGGTTCATGACCAGCGATACGCGATGTCTTGGTACGATGGCATGTGCTGGGCCAGGTCACACAGTGTACAAATACCTATCCTCGTCTAATACGATCACCATGTATTATTAAGCATGGGCGGATACAGCTTTTTTGAAAAGGGAGGGTGCACAATTAAGATCTATTTATTGTCTTTGGTGGTAATTTATCCAGAAATAAAGATTTTTTTCGAAATAAAAACGACCATTTGTCGAATTTGCAAGTCCACATATAATTTAGATAAAATAGCAGGTTTAATATCGCTTCTAGAATTAATGCAGTGATACCAGGAGTGGGGACATCAACACACTTGTAACCATCAGGGGAAGTAAACCGAAAACTTTGTGACAAGCGTCCGCACTATCCACTCGGCCACATTTAAAGGGGGACTATGCTTAGTGTGTTTTATTTAATAACTGTGTGAAACTAAGACCTGTGTAAATCCGTAATATTGAGATATACTATCATAAAATTTGACCTAGGGGACCCTTCAGAAATTGTGTTTGAGGAACTTGAATTGATGTTGCTTGGTCTGCCAATTAGGCCGAGTAGAGTCCCCCTTTAAACCGTCGCTCAAAGTACAATACTAAACAATGAGCGTTACATTCACCTCACACCAACAATACAGGACACGACGATCATGAATCCGGTGAGCGATCCGAAGATGATTAGCATGTTTAACGTCTTGTCACCCTCGCCCCCCTCTGTGCCGTAGACACCACCGTCACGTATCGTCTCGCCATGCTCTGGTTCAGCTGTATGTGTGTCTGCAATTATAACAAGGCTGAATGATCGACAGAATTCTGCTTTTATTGTGAGAGTTGTGTTGCGCAACAATGCGAAATCGTACTGCTTTATCACACCCACATCCACACCCACTCATATCCACACCCACATCAACTCACATCCACATCCACATCCACACCCACACTCACATCCACACCCACATTACACCCACACCCACACCCACATCCACACCCACTCACATCCACACCCACACCTATACCCAAACCAACACCCACATCCACACCCACGCCTACATTCACATCCACATCCACACCCACTCACACCCACACCCATACCCAAACCAACACCCACATCCACACCCACGCCTACATCCACATCCACATCCACATCCACACCCACACCCACATCCACATCCACACCATATGCCCCTCGAGAGCGCTGGACACCTTATTGTAAGCAGTCCACACACAAAACCAACAGAGTTCAGTGAAACACTAGCCTGGAAACATTCAGCAACGATGGATTACGTCTATATATCTCAAAACGTCATTCGACCTTGTCCTTCGATTTGATCAGGGGAGATAATTCCGTGTCAATTCGAACGTTAATTTCGGATTTTGCTCGACATTTACATAGTAATTGATATTGCAGTGATTGATATTGGAACCTGTAGGTAAAGTCGGAGTATCAGGCAGCAACCTGTGTACACGGTGCATCTGGTCGTAGTGTTTGATTTACCTTCCATCTGCAATCTGTCTAGTGTTTTCTCATTTACTATAAATCGCTAAATATACGCACTGGACCTAATAGACTAATATTGCATCAGCCCCCTCAGTCACGCTTGTCGCACCGTGTCATACAGTCAGACGCCATGTGTGTGTACGTTTGTATTCAAATTAACTATGGCTTCATGCACCCCTTCAGACTGCCTCCATGGTCTAGTGGTAGAGTGTCCAACCGTAGAGTGGAAGGTAAGGGGTTCGATCCCGGTCTCGTCATACCAAAAGATGGTACTTGTTGTTATCCTGTCTGGCGCTCGGTAAAATGAGGACTGGTCGGCTCGGAGTCAGTACACCGTGTCTGAGTGGGTATATTCATGTTGAACTGCGGTATGGTGGAGGAGCACTATAAATCGGCATCAGTCCGGACTAGTACAAGCAGCCACACACACACACACACACACACACACACACACACACACACACACACACACACACACACACACACACACACACACACACGTGCATGCTCGTCGCTATGTAAGTGCAAAAACCTTTGACTCGACGTCAAACCCCATTTCATCACACCTCATACACCCCTTCGACAGTAAAAAAAGGGTATTATCAGAATAAAGTAGCCTTCGCTTGACTTCACTTACCTACAAAATATGTAATAAAATCCAAAAAGAGCCCAGTACAATGATAACAGATGGGGCAATCTAGACTTGCCAAATCATTCTAGACTTGAGTTGGATTCCTTTTTAGTGAATTCGCTAGGGCCAATGAGACAGAATTATGATAATTCTATCCATTTTATCTGCAAGAATTGTATTCAAATCCTAAAGCGGACATTTGTAGGAATTTACGCAGTCCCTAGTTGTGACATACAGAAAACTCATTTTACGTAAGAGGCGATTAAGGGGATCGGGTGGTCAGGCTCGCTGACTTGGTTGATGCATGTCATCGTATCCCAGTTACGTGGATCGATGCTCATGATGTCAATCACAGTGTTTTCTGGTTCAAACACGATTATTTATAGACCACCGTCATATAGATGTAATATTGCTAAGTGCGGCTTTAAGAAACAAACAAACAAACAAACGCTTAGGACTTGACGTTTTACCACAGGAACCGTGCTTGGATCAGCCTGTGGGCCACACTGTTACTTTTCATGACCAACCGGGTCTGGATCCTGCACGCACTGTAACAGCGGTTGGTACGGATCTGGATGCAAGTGAGTGAGTATGGTTTTACGCCGCTTTTAGCAATATTTCAGCAATATCACGGCCGGGGACACCAGAAATGGGCTTCACACATTGTACCCATGTCGGGAATCGAACCCGGGTCTTCGACGTGACGAGCGAACGCTTTAACCACTAGGCTACCCCACCGCCCCTCTGGATGCAAGACCCGGTGTCCACCAACCTGTGCGGCGTTAAACAACAATCAATCAAACAAACAAACAAACATTCTAACAATAAACGGATGAGAAGTGACCGTAACCGCTGCTATTGACCACTCACCATCAACCAGCAGCTGCACCATACAATCATGTCCGACCCATCCAGAAATACACCCTTGCGCACATGTCCCGTTTGAAAAGTGGCAGACAGACCCGATACAGTTAGAACTGCAGTTGCGGACACAGCTGTTGCCATAGTAACCAGGTTTGCACGTCGAACACGTATCCGAGCTTCCATCGCATTCAGAACACCGGAAACTGCAGGTAGGCGTAGTGTTGCATCCTGGTCCAACGTTCCTTCCGGTGCAGCCTCGTTTGCAGTCTCCGTTCTTAAAGCAGGACGCACCATTGCAGTGGCTACAGTACTTACTACAGTTTGCCCCGTACCACGAGTCACTAGTACAATTGGGACACATGGTGTTGGTGCACACTGCGCATCGTCTGGGACATTTTCTCTCACAATAACGTCCTCGAAATCCCGGAATGCACCCAGTGTCGCAAACGGCGCTTCCGGTGTCCCGGGACACGTGACACCTACTACTTATACATTGGTTTCGACAAGACCGGTTGCACCCGTCGCCATAGAAACCGTGTTTACATCCTTCTTTGCAAGTACCACCCTGAGAACAGTTGTTATTCAGACAGTTGGTACACGTGGTCTGGCTCGCTGAAAAACACGTGTGAACTTGTGAGCAACTATATAAGATTTATTTTGTTACGATTCTAAAACTACGCACATGTTTGAGATCGCTTGTAGATGATACAGTGACTTACATATGTAATATTTCACTCGACTCCTCTCGGATTATCCTTTTATTGATATTGCATTGTTTAACTGTAAACGGTACAACGCCGGGATCCCGTAGTACAGGGGATAACTTGTATAACATGACGGCCCATTTTGAGTGAGTGAGTGAGTTGGGTTTTAACGCCGCTTTTAACATTATTCCAGTTATATCACGACGTGTCAGCTTAATGTGGGAGGAAAGCCCGAAGTGATGCAGGTCTCAGACGTTTACCACTTCGGTGAAACCCACGAGCACGGGTATGGTGCTGACAAACCTAGAAACATAATCGGGGCGAACCGGAATTCGAACCCACAATCATAGATTTCTGGCGTGCTCAAGGGACGCAACTCTGCACAGCGAATCGCGGCGCCTTAGACGGCTGGGCTAGCCGTGTCCCCTGCCGATTTTGAAGACGGGTCATTCTGCGCTAAACGGAAAATATGCATACATCTTGATTTGAACTCAAACAGAAACAATGGGAACACTTATTTTAAATTCACGACATTACAAAGTTTAATTGACGGAAAAGGAAGATAATGCACGTTAAACGGACAGTGCAAATGAGTCTTGAAGGAGAAGTGTTTATTTCTAGTACAGGCAAATACAGGATGTATAAAACTCCTCGTGAATAAAGAGCTACGCCTGTCTAAACACTTAATGATGTATTGACGCCTAATCGAGATCTAAACCATCGCACTTCCATAGTGAAACCCTTTGTCACGACTTGGTTTCAGTGATAGTTATATATATCTAGTGTACGTTGTGACCTTGATCGATAGTAGGGGTACAAGTATCTAACTAGATACGGGGGAGAGGGTGATGGTGGTGCTTAGCAGTGTGTGTTTAGCAGTGTGTGTGTGGTTGGGGTGGTGTGTGGTGTGTGTGTGTGTGTGTGTGTGTGTGTGTGTGTGTGTGTGTGTGTGTGTGTGTGTGTGTGTGTTAGTGTGTGTGTGTGTTAGTGTGTGTGTGTGTTAGTGTGTGTGTGTTAGTGTGTGTGTGTGTGTGTGTGTGTGTGTGTGTGTGTGTGTGTGTGTGTGTGTGTGTGTGTGTGTGTGTTTGTGTGTGTGTGTGTGTTTGTGTGTGTGTGTGTGTGTGTGTGTGAAGACTGACCTTTACTACTGTGTAGCAGGATGACAATCAACGTGACCAGTGAGTATGAGGGTTGTACAGTCATCATCGTGGGAAACTAGCTACACGGCCTGCAAGAAATAGAATGCTCACCTACACGATCGTAAACATTATATATATATATATATATATATACAAAAATGAGGGAAATGTTCACTCGGTGTACATGTAATATATAATAAAATAATAAAGTCCACGTTAGTCCATCATCTTCTTTATATTAGTTTCATAGTTTATATATATATACTCTTCAAAAAAAGTAACTTGACATAGATGTTAAACCACTTTTTGCCAAATATCTAAAATAATTACATTAAATGAGAACCAAATAAGTCAGACAGAAAGATGACGTGTCTATAATTCGCGAAAAAACACATGCAAAGCACATACACGTAGCGTTTGGGGATCAATTTTACAGCTTCATTCAAACGCAACCGCCTGTAAAAAAACGTGCAGCACAGGGTCCTGCATTTAGGCATGCAGGCCCCCCTGCTGAATGGGTATAAAAATCTACATCAGCGGTTGTTCATACAGTTCTTATAACGGCAGTAGAGGCGGTATCAGAATGCCAAGACTGAATGCAGCTCAACGGAACAACGCCATTGGGAGATTACAAGCTGGAGCAACTCAGCGTTTCCAGACAGACAATCTCCGCATTCTGAACCCGATACAACAACACCAACAGAGTTGACGACAGACCAAGGTCAGGAAGACCAAGGGTGACAACCCAAGCACAAGATCGATACATCCGGCTGCGACACCTCCAAGGCGCACTTCCAAAGCCACGTCTACAACCACACAGATCCCTGGGGTACGCAGAATATCAGATCAAACGGTACGCAACAGACTGAGGGAGGCTGGACTTTTTGCACGAAGACCTGTTCGACGTCATATATTGACCCCACGTCATCTGGCGGACCGTCTGCTTTGGTGCCAACAGAGGGTTAGATGGGCACGTGCAATGTTGAGAAATGTACTGTTTACTGACGAGTCCCGTTTCCTACTCACAAGTGCTGATGGGCGCGCACGTGTCTACCGACGTCGGGGTGAACGTTACGCCCCCAACTGTGTGCAGCAGGTTGTCCCATTTGGCGGCGGAAGTGTCATGGTATGGGCCGGAATTTATCACGGTGGTAGGACGCCTCTCGTGCATGTGGCAGGTGCATTGACAGGTGTGCGTTACAGAGACTTGATCCTACAGCCTTACGTTCTTCCTCACGTCAACGTTCATGACGGACAGTTCCAGCAGGACAACGCTCGACCGCATATTGCACGAGTTTGTCAGGACTTCTTACAGCACAACAACATCCAGACATTACCTTGGCCAGCCCGGTCTCCGGATTTGTCCCCGATTGAGCATCTGCGGGACGAGTTGGATCGACGCGTTCTCGGAAGGAATCCTCCGCCCCAAACACTTCCGGGGCTTCTTGATGCACTTCAGCATGAATGGCAGCACATCCAACAGCGTGTTATTGACAACTTGATTGCATCTATGGGTCGTCGGTGTCAAGCAGTGATTGATGCACGTGGTGGGCACAACCGATACTGACATTGTCTGTACCCCTGTGACATTAACTGTATCGTGTACGTGTGTCTGTCTTTGTGACACGATTAATGTTTTGAGCATTGTGTACATTGATCTTCAAACAGTGTTTCAATTATGGTTTCTGTGTCCTATTTTGAAACAATCGCATTATATTACATTTTGAAAGTCAGTGTCAAGTTTCTTTTTTTGAAGAGTATACATGATATACAGATATGCACGCACGCTTAGCTTAGTGTAGACAATCGCATGGGGATTCCGAGAATCGGCTGGACCGGGTGGTCAGGATCGGTGACGTGGTTGATTGCGTGCCCTCGTACCCCGATAGGGTGGGCCGTTGCTCACATAGCGATCACTGGATAATCTGGTGCAGAATCGAATAGTTACAGACTGCCATCATATTGCTGGAATATTGCGGCGTTAAGGTAAAAGTAGGTAATGATATGATACAAACATATTATTTCAACGTTGTTGTGTATTGTCGAATCTGTTGAGATGGGGTTACTCACACGTTCGAAAGACACCCGATCCCGTCCTCTCCGGTGAGTTGGGGCACATCAGTCTCCCCACCAGAAGGAGTTGCAAATGATTACAAATGTGTATGTACTCTTGTAGAGAAGGATTACTTCAAATACACATGAAAGTATCAATTTCCCTGTTCCGGCAATGGCCGTCATGTCTACTTTCACAACTGTGATCGGAAATTACATCGTGAAGCCTGCATCACCAATGTACGTGTGCGTGCGTGCGTGCGTGCGTGCGTGCGTGCGTGCGTGCGTGCGTGCGTGAGTGAGTGTATTGTGTTGGTAATAGCCAGTGTTTTTGCATTTTGTGAGATACCGGATACATTTTTCGGTCTCAACTTCAACACATACATTTGTTTTGTGCGAAGGGAGAAGCAGAACATGTTTGTTATATACATTCTAGTGAACACATTTCTTTTTAAACCTAAAGGTTTTTCTCATTTTTAGATAATTGAAAAAAATAGTTCTGAGTCATAATGTCATTTCATTGTTAACTCGTATTCCACCAAAAAAAATTCTTTTTGATAAAACGCTATCGTTTATTCCCTGTATGTGGAGCCAAAAGGGCGTTAACTTTCATTGTTTGGTTTAAACATCCAGGGGCCTAACATTAAATAAACCTTCAATAACTGACTGTTAAGTAATGTTAGTAACCGATCCAAAACCTCGGCACAAAAAGCTCACACCAGAACCAGGACGAAGGCCAGTCGGAGCGTGGGTAATGAGCGAAGGGCAGGTTGACATGGAATATCTTGTGACCTACTTGTATCGAATGGGGCATTTCACCGAAACAGGTTTTCTCGGGGAAACTGGAAACCCTGAATAGGAACCCGAGCAATACAATAGACATACTGTACACGTGTAATAGAAAAGGAAAAATATGGTTTTCCTCGACAGCAATCTGCCATCAGCTAGACGCTTTAATCCTCTTGGAGGAAGTGAGTCAGTTGGTTGATATATCTTAGATTGATAAGTGAGTGAGTGAGTTGGGTGTAACACCGCTTTCAACGGTATTACGGTTATATCGTGGCGTGTCAGCTTAATGTGGGAGGAAAGCCCGAAGTGATGTCACGGGTATGGTGCTGACAAACCTAGAAACATAATCGGGGCGAACCGGGATTCGAACACACAATCATAGGTTTCTGGTGCGCCCAAGCGACGCAACTCTGGACAGCGAATCGCGGCGCTTTATACGACTGGGCCACCCGTGCCAAAAGAGTTCCAACTAGTCCATTCGTAGGTTTGGCTTTGGGACCGCCTGTGCACACTGTGAGTGAGTTGATTTAATGCCGCTTGAATGAGTGAGGGAGCGCTTTCACACGCTTTCGGGCCTTAGACGTTTATCGTATTCGTAAAAAACACGAGCACGGGTATGGTGATGACAAACCAAGGATAATAATTAGAGCGAATCTTGGATAAGACCACTGGCTCATCGGATCCGGACATGACCTAGGGACGCAACTCTGCCTGAGACAACTGGTCACATGTTGCCTCTGGTCAAAATGATCGTGACACGCGTAGTCTTGATTAGATTAAGATCATATCAAAGCATCGCCTGACGTCATGACCTCCTTCGAGAATTCCGAACTGAAATAACAATGTAATTTGGTGTTTTTTCATCCTGTTTGCGTATAAATACCTTCCATTGGATATACATAACAACCAGGAAAGTTTGACTATTTAATTTTGAACTATTTTTGGACTTGAGTGAGTGGGTTTTACTCCGCTTTTAGCATTGTTTAGTAATATCAGCTGATATAAAGATCCTTGAACAAAATTTGTGTGTATTTAGGTCCATGGAGAGGCTGATAGTTAAACGTGCGATGCTATACTACATTTTTATTTTTGCAAAAAGCAGATTGTGCTGTTGTCTCATGGACTCTTGTAATGGTTGCTGTCTAGCACTGATTGCTGTCAATAGAGTTGGTTGTCTGGCGTTGGTTGCTTTCAGTCATTGATTGCTGTCCATGATTCAATCTTTGATCGCTATCGTGTATTGGTTGCTGTCCACCATTGGTTGCTGTTTTGTATTGGTTGCTGTCTTGTATTGGTTGCAATCTTGTATTGGTTGCTGTCTAGTATTTGTTGCTGTCTTGTATTGGTTGCTGTCTTGTATTGGTTGCTGTCCATCATTGGTTGCTGTCTAGTATTGGTTGCTGTCTAGCATTGGTTGCTGTCTAGTATTGGTTGCTGTCTAGCATGGGTTGCTGTCTAGTATTTGTTGCTGCCCAGCATTGGTTGCTGTCTAGTATTTGTTGCTGTCTTGTATTGGTTGCTGTCTGGCATTGGTTGTCCGTCAAACAACAACGTGTTTGCCTGCTGTCCCAAAAAGCATCATGTTTATAAATCTATCATTTCACCCGGGGAACTCATTGTTTTGTCTTGACTCAGGTTTATAAAAGCCACCAGAGCATATACCCTCCTAGTGCATGACTCCCGAGGTATGCGACCCCATTCTATCTTTGACAACAATACAGTCATCAGACCACGAATTTCTCAGAAGCGTTGACATAATGTCGAGCATTTCTCGGTAAGATACACAGTCATTACACCAAGCATTTCTGAGAAGCGCAAACCTAATGTCTCTCATTTCTCGGAAATTGCATGAGGCGCTTACCCGAGAGAAGTGGCAGACAGCGTGAGAGAGTTTGAGTCAAAGACAGCAAATAGTGCCATCCGAGTTATGTCCCCTAGATCAGAAGCCTGTATCTGCTCTCTGACGCATATTTTAGCAGTTAAGAGTGATTCGTTGGTTGAAGCAGAGACCATATATGGTCTCTGGTTGAAGAGTCTACCACACTAAATCAGAACCAGTTAGGAAAGTGCGGCCTTCAGCGCAGATCGAGAGATATCTGCAGGCAGTGATAGAATGATATTGTGTACGATGTTATGTCTTTTAAATGTACATCCATCCAGTTATTAAAACTGACCATGTTTTTCTATATTTAATTACATCTTTTTAAATACGATGACTGATGCTTAATGTGACCACAGCTATTTTCAAGTAGGTGACATTTGGTGCGAAACTCTGTGTGTGTGTGTGTGTGTGTGTGTGTGTGTGTGTGTGTGTGTGTGTGTGTGTGTGTGTGTGTGTGTGTGTGTGTGTGTGTGTGTTTGGCTTCCCGTACTCGGAAAAAGTACTTGCTTAAGTGGTCATTTTGTTTGTTTTTATTGCTGCTCTAAGGCCAAACTGTGCACACACGTACAGGTAATAGCTGTTGAATGCTTAATTATTTTTAAAAAAATATATAACGTTACTATAGAAGTCTATGAGAAAACATTCGGTTGTGTGTAATCTTGAAGGCGCCCTTGGGCCACGAGGCCTGCATGGCACCCCTACTGACACGTTAAGCCATACGAAGTTGTGTCCCTTGTTAAACATCTTTAGCGTGTGGTGTTTCTCCGTTGAGAAGTTTATATTTACTTATTACCAATATTTGCTCTATTAAAAACAATGGTCATTGATTAATGTTGTGTTGGAAAGGGGTGTCAGATATTCCATTGACATAACCAATTCAAAGATATCTTGGTTGTTATTTGAGTAGTGACAAGATTTAATTGTATAAAACAAATACATTTTAAGTGAGTGAGTGAGTAAGGTTTTACGCCGCTTTTAGCAATATTCCAGCAATATCACTGCGGGGGACACCAGAAATGGGCTTCACACATTGTACCCATGTCGGGAATCGAACCCGGGTCTTCGGCGTGACAAGCGAACGCTTTAACCACTAGGCTACCCGACCGCCCCTACATTTTAAGAATATACAATGGAATGTTGTCACTCCTTAAATAACAACTTTCTAGGTTTTTGACTTGGTATTTTCTGTTCAACGTAACAGCACCTTGAATAACACCAGTCACAATCTAGATTCTGATCTTCGACAGCACACGGTTTGTTAACTAGTATCTTGTTTTGTTTCATGTTTACCCCTGCAGTCAACAATATTCCAACTATATGGCGAGTCTGGTCAAGACAATCCAGTGATTGATATTATGAGCAACGATCACCAATCATCACCCCACCCAGCCTGATATTTTTCAGTTTTCATTGCTTAAGGTTCGTGGAATAAGCAAATGAATTAAAATAAGAAGTCTCGTCTTATGGGTGTATTCCCATGCTGAATCAAACGTTTTATGCTTGTACCGTTTTGTACTCTTGCAAATAAATCGTGAGTGAGAAAAAAGTCAAACTTTAACGTCACAGTGGCATTATTTCAGCCATATAGCGACTGAAAACAAAGAGTGAGTGAGTGAGTGAGTATGGTTTAACGCCGCTTTCAGCAATATTCCAGCAATATCACGGTGGGGGACACCATTAATGGGCGTCACACATTATAACTATGTCGGGAATCGAACCCGGGTCTTCGGCGTGACGAGCGAACGCTTTAACCACCAGGCTACCCGACCGCCCGAAACAAAGAAGAAATATTACGTTACAGTAAATAACATTATAGGTACTTGCATTATCTTCACACAAGCATCTGTAAAAACAATGTCATAATTTTTTTTGTAAATTACTCCTTTGGACTGCTCTGAAACACCAATTGTTCATTAATATTTATTGAGAACGTGAGTGTATTTGGGCCTGTGGCCTACCAGCTCCGTCAGAGAAAAAATGGAGTATGTGAAAGTCCCATTTTCTGGACAATATCAACTTTATTCTGGAAATTCTAAATACACAGGAGAGAATGAAGGAATACCGGGGACATCAATTGATGGCTGCAAGGACTCCCATCGAGGTGTCCTGGGGCTGCAACAAAAACGTTCGGAAGGTGAAGACGTCCCTTATGATGTAGTGAAAGAAACGATGTAAGGGAGGTAACTATGTTGGACCTATTGACACAGATTCAGGAGATATATCTTTAACGTCATCATTGTGGTGCTGACACACATGTGGAAATAATCGGGCGAACCTTCCCCTGTTTCCTTGTCTGTTCAGATGTTTGCCTTTGCATGTGTTTGTGCCAGGTGCCAATGGTGGGGCAGGATACGCTCATCGAAAAATGATACTGATTAATAAACGCATGCTTATAATAAGTGTATAATGGACACAGCTTTTGGCAGAGATAGGTTATGATAATTTAAAGTGGTAAAGTGGTTTGTCGCTTTGTTTATTTCAGAGAAACCATTTAAGAACGGTACGTACATTGTAAGGACGACTGCTATATATAACCTTATTTTGCCTCAAAGTGAGATTGACCAATCAGAGAGCAGAACTTCTGACCCCACATGAGCTTGTATACCGTCAGTAAAAATCCAAGATGGTTGTTGCTGACCTAACATGAGACCGTTGACCGTCAGTAATAGCAATCTTGGATTTTCCATCACTCACTTCACATATTTCACATGAAAATTCTGGTACAGAAAGTCGGTATTCGACACTGTTTTGTGTTTTTAAGTCTTTAATTGTGATGTGCAAGGACATTTATCCTTTTTTAGATCATGTTCGTAACTTTATTGATAAAGGATATAGTTGAAATTGTCGACAAGGTTTGGCCTCTAAGGTTTGAAGAGTAGTCTCCCTTTGACCCTTAACGTCAACAGTTGAAAGTATCAAGTTTTCATATTGACATGCCAAATGCGATATGGATACCAGACAGTGTCAACTTTTCGGCATGATAAATTCGTTATAGTCGCTGTATACGGTGTCTAGTGGGTTAGCTCACGCCTCGCCCAATATTCTTCTGCTAACCTAATATGACACCGTATACAGCGACTAAAGACACCATAACGAATTTATTATGCCGAAAAGTTGACACTTATTTGTTTCTTTATCGCACATGTCATGTCAAAACGTACAACCAGTACAAACGACAGGACCAGTACAACCAGTATCTTTCCGATACAACGCTTCAATGTAAACATAAACGTCAACAATGGAATATATAATGCACTAAATGTGAATGTTTAAACAAGTATTACAGCTAAAATGGATAGAATTTCATAAAAACGCCCGCATGTTAACAGAAATCTGCGGGCAGCTGTAACTTGATAGCAGTTCGCTTTCCCCTAACGACGAGCTGCTCAGCCATCTATTTTATTGCTATGTAACGTAACTGCGTCACGTTTCTTGTTTGTGACTCAGTGACCTCCGTTGTAAGCTTTTTCTCTATATTTTCTATTTAAAAAGTCAAGAACGTGGTTTATTTAAACATAAATGTCTTTGCGCATCACAATAAATAATATTAAAACACAAAAAAGTGTCAAATAACGTATTTCTGTACCAGAATTTCATGTGAAATATGTGAAAGTGAGTGTTGGAAAATCCAAGATGGCTGTTACTGACGGTATACGGTCTCATATCAGGTCAGTAACAACCATCTTGGATTTTTACTGACGGTATACGGGCTCATGTGGGGTTTATAGTTCTGCTGTCTGATTGGTCAATCTTTGGAGCATAATAAGACACCGTGTACTGCAACTAAAGAAGTCATGACTAATAATATGCGTAGGTGGTGGAAGTGAACATTTAACCTGGGTTCGAACTACGAATCCTGATCCGAAGTCTACATGCCTAAAGAATCTGACTCCTGTGCAACATGTTTCCATGCCTACTTACATATTGTATCCAATCGGATCCCGTTGACAGATAGAATGTACCCCTGGGACTAGTTTCATCGGCGTAGTAACCCATGTATGCACACCCGCTGTCACATGACCTGCACAGGCCTCGCTGATAGGCGGACTTACTGGCGCAAGGATACGCCTCAAAAAGGGTCCCGTTTATAGAAGCGATGAAATACACGAATCCTCGTTCGTGACTACAAGCCAATGACGTCACAGCCGCTGAACATGAAATAACATATTAAAAAAAGATTAAAAATATAAAATGCAGCAAGGAGGGTTTTTGGGTGATCCTGGCACAGCCAGGCTGGTTCGGCTAATCATCAGCTCAGGGCCCTTGCCCCCTCTACACGCAGCCCAGACAGCGAATGGGACTACTCACAGGAAGCCCTGCCTTGTCAAACACACCCAGAACTTTTCGGAGAATGTGAAGACTCCCCAACACTGCAGCCTTCTGCATTACCCAGATTGTCAGAAGGGCTGTATTCCTGGTAGGAAACCCGGGTACTCTCCCGATGTCAGTCAACAGATTGGGAGGTACCAAACCTAAGGCACCGAGAACAATGGGAAGTCGGACAACTTGGTACTTGGGATGCAAGCGTGACATTTCGAAAGCGAGGTCTGCATATTTGCCATGTTTTTACTGAATCATGGACATTACATGAGTGTCAAAAGGACAGAAAATTCAATGATATAAATGATTTTATTGGATTTATCAAAAAGGACAAGATCAGGTTTGTTGGCCTGGATACGTCTAAGGCTGTAAACGGGCCTGAGCAGCAAACAAAAAACCTTCTGTTTCACTTTTCAGGGCAGACGACTTCACCCAAACGAAGAACTCTGCGGGGTTGCTGATCTTCTCAACACACTGCACATAACCTCTATGCAGTGGTCGTTCAGATAGCCCCTCCTTGAAGAACTGAGTTTGGGCCGATTTGATATGGCACTTCGCTTGGTTGACACTCATTTCTGTACCGTCCAGTCGGGTAGCCTAGTGGTTAAAGCGTTCGCTCGTCACGCCGACGAACCGGGTTCGATTCCCGACATGGGTACAATGTGTGAATCCCATTTGTAGTGTCCCCCGCCGTGATATTCCTGGAATATTGCTAAAAGCGGCGTAAAACCATACTCACTCACTCACTGTACAGTCCAGCAGTACAGAACCATCAAGAAAATCATCACTGACATTGAGCTTATGTCCCACATCCTTGGCTCGTTTAAGAAAACTGTGAAAATTATTATTATTATTGTTGTTGTTATTGTTATTCTTAATTGTGTGAACGATGGAGGAAATAACAGCAGCTTTAGATAATGCTTCGGGCACTGATCTAACTGATCGCCATTGAAACAACTGTCGAATCAAATTATGTTAATCTGTGATTTCATGGATATTGTTCGTCTCTTTTTCAAATGCAAATACCCGTGCTCCTCGGTTGAACCAAAGCCGTGAACGAGGACCTGCATCACGTCGGACTTTCTTCCCACATTTAGACGACATGCTCACTCACTCACTCACTCACTCATGTTGACAAAAATGCTCACATGAACTCTCATGTCAGTAATCTTTTATTAGATGTGCTAAAATTATTCTGACAAAAAAAAATTAAGGGTTCGAAAAATACAGTTGCCTGTAAGACAAAAACAGTAAACATGAACATTCTTTCTTTTTCTTGATCAGCAAATTGAAACTAGAGGGCATCATTTGTAATTGTGACATGTGTGTCTGTGTGACATTGCGGAGTAGAGGGCCAGTGATATGAACGTGACGCTGCTCTAGTAAGGCATTTTTGTGTTGGAAGGGAGGGACCGCGAGACGTACATCACCTACCTGCAGTGTCGCCGTTGAGGAGGAGCAGGATGCCCCTGGTGGTGTCGGGACACCCCGGCTGATTAACACCGCCATTAGGGAAGAAGTCCACATGACCAGTGGTCTTCTGTATCCCGTACCCTGAAACACAATCACAGAGCATAGATAGCCCCGTATCCCGAAACACAATCGCAGATCATAGATAGTCCTCTGAATCCCATACCCTGAAACACATTCACAGATCATAGATAGCCCTGTATCCCGAAACACAATCACAGATCATAGATAGTCCTCTGTATCCGATACCCTGAAACACAATCATAGATCATAGATAGTCCACTTTATCCAATGCCCATAGACAGTCCTCTGTATCCCTTACCCTGTAACACAATCACAGATCATAGACAGTCCTCTGTATTGCATACCCTGAAACACAATCACAGATCATAGATAGTCCCGTATCCCGAAACATAATCACAGATCATAGATAGTCCTCTGTATTCCTTACCCTGAAACACAATCACAGATCATAGATAGTCCTCTATATTGCATGCCCTGAAACACAATCACAGATCATAGATAGTCCTCTGTATCCAATACCCTGAAACACAATCACAGATCATCGATAGTCCTCTGTATTGCATGCCCTGAAACACAATCACAGATCATAGATAGTCCTCTGTATCTCTTACCCTGAAACACAATCACAGATCATAGATAGTCCTCTGTATCCCATACCCTGAAACACAATCACAGATAATAGATAGTCCTCTGTATTGCATGCCCTGAAACACAATCACAGATCATAGATAGTCCTCTGTATCCCATACCCTGAAACACAATCACAGATCATAGATAGTCCTCTGTATTGCATGCCCTGAAACACAATCACAGATCATAGATAGTCCTCTGTATTGCATGCCCTGAAACACAATCCGAATCTTAGATAGTCCCGTATCCTGAAACACAATCACAGATCATAGATAGTCCCGTATCCCGAAACACAATCACAGATCATAGATAGTCTTCTGTATCCCATACCCTGAAACACAATCACAGATAATAGATAGTCCTATATATCTCATACCCTGAAACACAATCACAGATAATAGATAGTCCCGTATCCCGAAACACAGTCACAGATCATAGATAGTCCTCTGTATCCCATACCCTGAAACACAATCACAGATAATAGAAAGTCCTCTGTATCCAATAACCTGAAACACCAACACAGATAATAGATAGTACTATATATCTCATACCCTGAAACACAATCACAGATCATAGATAGTCCCGTATCCCGAAACACAGTCACAGATCATAGATAGTCCTCTGTATCCCTTACCCTGAAACACAATCACAGATCATAGATAGTCCTCTGTATCCCTTACCCTGAAACACAATCACGGATCATAGATAGTCCCGTATCCCGAAACACAATCACAGATCATAGATAGTCCTTTGTATCCCATACCCTGAAACACAATCACAGATCATAGATAGTCCTTTGTATCCCATACCCTGAAACACAATCACAGATCATAGATTGTCCTCTGTATCCCATACCCTGAAACACAATCACAGATCATAGATAGTCCTCTGTATCCAATACCCTGAAACACAATCACAGATCATAGATTGTCCTCTGTATCCCATACCCTGAAACACAATCACAGATCATAGATAGTCCTCTGTATCCCTTACCCTGAAACACAATCACAGATCATAGATTGTCCTCTGTATCCAGTACCCTGAAACACAATCACAGATCATAGATAGTCCTCTGTATCCCATACCCTGAAACACAATCACAGATCATAGATAGTCCTCTGTATCCAATACCCTGAAACACAATCACAGATCATAGATTGTCCTCTGTATCCCATACCCTGAAACACAATCACAGATCATAGATAGTCCTTTGTATACCATACCCTGAAACACAATCACAGATCATAGATAGTCCTCTGTATACCATACCCTGAAACACAATCACAGATCATAGATAGTCCTCTGTATACCATACCCTGAAACACAATCACAGATCATAGATAGTCCTCTGTATACCATACCCTGAAACACAATCACAGAAACATCTCCCAAATGCATGGTTCTCCCATGGGTGTGGTATGGTAGGTTCACTCAGGGCGCTTAGAGGGTGGCAAGGTCCTTGAGGGATGCGCCTCTGACTTAGCAATTAATTTTCAAACCCACAGTTTTCTCACATTCTTAAAGATATAAACAAATATTGCTTTACGCCGCATCGTCAATGTTACAGCTATTCGTGGCGAGCTCACATTCTTAGAATGGCATCACGTTATGACATCACTGCAAGTAACAGTCATTTACAAAAGGGTTAGTCCTGGAACTTTCGGTCTCCATATTTCTATGTATTCGATTCATATGAACAGCCGATAAGCGTGACAGAACTCTTTACATTAATTTTGTAACTGTTCATACATTCCTGGAAGACAGTTGTACCTTATAACATCGTGTTATTGAGTATAATGGTATATTGTTTTTCAGCTTACCAAAGTTGCGCAGAGGTTTGGCATTTGTGTGTATGATATCCACAAAGCTGGCATCACTTGCATCCAAGATGACCTGGTTTCCGAAATCGTCGAAATTTGGACCTGCTGGATCCATTCCTGTAGATAAAAAGATGACGGTTGCTGAAAGCAATAATCTCCTTCATTTTGATTTTACGATTAATTAAAAGACATGGTTCCACAATGACGTACCTGTTATTCTACCAATTGTATTTATCGTCATCCCAGCATAGCCAGCAACGTGCGCCCCAAGGCTGTGACCAATCAAATGGAAGCTCTGAAAAGAGGCTCTTGTCACTGTGTTGAGCCTCGTGATGAGTTTCTCCAGTAGAGTCCCCACCACTCGAGTGTTGGCGACGCTCTGAAAGTACACAGGGGGCTTGGCACCTTCTCGCCAGTTCACGATGATCACGTTGACATTATCCTGTATCAAAACGGAAACACAGAGCACACTATAATCCCATCCCATCCATCAATATAATAAACATCTTTGTCGAAACCAATGTCACTCTATTAAATGTGGCAAGTACATAATTAGTAAAATCAGTCACTCATTCACTTGAAAAAAGCAGCAAATGTGAACTCACATGTGTGAGAATGGTGCCAATATGAACTCTTGTGTGTAAGAATGGTGTCAATGTGAACTCTCGTGTGTACGAACAGTTCTAATATTTATTCTCGTGTGTAAATATAAGTGACAAAAAAACCTTTCTATATTCATAAGAAATATCTGCCGACTCCGACTGCATCGTGGGCATGTCTGTGAATGAGGATCTAACAGTGATGACACCGAATAGGTGAATGGTGCCAAGATAAACTCATGTGTATAGGAATGATGCCAATACGAACTGTAGTAACGGTGTAGTAACGGTGCCAATATGAAATATAGTGTGACAGAATCGTGCCAATATGAACGCATGTGTATGAGAATGGTGCCAATATGAACTCACATGTGAAGTAATGGTGCCAATATGAACTCACATATGAAGTAATGGTGCCAATATGAACTCACATGTAAAGTAATGGTGCCAATGTGAACTCACATGTGAAGTTATGGTGCCAATATGAACTCACATGTGAAGAAATGGTGCCAATATGAACTCACATGTAAAGTAATGGTGCCAATATGGACTCACATGTAAAGTAATGGTGCCAATATGGACTCACATGTAAAGTTATGGTGCCAATATGAACTCACATGTGAAGTAATGTGCCAATATGAACTCACATGTAAAGTAATGGTGCCAATATGAACTCACATGTGAAGTAATGGTGCAAATATGAAATATTGTGTGAAAGAATGGTGTCAATACGAACTCACATTTGAAGTTATGGTGCCAATATGAAATATTGTGTGAAAGAATGGTGTCAATATGAACTCACATTTGAAAGAATGGTACTAGTATGATCTCTGATTTGTAGGAGTGGTGCTAATATGAACTCACGTGTGAAGCAATGCCGTCAATATAATCTTTAAATGTGAAGTTTACACGATATACGGTTTTTCCATTGGACGTTCACACAGATCCAGCTTCATACTCCAATGAGTGAGTGAGTGAGTATGGTTTTACGCCGCTTGTAGCAATATTCCAGCAATATCACAGCGGGGGACACCAGAAATGGGCTTCACACATTGTACCCATGTCGGGAATCGAACCCGGGTCTTCGGCGTGACGAGCAATCGCTTTAACCACTAGGCTACCCGACCGCCCCCATACTCCAAGAACTCAACAAAGTGAAAAGCAATTCTTAAACGAACCAACGTGCGTAAGAAGGATGCCAACATGAACTCACGTGCGTAAGAATGATGCCAACATGAACTCACGTGCGTAAGAATGATGCCAATATGGTCTCATGTGTGTAAGAATGATGCCAACAGAAACTCGCATGTAAAACAATAATGCCAATATGAACTCACGTGTGTAAGAATGATGCCAATAGGAACTCACGTGTGTAAGAATGATGCCAACATGAACTCACGTGCGTAAGAATAATGCCAACATGATCTCACGTGTGAAAGAATGATGCCAACATGATCTCACGTGTGTAAGAATGATGCCAATATGATCTCACGTGTGTAAGAATGATGCCTACATGAACTCAGGTGTGTAAGAATGATGCCAACATGATCTCAAGTGTGTAGCAATGATGCCAACATGATCTCACGTGTGTAAGAATGATGCCAACATGATCTCACGTGTGTAAGAATGATGCCAACATGAACTCACGTGTGTAAGAATGATGCCAACATGATCTCACGTGTGTACGAATGATGCCAACATGAACTCACGTGCGTAAGAATAATGCCAACATGATCTCACGTGTGAAAGAATGATGCCAACATGATCTCACGTGTGTAAGAATGATGCCAATATGATCTCACGCGTGTAAGAATGATGCCTACATGAACTCATGTGTGTAAGAATGATGCCAACATGATCTCACGTGCGTAAGAATGATGCCAATATGATCTCACGTGTGTAAGAATGATGCCAACATGATCTCACGTGCGTAAGAATGATGCCAACATGAACTCACGTGTGTAAGAATGATGCCAACATGATCTCACGTGTGTAAGAATGATGCCAACATGAACTCACGTGCGTAAGAATAATGCCAACATGATCTCACGTGTGAAAGAATGATGCCAACATGAACTCACGTGTGTAAGAATGATGCCAATATGATCTCACGTGTGTAAGAATGATGCCTACATGAACTCACGTGTGTAAGAATGATGCCAACATGATCTCACGTGTGTAAGAATGATGCCAACATGATCTCACGTGCGTAAGAATGATGCCAACATGAACTCACGTGTGTAAGAATGATGCCAACATGAACTCACGTGTGTAAGAATGATGCCAACATGAACTCACGTGTGTAAGAATGGTGCCAACATGATCTCACGTGTGTAGGAATGATGCCAAGAGCAACTCACGTGTGTAAGAATGGTGTCCTTCATGATCCTCACCCAGGACTTGTTGCCCCACTCCCCAAACCCATGGATGATGACCTTCGTCTCCCTATGAGCATCGAAACTGGACGTTGTAATACTGGCATCCGAATCAGCCGAAATAGTTTGTGGGCGGTTTGTGTCGCCCCGTGTGTAGAGCCAGAACTGCACCTGTTGTATGGCTGGGGACTCTGGTAAGAACCCCGGCACGTTGTTGTAGGGGGCGGCGTTGCTGTAGCAGCGTCCCAGGCTGGTGAAGCAGACACGTCCTGGCTCCGGAGAGGAGGAAGAAATAAACCATCCTGAAGAAAAATATTCAGTGTTGTACTTACAGTGTCGGTTGTAAGATGCTGGAGTGGATGTTGGATGCTGTGTCGGTTGTTAGATGCTGGGGTGGATGTTGGATGCTGTGTCGGTTGTTAGATGCTGAGGTGGATGTTGGATGCTGTGTCGGTTGTTAGATGCTGAGGTGGATGTTGGATGCTGTGTCGGTTGTTAGATGCTGAGGTGGATGTTGGATGATGTGTCGGTTGTTAGATGCTGGGGTGGATGTTGGATTCTGTGTCGGTTGTTAGATGCTGAGGTGGATGTTGGATGCTGTGTCGGTTGTTAGATGCTGAGGTGGATGTTGGATGCTGTGTCGGTTGTTAGATGCTGGAGTGGATGTTGGATTCTGTGTCGGTTGTTAGATGTTGAGGTGGATGTTGGATTCTGTGTCGGTCGTTAGATGCTGGGTTGGATGTTGGATGCTGTGTCGGTTGTTAGATGCTGGGGTGGATGTTGGATGCTGTGTTGGTTGTTAGATGCTGGAGTGGATGTTGGATGCTGTGTCGGTTGTTATATTCTGAGGTGCATGTTCAAAAGGGTATTATTATAAATATTAAAAAGATATCCCGTCATTTGAAAACTTTCTTCTCCCATCTAAGCAAATTCATTATCCTATTCTAAAAAATAGAATCTGCAAACGTAATCTACCCGTCGAAGTTCGCCGTTGGCTTTGTAGAGAATTTAGGACATGTAAAATTGTGTATGTCGCCAGCTATAGCCGATGAATTCCACTACCTGTTTAAATGTGAAGCTGTTAGTGAATCCAGATACAAATAACCTTGAATAAATATACACACTTTCCTAAAAATAACAAGAGTACCAGAAATGAACAAAAATATAAAAAAACCTTGCAAAATTCATATGTATGATAGATAAGTACCTTTGAGGGTGACTATATATGTCCATGTGTGTTTATGTATATGTACATGTACTGTTAACATTAGTCTGTCTTACAGACCCTGATACAAATATATCAACTACAGCCCATGCAAGTCTATAATGTTTGGCAAGTCTAGATTACTGCAGTATCTGAAAATGAAGAGAATCACTGGGCTATTTTTATTAAGATAACTGAGCAACTGTTTTTTCTGTACGATATGTTCATTTCAGAGACTATATGTTATTCTATGTTAACATGTTCACACAGGTTTTCAAGCAAAATGTTTAAATATCACCAAAAATACTTATAGTAAAACCGACATCTTGTAAACTACAAGTTTATTGTCATGTAAAGAAACTTTTTCTTCTTTACCACCGTGGGAGGTTCATTTTGAGAAATATATGAATGATAGATTGTTGATGAACATTCTACCAATCAATAGTAATGTAAATCTTACGCAGACCAATACGAATTTTACACACAAGTAGTTCATTTAACATTTATTAAAATTTCCTCTTAAACTTGTGTTTATCACAAGGCAATAACAGTTCGATAATACCACCAGTTGGAGTAAAGCGTATAGCCAGGGTCACAATCATATACCATTATCACACTTGAATGTGACTTTGCATCCACACATAAACACATTCATGATCGTGAGGCAAAGAGGATGTGTCTGAGGTGGTCCTACATTCCATGCACGTCTGTTTACGCGATCTTGCAGCAGGCTGGTGACCCGAATACACCTCGAGAATACTGACTGTTACAAACATTAGTCACAGCATCGGTCATATCCGGGAACACTTGTATGAGCGAATATAAATCAGGTAACATGTTACAATGACTGCAGGGCTGAAATTAGGAAATAACAAAGTGATTATTTGTTCGTCGGAATTATTTTTGTCAAGGATGAAGAGCTGTTGACAACCTTTTAAAGTTTCTTTTGAAATGGCAATGAATTCCTCATTGAAGAAGTGAGGTGAGGTGAAATTGGGTTTAACTTCGCGTCCAAGATTGTTGCACTTATATAACGATGTGTGCATGCACGTGTGTTTGTGTGTGTGGCTGCTAGTACTAGTTCGGACTGATGCCGATTTATAGTGCTGGCTCACTGAGATACCTTGCCGCAGTTTAACATGAATACCCCACTCAGACACAGTATACTGACTCCGAGCCGTCCAGTCCTTGTTTTAGCCCCTTAATACCGAGCGCCAGACAGGGTAACAACAAGTTCCATCTTTTAACGTCTTTTGGTATATCTCGGCCGTGGTTCGAACCCCGGACCTTCCGCTCTCCGGGCGGACGCTCTACCACTAGACCACGGAGGCGGTCCTCATTGGCGAAGGTCAAAGTCCTGTACGCTGACTCTTAATGGTATGTGAGTGAATGATAGCGTTGAACGTTTTAGTCATTCCGTCGGTATTTCAGCCACGAGTCCTATCCCAATACGTTAATTAATTTTGCAGATGCACATTGCAATTTGTATTCATTATTATGTATACATCAACAATTTACGAAAATGAATTTACGCGTTCCGACGAACTAAACTGAAGTACTTGAGAGTTTTTGCTTCTTCCCGAATTTCAATAATAAAAAGTAACTCTTAGTCTGAGACGTTTCTTTCTTTCAAATTGACCTGCCTTTGCATGTGTTTGCGACGCGTGCCACTGGTGGAGCAGGATACGTTCAGGATGCGAACACCTGGTATCATCACTATGTGACCGTGGTTCATAAACACATGATCATTATATAGTCCGAATCGTACAATCGACTCTGCTTTATGCAGAGATTGGGTTGGATGGTTATGGTTAGTTGGTTTGTTGTTTAACGCTGCTCTCAGCAATATTCCAGCTACATGGCGTCGGTCTGTAAATAACCGAATCATTTTTTGCCTAGATTCATAAGAACATTTTTTCTAAAGGATTATGTCTCTTTTATTTTTTTTTCTTCCTGAATTCTTTGTGCCGACGAACATTTAATATAATCACTTTAAACAAATTTGTCCTTGGAATTTACTTAATATTTTCAGTTTGGTGTTAATATGTTTCCATAGCTTTGGTGAACGGACTTAACAGTTTATGAGAACAAATTGTAGGAGTACATGTAAGATGGTGGTGATTTCGGTAGTCGTTTTAGTTACAGCAATAGCTAAACCAAGCACATGAAAATAATATGTGTTTATGCTCTGTTTTGATAGACATTCGCGACTAATTATTCTCTGGTTTTGATGTTATTTATTTATAAAGACGAATTTAATGTAAACAATGTCATCCAACAGTCAACTCAGAAAAGACACAAAGGCATCTTGTAGAGCAGAAATTATCACGTTATTCTTGACCTTGAATACCATGTATGACACACGGGACAAGCACGTGAAACAGTGTAACAGCAGTCCCATTGTTTTAAATGGCTGGTATTTAAATATATCATATATGACCACCATGTGGTGAAGAATAGCCGACAAACCGTATCTCTAATCTGTTAATGTTGTAATAGATGTGTAATGCATTCTGTCTTTGGTGTTATTGACAGACGCATGGATCACAAATAATAACTAGTCAAGTTGTGTTTTGTATGGAATGTAACATCTGTTATACTTATATAACAAACTTGCGAATGCTATAGTTACGAAACCAACTGCATTCAACTTAGAAAAGCAATTTCAACATGTATTATGATGTGCTAAGTTTAATTAAAAGCTGACTTTCATAAATGATAATATGTAATCTAATTCCCTACCTTGAACAGCGTTCACGAAAACGAAAACCAGAAGAATGTTGGCATCCATTGTCTGCTGCTTAAAGAAGCTAGTGTGTCCAAGCTGGTCCTACCTATGTTTATATATACACAAGAATGTGTGTCAGCAGGAGCTCCCGCACGTCTCTCGCCAGTCTCGGCCGTCAGGTCTCCTGACAGGAACTCCACTAAAAGCTACATTTCCGTGATTGCAATCGACGCTGCATCCGACTCTGAGTACACATTGCCAATATATACAGTCTGAATGTGCTTACTAAGCTTGTTTTGTGTTCTTTTCAAACTGATCAAACGAAATGGATTTTTGTGTTGTGTTTCGAAAACATTCTGTGCTGTACCGAGTATTTATTTGTTGCAGAGTTGCAATTATGTTAAAAGACGTTCTATTTATGAAATATGGATTATAGGTAGAATTTCACTTGGAGCCGACAGTGTAGGCCATAAAATGTTATCGGCACCATTTTGCTTAGCACTGTCTTTATACGTGTGGTCAAAAAGCTTCGACACATATGACGTCACTCCAGAATTCTATGACGTCATTTTACGGTGGATGACGACATTTGCGTCTGTGGCAACTGAACTACTTTGTTTGCAGAATGCAAAAATCATGATGATTGACATGTTTTGCAATATTCTCATCAAAAGAAAAATTCATACTTTCCGGGCTTTGAATCACGTAATTTTCGTTTTTTTTCAGATTTTCGGTTCTCGAAACGAAGAGTAAAGGGGATAGACATTAAAATCAAATGGACGCATGTACTCAAATGGTGAGAAATGTGTGAGGGACAAAGATAGGTGTGAAATACCTCAGACAGACTACAAGTGAGTGAGTATAGTTTCAGCAATATTCCAGCATTTCTATGGCGGGGGACACAAGAAATGGGTTTTACACATTGTCCCCCATGTGGGGAATCGAACACGGGTCTTCGGTGTGACGACCGAACGCTTCGACCACAAGGTGAACCAGCTTCCAAAGACTACAAGTAGATGTGTAAGCAAGTATATATGAGGAACAGTAAGTTAGTAAGAAAGGCAGCAGGTGTAGGTATACATTGTAAGCAGGTAGATAGTTAGCAATTATAGATGTAGAACAGTAAGTTGGTAAGTAAGGCAGCAGGTGTAGGTATACATTGTAAGCAGGTAGATAGTCAGCCATTATATATGTAGAACAGTAAGTTGGTAAGAAAGGCAGCAGGTGCAGGTATACATTGTAAACAGGTAGATAGTTAGCAATTATAGATGTAGAACAGTAAGTTGGTAAGTAAGGCAGCAGGTGTAGGTATACATTGTAAGCAGGTAGATAGTCAGCCATTATATATGTAGAACAGTAAGTTGGTAAGAAAGGCAGCAGGTGCAGGTATACATTGTAAGCAGGTAGATAGTTAGCAATTATAGATGTAGAACAGTAAGTTGGTAAGTAATGCAGCAGGTGTAGGTATACATTGTAAGCAGGTAGATAGTTAGCAATTATAGATGTAGAACAGTAAGTTGGTAAGTAAGGCAGCAGGTGCAGGTATACATTGTAAGCAGGTAGATAGTCAGCCATTATAGATGTAGAACAGTAAGTTGGTAAGAAAGGCAGCAGGTGCAGGTATACATTGTAAGCAGGTAGATAGTTAGCCATTATAGATGTAGAACAGTAAGTTGGTAAGTAAGCGACAGGTGCAGGTATACATTGTAAGCAGGAAGATATTTAGCCATTATAGATGTAGAACAGTAAGTTGGTAAGTAAGGCAGCAGGTGTAGGTATACATTGTAAGCAGGTAGATATTTAGCAATTATAGATGTAGAACAGTAAGTTGGTAAGTAAGCCAGCAGGTGTAGGTATACATTGTAAGCAGGTAGATATTTAGCCATTATAGATGTAGAACAGTAAGTTGGTAAGTAAGCGACAGGTGCAGGTATACATTGTAAGCAGGTAGATAGTTAGCAATTATATATGTAGAACAGTAAGTTGGTAAGTAAGGCAGCAGGTGCAGGTATACATTGTAAGCAGGAAGATATTTAGCAATTATAGATGTAGAACAGTAAGTTGGTAAGTAAGCGACAGGTGCAGGTATACATTGTAAGCAGGAAGATATTTAGCCATTATATATGTAGAACAGCAAGTTGGTAAGTAAGGCAGCAGGTGTAGGTATACATTGTAAGCAGGTAGATATTTAGCAATTATAGATGTAGAACAGTAAGTTGGTAAGTAAGCCAGCAGGTGTAGGTATACATTGTAAGCAAGTAGATATTTAGCCATTATAGATGTAGAACAGTAAGTTGGTAAGTAAGCGACAGGTGCAGGTATACATTGTAAGCAGGTAGATAGTTAGCAATTATATATGTAGAACAGTAAGTTGGTAAGAAAGGCAGCAGGTGCAGGTATACATTGTAAGCAGGTAGATAGTCAGCCATTATAGATGTAGAACAGTAAGTTGGTAAGTAAGGCAGCAGGTGTAGGTATACATTGTAAGCAAGTAGATATTTAGCCATTATAGATGTAGAACAGTAAGTTGGTAAGAAAGGCAGCAGGTGTAGGTATACATTGTAAGCACGTAGATATTTAGCCATTATAGATGTAGAACAGTAAGTTGGTAAGTAAGCGACAGGTGCAGGTATACATTGTAAGCAGGTAGATATTTAGCCATTATAAATGTAGAACAGTAAGTTGGTAAGTAAGGCAGCAGGTGCAGGTATACATTGTAAGCAAGTAGATAGTCAGCCATTATATGTGTAGAACAGTAAGTTGGTAAGTAAGGCAGCAGGTGCAGGTATACATTGTAAGCAGGTAGATAGTCAGCCATTATATGTGTAGAACAGTAAGTTGGTAAGTAAGGCAACAGGTGCAGGTATACATTGTAAGCAGGTAGATAGTTAGCAATTATAGATGTAGAACAGTAAGTTGGTAAGTAACAAGAAGATGCAGGTATAAGCAGGTAGATATGTAAGCGATCCGTCGACATGTAAAGTGTGATCATATAGATGTGTATGCTGGTAGACTTGTATGCAGATGGATATGTATCCATGTATATATGGATGCAGGTAAATAATTATGTCGGTACATATGTATGCAGATAGACATCCAGACAGGTATTTATGTAAGCAGTACATAATAATTATGTAAGTGCTAAGAGCTGTAAGCAGGTAGATGGGTTAAGAGACAGATAAGCATACAGATAGGTATCTAAGCAGGCAGATATATGTCGATATGTAAGATAGATAGATAGGTAGGTAGATAAGTATACATATGTCCGCAGGTGGATCTCAGTTAGATATGTAAGCAGGTATACGATATTATATGTATGTAAGTACGTAGGTATGTAAACAGCTAGATATATACGCAAGTAGGTATGTACGCAGGTATTTATGTAAGTGGGTAGGTATGTACGCAGGTATTTATGTAAGTGGGTAGGTATGTACGCAGGTATTTATGTAAGTGGGTAGGTATGTACGCAGGTATTTATGTAAGTGGGTAGGTATGTACGCAGGTATTTATGTAAGTGGGTAGGTATGCACGCAGGTATTTATGTAAGTGGGCAGGTATGTACGCAGGTATTTATGTAAGTGGGTAGGTATGTACGCAGGTATTTATGTAAGTGGGTAGGTATGTACGCAGGTATTTATGTAAGTGGGTAGGTATGTACGCAGGTATTTATGTAAGTGGGTAGGTATGTACGCAGGTATTTATGTAAGTGGGTAGGTACATGTATGTACGCACGTATTTATGTAAGTGGGCAGGTATGTACGCAGGTATTTATGTAAGTGGGTAGGTATTACGCAGGTGTTTATGTAGTGAGTGAGTAGGGTTTAACGCCGCTTTTAACAGTATTCCAGTTATATCGCGGCGTATCAGCTTAATGTGGGAGGAAAGCCCGAAGTGATGCAGGTCTCAGACGTTTACCACTTCGGTGAAACCCATGACTACGGGTATGGTGCTGACAAACCTAGAAACATAATCGTGGCGAACCGGGATTCGAACCCATATTCATAGGTTTCTGGCGTGCCCAAGGGACGCAACTCTGCACAGCGAATCGCTGCGCCTTAGACGACTGGGCCACCCGTGCCCCCAGGTATTGATGTAAGTGGGTAGGTATCTACGCAGGTATTTATGTAAGTGGGTAGGTATGTATGCAAGTTTTTATGTAAGTGGGTAGGTATGCACGCAGGTATTTATGTAAGTGGTAGGTATGTTAGCAGGTATTTATGTAAAGAGGAAGACAGATATGCAGATGGATATGAAAGTAAGTAGATAGGTATATGTAGGTATATGATGTAGTATTTATGTACGTAGGTATGTAAGCAGATATATATGTTAGTAAGAAGATATGTACGCAGGTAGATAGATATGCAGATAGATGTGAAAGCAAGCAGATATGTACGCAGGTAGATATGACGCGAGTAATTATGTACCCAGGTAGATATGCAGCGAGTAATTATGTACCCAGGTAGATAGGCAGCGAGTAATTATGTACCCAGGTAGATAGGCAGCGAGTAATTATGTACGCAGATAGATAGGCAGCGAGTAATTATGTACCCAGGTAGATATGCAGAGAGTAATTATGTACCCAGGTAGATATGCAGCGAGTAATTATGCACGCAGGTAGATAGGCAGCGAGTAATTATGTACGCAGATAGATATGCAGAGAGTAATTATGCACGCAGGTAGATAGGCAGCGAGTAATTATGCACGCAGGTAGATAGGCAGCGAGTTATTATGTAAACAGATAGATACGTATGCGAAGATGTACGCACGTTGACGTGTGGAGATGAAGCAAGCGGACTACACACGTGAACGAGTTGGTTCAACCGGGAGAAGCGGACGTAGAATCTACGCCACTCTTACAGCTGACAGCAATGTTGTACATAATACAAGGGTAAATAAAACATCCTGGGGCTAGGTCTGGGCATATTGTATGCCCGGGGCTGGGGATTGCCTGGGGTATAATGAAGCCGATGAAACGTCAGTTTTGTTATCTGGTGACTCCAGTTTCACCTTAAATTATCAGTTTCACACTTGACACTGATTACATAAGCACAACATGCCTCTACCCAGACCTCCTCCCCGCCTCTCCGCACACGCACTCGCACACGCACACGCACACGTACGCGCAGCTGGACACGCACTCGCACACGCACATGTACGCGCAGCTGCACACGCACTCGGACACGCACTGGCATACGCACACGCAC